CTTTCTGCTCATAAACTGCTAGCTTGACAGTTCGTTTGGCTGGCGTACGCATCAATTGCCCTGTGACAGTAAGCTGCTGGCTGGGTTCCCTCCAGAAGTGACTGGTGCTAATGCGCATACATCGAATACACTAGGGGCCTTTCTCCGCCTTTCCCCAGCGCACGGGCCGCAATGCCTCAAACTGGTCTAGCTTAGCTCCCGAGCAGTAGCTGTATCATTATTATGCCGCCTCTGCGAGCAACAATCCTTCATAAACAGCTGTGGCTGAAAATATGAGTCAAGCGACAAGCACGACCCTAAAATACAAATGAAAAGACCCTCGATAGAACGACAACTACTTCATAGAGATGATCGCTTGCTTTTTCCTAACAGCGACAGCAGGTTGAAAGCCATTGCCGAAATTCCGCCATGTGTTTTTCCTTTTTTCGGGGAGGTTCCGCGGCTGTTGCCTTGGACTTGTTCGCCTAGTAATGACAGTTTTGCTGTTTTCTTAGTATTAAAATGAGGCTCGGTCAAAGTTTCCAGTTGTCTCCATTTGGCGGGGACATGGGGGACTCAGCGGACAAGCCCAAATTGTTCTACGTCTTGGGGAAGACAAACAATTCTGACCATGGCTGTGAGACTTTCTCAAAATCCCCCCCCCCCCCAGCCCCCCAATGAGACGCCGAAAAGTGAGCTTCCACATCATTGTTTCAAACTCAGCAATCTCAAGATATGAAGATTGGGTAATTTCCTTTTGCCCAAAGCTTCAATTGCGGATGGGTCAAAGTAGAACCAGAGCGCCGTAGGTTTTAGTCCTTGGTTCCATTTGCCAGGGCAACCCATTTTGGGCTTACCCGAGTTTTGAGTCACAGCCACTAGGTCCCCCAGTAGTGCCCTTCTCTCCCCTTTTTTGGTTCCTGAGGGTTCCCCTAATAGACGTAATAGACTACAGAAAAAATTCGGGCACCCTTAGTCTAACCTCTCTACTGGAGGACCCGCCAACTCCCAGCGACCCTTTGGCCAGGCAAGCTGCGCCTGACGCTGCGGTCCGGGCCGTTGGCGCGCCCGGGGCGCTACGTGGCGGACACCGCGAGGCCGGCTCAGTGCCCAGCTCGTTCGGGCGTCGTCCTTGGTGTTGAAAGGGGAAGCCAAAGCTACGTCCCCCAGTGTGCCTTTGACCTTTTTTTGGGGAGGGTTCCCCTACTAAAATAGACTACAGAAAAAGGGTACCCTTATTCCAATCTCTCTACTGGAGGACCTAGAAAGGGAAAACCGAAGCCATCCCTCCAAAAACGACAAACACACACACACACACCCTTGTCGGATGGTTTGTGGAGATTGCGCCGTTAAAATCAAGGACCGAAGAGGGCGCGCAACTTTTTTGTCGACAGTGTAGGTCCAAACTGGGCTTCCATAAATGCTCTTCATTCTTGGTCGATTGTTTGGGGAAACCTGTGAGTTACATAGGCCCTCCAATAGAGAGCCTTTGCCGTTTGATCTCCGCCACAGATGGAATCTGAGAGGTTTGATCAGACGTTCGATTCATGTCGGGCTTTGATCCAAAGAGAACCAACATCAAACCCAAGTGTGCTTTTGCTGGTATGCATCCACAGCGCACCCTCACTCCCCACGAGTCGCCAAATATCTCTTTCTCGGTTGATCCCTGCAAGAGTACACAAATCCAAACCTGCGCGAACTGTTGGCTTGAGTGGCAGTGAATGCCACAAGAGAACAACCACTTGCCCATGAGTCCCAGATTTCCCAATGCTACAAGGGGAGAAATTCCGCAGGACTCCGGTTCTTCCTTCTACCGGATCCAAACATGTCCAACCACAAGCGCTCATCAAAATTGAGCAACAGTGTTCATCCTCAGTGCAGTAAGGAGATGACGCTGGGCACGCTCACTGAAGGGTCCCCGAGTCAGTTGAGCCACAATCAAAACCCGGGTCAATTGGCGGGTAGTAAGGGACAATCCCAGCCATAAAATAGCTTCGGCCGCCTTCTCAATTCCTTACATGGATCTGGGTAGACCACTCTTGTACCAGGTTTTGATTAAGATTCAGTTGGGAGCACAACAAAATACAATGTTTTTTTTGAGAATTTGACCGCGGCCGGTGATGTGATCCGCTTTGAGCTAATTGCGAAGGGTATCCCAAGCCAGTCCCCCGAGCTGGTTTACCCATGCCAAATGTGAGGACCGAACACAAAAGCCCCAATTTGGTGTTTTCCTTCTTTCCCGATTCAAAGGTCCAACACAAAGAAATGGATCCAGTTTTTAGACAGCCCTGTTGCAGAAATGAAGGCTCGGTTCGCACCTTAGGAGAGGTCTTTGGGGTTATTTCCCTTTAACTTGCCACTGGGAGGGCGACTTTGACACTGGTCAGTTCTTCGGCCTTTTTGCCATTGGTGTGGAACCGAATGAGATGGTTCCTTCCATGGGAAGTTGTAGCTTAGGAAAGGCAATTCACACAGAAATGTAGGGTAACTGGCCTTGTCTCAGCAATACAACCAGTCAATGTGAAGACCATCGCTGCAAGAATGAAATTCTCGATGTCTAACACTTGTTTCTGCACATGTCGCAATGACTGCCATGTTTTGGTATTTTCAGATGAACTCTTGTCAATTTGGTTGCCATGGTTGGCGATTTTCCCAGGGTGCAATTCCAGGCTGAAGCAGGACACATCCTCAGAAAAGGGGACCCAACAACGCTTGTTTCTTGTGGCAGCAGGCTCCTGCTGAAGGACAATTGGTTTCCAGGGCTCTCTCACCAAACTCTTGCTTCGGGCTTCAGGCCTGCCAATCTTGAGCCCTTCAAGAGCATTCCGCATGAGGAGATGCGTTTGGACGTGTTTGGACATTTCCGATATGGGCACGGGGACCCCCCCAACATCGAGGTGTCCTTTCAAACGACAAACAAGAGGTACCCTCAAAAGAAAAGTGGGTTTCCTTCAGGTTTCCTAATGAAACCATCCAACAGTGGATACCCTCAACAAAAGGAACTTTGACTCAACATAGTTCAGGCACCCCTGAACTTGGAGGTTTGGATTGGTGATTTGGAATTCAATTTGAACCCCAAGTTCTTGTAGAGGGTAAATCTCCGAACCAATTCAAAGTACCAATTAGAGGGAAACTCACCATAATGCCATAATGTCGTGCCCGCAGTTTTTTGGTTTTGACGTCTCATGGGTACCATTGGCAGAGACCCACTGTGCACTTACCTGGGTTTCCGCTTTTTCAGGTACACCTCAGGGTTACGGCCTCGCGAGCGCACGTGATTTTCGTCTCGCAGGCGCACGTGATTTTGGTCTTGCCCACGCATGTATGTTGCTTCTTTTCGTGGCAGGCACGGTACTTGGGCAAGTCTTCGTGGGTCTCGCCCGCGCATGTAATGCTCGCACCCAGGCAAAACGCCCGAGTCTCGCACATGCGCGTGACGAGTCTCGCAGCCTCCCATCCATGCTTAGTGTCCTGCGGTCTGGTACAGGCCAGTTGAAAGGTTCCGCAGGTTCCGGGGTGGTGTGGCACGGGCCAGGTGTAAGGTTCAAGCAAGGTTCCGGGGTTTCGGGGGGGTATAAGGGTTTAGAGGGTGCTCGTTCCGGAGGTGCCGGAGTGGTCTTGTTCACGCCAGATGTAAGGCTCACGGAAAGAGATTCTGAATGGCCGGTCGAGCAAGGCCTTAGGAGGCTGCAAGCTTCATGGTTCCTGGGGTTGCTGAGCCAGCCTGAGGGCTCGGAGTTTTCTTGAGATGCCTTGTGGGCGACAAGCTTGAAAAAAATCAGGTGGCCTGTGTGGCTACAGTGCTGAATGGGTGCACTTGAGCGGGTGCGTGCTGAACGGGTGGTGCACTTGAGCGGGCGTGCTTGCCATTGCCCTGTGAGACCAGAATCGTCGCGTGCTCCTGTGAGTGTGAGTCCAAAATCACGTGCTCAGACGAGGCCCCGACCCACCTCAAACTTTGTTCATTTTTGGCAACAAGGAACACTTCTAACAATCTCACCACGTTGCCAATCACTCCAGTTAAGTGTCAACGGAGCACGGCGGTGAGAGCACTCAATAAGGGAATCCTTTTTTGAGTTTGCCTAACATGTTTTTTGACGGTAGACGTCCTTTTTCTCTGATTGAGTCCCTTTGATGGTTCAGTTAAGCATGTCCCAATTGGGAGTCTGAGGAACCCCGTGCTAGGATGGTTCTTTTTGCCCCTCAAAAGATTGCATAGCAGGCATATCACTCACAAACAACTGTTCACATCTAGAGACCGAACTTCATTGATCAAAAGTAAGCCTAGGTAAGGAGATTCCGATTTCGAGATCGGCGCCAAAATCCACTGCTCGCACGTCCCAATGTAAGAACCTACTTGTGATGCCCAGTTTATGCACATATGTGCATGCATGTAGATACATATACATATAAAAATAGGCATATATTTACATATACATCTATCTGGGAATCCTAGTGGCTGAAAACTTGCCACTGATCAGAGTAGTAGGAGTTCCTGCCACAGTGTCACTGTAGCAGATTTGAGTTTTGGAGCCAGACATGCTAGGGTTGCTGCCTATCTACATGATGAGTGCAACCAACAAACTCGATCGTCCATTTGGCTCGAATCTCACACAGATCAACTTTTTGATCCTCATGCCGTGCGCTCAGATCAAATGTTTGGACAAGAAGAGCGGAGCACGGAAGGGTTTCCCAAGAAACTGATTTGCGTTGCACACAGCTTTCCAGATGTTGTGAGGAAATTCTTTGCATTTTGCAGGTGTCCATCACGACCACCTTGCAAGATGCCCTCGTTCTTGCTCTCCAAAAAGTGAAGCTGCAAATGTGTCCGCGCCCTTGAACCTCAGCCACACTAAAAGTCACCGATAGCCAAACAAATGCGGGTGTCATTGTTTAATGGGGTCTTGCCCTTGGTTTCTCCAGATCCGCAAGATTCCAAGCCTATGGACGGGTTTCAGCTGACCCCAACCCCAAACACTTGACTACAATTCAAGCTGCGCCCCTTGTTGGTACATCCAAACCGTTCCGTGGATGCCCTCGTCCTCGCGGGCTTGCTGCCCGATTTCGCGCTGCAGTCTGCCTGGATGTTCAAAATCAAAACTGGAACACCCTTGCAAGTTTATAAAGTGAGAGCTCAATCACACACCCCATCATAGGTTGAAGGCCTCTTTCCAGGCCAAGGGTCTTTTTGACTTTGTTTGGGGCCACACTTGCTTGACTGCGCCTCAGAATAATCAGGAAAAGGCAGCAACAGGGATCAGCCAAGTAGAGAATAGTATTATATGTTTTCTACTGCGGTCACTTGATGTGGGCTTGGGCAATTGCATAGCCGAGGTTGCGGCGCACTCTCAATCTCATAAAGCTTTTTAGTACAATCCATGTTCACCTTCCTTGGAGGTCGAACCCCAAAAGGCTCCAGCATCTCCATCATCCATCAGCACAGGGGCGTTCAACTTAATGAAGTTCGTGTTGGGGCGGACCTCCTCCCCACCCTTGCTGGGTGGCTCTGTGATCCATGGTCTCTCATTCTGGAACCTCCGCCGAATGAGGGAAACGCGTCCCCACCTCTTGCAAAGAGGCTTTGGCCTGGGCAGCAAAGGGAGCCCCTGATCTAGGCTCGTATTGCAATTGCCACGCGTGGCCACGCGTTTCCATGTTGTCCCTGACCAACCGAACAATCGTTCGAGCGATCGAGGAGCAAACATGGTGCAGGAGCCTGGCATCGAAGATGAAGATTTCGCCAGTGTCACCGGTCCTGTGAAAACAGAGCAGGGACGCGAGCTGATCTGGGACAGGGTTGGGGCCGATTAGGGTAAACCATTTGTTTCCCTGCCTGATCCAATGCCGCTGGCCACATCGATGGTCATCAAAGCCGGGAATTAAGCCGGGTGTTGTTGCATGCATTGATGTTGCTCAGAGCTTGTGTTGCTCATGATGCATCCTTCAGACTAAAGTTTTGATAATGCTGTGAGTCAGCGCTGGCAATCCTTGTTGCATGATCTCATGCCACATCTTTTTGTATCATGAGGCTTGAGACCACTGAGAAGCGACTGAGGTATGAAAGCCACGCAACTTTCACCAACATTTGCCTACCTCCCACCGCGGCACTTGAAAACATGCAACTACGTGTGTGTGTATATATATATATATGTATATATATATATAATATGTAGTAGTTTGACTCACGCCGGCGCATGTGAAGGGCTCTAAGGGTTGTGTCCCCAGTAAGCTGGCTTGAGGAGTGGATGGAGGGTGAGGTGGTGATGATGTCAAGCTGGGCCGCCTACGTCAAGGCGGGGGTATCAGGCGTCTCGGCTTGCTCCACGTTGTTTGTTTCGTTTGGTTTTGTTTGCCGGCGGTGCTTTCTGAATTTCCCAACGTTTGTGTGGGCGCTTGTGTGTGTGTGTGTTTCTCTTTCGTTGTGTTGCACCATGGTGTGTGCGCGTGTTTGAGTTTGGCTCGGGAGAGGGAGGACGATGAGATGAGAGTGCTTGGGTTAGCAGTCCTTTTACCTCAGTTGGCTCCTAGAGTCCTCAGGCTCCTCCCATGAAAGTCCTTTTTTGGACCAGCCTTCACCGCTATCCCCAGTGCTTCTTGTGGCCACCAGGATTGAGCTCCCAAAACGAGGTGACTTTCCTTGCTGTACCAACATGGTTGTCAAGGTTTATACAGACTCTACCATAGCTCCAATGAACCCAGGCGCTCGGACCACTTAGTAAAATGGCCAATGCGGTTTTTGGGCGATGCTCAATTTGCATCACCTTTTTTTGTGCTGTGCCAGACAGATCGACTTGCGGCGAATACGCCAAAAAGGATGATGGGTAATTATTGTTTTTATGCAGACCCTTCAATAAATGGCGAACAAATAGTTGAATGGCAATTTTTTGGGGGTTTTGGCTCAGTCAATTTCACCCTTGAAACAAACATGTGTTGGTTCTACAATTGTGGGGGCGTTATTTTCCCGCACGGGGTCAAGCGATCGAAGAAAAGCGTGCGAGGTCCAGGCCGCATGCGGCACTTGTTTCGTGGGCATCCTCGGCGAGGAAGACTTCCAGGGCAGCTTTACTGAGGACAGCCGGGTGTCGTTGCGATTGACAGGTTCCCATGAAACGTAGAGAGACAGAGGTGCTGCCTGGATGGCCGAACCTGAAGGCTGCAAGATCTCACAATGTAGGGTTGCCAGGTTTCTAGCCTTTTCCGAGAGCGAAATGAGCCGCGGAAGAGTGTGTGGGTGTGTGTGTGTGTCTTGTTGGTTTCAATTGGCCACCAAAAGAAAACAATCTACAATTGAAATCAATTGACACCAACCAATTGGTACAAATTGCCCATCTTGGTGGTTTCTACTTTAAGACAAATCTAAAGCTCACCCTCGACTCACCCCTGAAAGTTTCCAGGACGCAATACGCGGCCTGTCCGTGCTGGTCAGGATCAAGCAGGCCACATGCCGGTGCTTCAAAAAAAGAAAGCAGTGGCTGCTGCGAAACACATTGTTTTTTTTGTTTTGTCAAAATGTGGGCGTGGTCTTAGGGTTTCCCTGAAAAGCAGCTGACATTAGCAAACAAACGGGGTGTTGTTTCCCTTACAGCCCCATGGGAAATTAGCCAGTTAGAAAGCCACCCTTTTGACTGACCTCACCTGGGAAGAAGAAAGCTGTTCCCGGAAGCAGAAAGAGTGGATCCGGCACGGGTTGGTGGTGTTACACCGGGGGAAGGGGGTGGAATCACGCTTTGCAGGGGGCTGTTTTACCAACCCAGATTTGGGTGAGTCTTTGTGCTCAGTCGCCTCTTCTAAGTGTGTGTCAAGCAGAACCAACGGAGCCACACGTTTTAGAGGTTCTACCATTTTGAGACAAACCCAAATATCAAGCCAAATTTATGTAATGAGTTTGGGGGGTGGAGTGTTTTTAATTATTGGCCTGTGGTGTTTGATGTTTTTGCTTGCTGGCTTTGTTCCATCTACTGAAAGATGGTAGCCTATGCTATAGGATTTCAGCCCCCTTTCCCCTAAATCCCCCCGTCCCCCTGTTTCCCCATAGGACCAAATACGGCCAAGGTCATTGGAGGAAAAAAAAGTGTGAGAGAGAGAGAGAGAGAGAGAAATAACAATATGCTGGCGTGTGCGCATGTGATAGCAGCCTGATTCTCTTTTTTTGGGAACTACAGAGAGACCAACAGCCAACCAACTGCTCCAGCCATATCTTGATGCGGTGGTCAAGCACGCTTTTGATTTCGGACACGCTGAAATCTAAATCTAGTCGTACGGAGGCAATATGAACGCAACGCTTTAACGGCGTAGGCGGGCGTAGGCGCACCTCGCGTAGCTCGGCGCGCAGGGTATTAGAACACAGCATAGGTGCTGGCCGTATGTGATACATCCTTGGCATTGCCTTTCGCAAGCAAAACGTAGCATGGCTATCAAGAGGACTTGAGGCATCTCCCAAAATGAAAATTAGAGGCATCTCCCAAAATGAAAGACTGCCATCAAAAGGGGAGCCGCCCCAATGTTACGCTCCTCCAAATTCATCCGAATTTTCGCCCAAAAGCAACAGATCCACAACACACAATCCGTGTCACTCCCCGCAACAACGACCTCAACAAACACAACGGGCTTGTCTCAAACTTAGGGGACCAAAAAGGTTGGTTTCTTTCTGGTTTCCTTTTAATCCCAGTCGGGTCTCCCTTTAAACAAACAATTGGGGACACACCCCAAACGAACGAGACACACCTAGGATTCAGCGGGATGTTGTCGGCTGACACCACCACAGGTGGATAGCGAGAGCCGTCGCCTTTTGCTGACCATGCAGCCCGACGAAAAGGGCGAGACGCGTCTCTTGCCAGTTGAGTACGGTAGAGACCCTTGATAAATTGATTTTTGGGTTTTAATGCCAGCCAATAGAGTCATTATTTTCAATTCAGATTGTTTCATTGGCCTGATTGTCAACCTTTTCAGCCAATCTTTCATTTCCGTACTTGGCTATATAAGTATGTTTGACAGTTTGCCTTCCTGGGTTTCCTTTGTTCCCTTTACTTGCTGGCGGGGGGCTAGGCCTGGCAACAATTAAGTTTCCTTTTGGTGGGGATTCGATGTTCGATGTCAGAGGACACGTAAGGAACCCTGTCGGAACCAACCCTGCGACCGAAAAAGAAATATCATCTTGCACTGTGAGTATCATTTGCTTTCCAGAAGCCAAATGTATCATTTTCACTCGGCAACGTACTTGTGAACCCTTGATTAGAACCCAATCTAAGAAGTTTAACCGCACCTTGTTGAGGGGCTCAGCACAGCGGTTTGTCACTTCACACCATTTGACTCCTCACTCACACTTGGGTTCATTTATCTCGCTTGGAGGATGTTCACAGAGCAAACGCCGGTTGGCAGTGGCAACACGTGTTTGAGATATAAACCCAAATGATTGATTTTGTAACTGCCCCTCAAAGGATTCACGAGGGCATAGAAACCGGGAGCGGGTTGTTTCATATTTTTTCAGGCCCCCTGTTTTGCCAAATTCCAGGCAACGCAGAGGGCCCATCCCAGACCAACCCAATTTTTCTGCGTCTTGGGGAGCAAAGACTCTTGGCTCGTGTAATCTTAACCCATGTCCTGTTATTGACCCAGGCTTTCAATACTCCTGGGTCAGCAGGGGTTGTGTGTTTCTTCCAAGAAGGGGTTGTAACTCCCAACCTGTTAAAAGACACAAAGTCACATTTTTCCGGTGCCTTGTCAGGTTCTTTTGGAGGCAATCACTTCCAACCGACATATGTTGCGAAAGTCTCCCAAATTTCAACCGGGCGCCAACCTCTTGCTTAAGGTTTTGTATTTCCCCTGTTGGTTGTTAAGATGTTCTCATGTTTTCCCGGGGACTTTTCTGCAAATGGAGGCCACTTTTCACTAAGGAGCCCGTCCTTTGGAAGAGGTTGACTCAAACGGGAGCCAATCAGTTGCGGGAGTCTCCATTTTTTGCACTCCCAGAGAACCTGGTGCGAATTCCCTGGCTCCGGGTTTCAGCTCGATTGTTTCAGCAATTTTTTGAGGCCCGGTAGGGGGTCGAAGCCGGTCTTTGCGGGAAATCCAGATCTCGACAAACTTCAGAGCAGAGTTTCGAGATCTCGCCGCCCGGAGCTTCTGAAATCTTGGCTCAGCGGAATCTCGCCATGGAGGGCAAGGCATGTGGGAGGGATGGAGAGTTGGCCCTAGTTTTGGAATGGTTTGAAAAGGGAAGTTGGTGCGAAAACATGCGAAAACGCATAAAAGCCATGTTTCGAGGTCTCCAAATCTAGACATCCGAAGTGTGTTTTTCAGGTTGGCTACCTGGAGGTTTGCTGCCGGAGCAAACCTCCAGACTCCAGCCATGCGCCCCGTTTTTTGCTTTGGGGTATGTATCAACATAGGGGGTGTTGGAACCCCACAATAGGTGGGTGTTTCCCGAACCCATTGTGTGTGTGTGTGTGTGTGTTTTTTTGGGGGGGTCGAGCCTCAAAACGAGCAGCTTCTTAGGGTTACCACTACTCCAAAATCAAGTACCAGTCAAAACTAGGCAGGATGTGTCCTATTCTCCAGGTTGCCTGGCAGCTCCCTCGATTTGATCTCTTGAGGAAGCGAAGCTCTCTTTGATTTCCCTCCAAAGCCAACCCAAAAAGGGTTCCCTCCAAAATTGACGGGCGGTGGTTGCTGGAGCCAAGAGCATGTTCCTTTGAAAACCATGGTCATGACCTCAACATTTGCAGCACGAGCTCACAGGGGTTCAGATACGGGTCTGTTTTTGTGGGGAGTGCCCTTTTTGTGGTTTGAAAGGAAAACCAGAAGGACAACCACCATTTTGGATGGGCCCAACCTTAGGGCGAGATGAGCTTCGGGACGTGTTCCAAGCTGTTTCGCGCAACCGGTCAGCTGGGCAAATTCAAGTGCAAACCGTTTTTTTTTCGAGTTGGTATCCCTTTTTGGCGGCTTTGCAGGGAAACCAAAAGGACAGCCACCCATTTTGGGGGTCCCCTATTGGAGACACCAACACAGACGCACACCTGGAACTCTCTGACTTCGGCCGGGAAGCTTGCGCTGATAGAATGGAGGCTGTCCGTCACATAGAGCTGTTCGTGCCTGGAGTCAAGGGCAGCTGAGTTCAACGGCAACATGCAGCCCACGTGGCGTTGACTCAAAAGGTCTGTCCAAGAGGCGCACAGGCAAGGAAGGTGACCCACAGCGCGCGTGTCGTGCGCACCTCAGCATAAGCTCTGTAGGAAAGAGGCATGGAGTACGAGCATCGTATTTTCGCGGAGTTGAACGATTTGCCATTGACAATGTTCCCGTTACCTTCCCGCAAATTTAATGGAAGCTCCCGTAAAGGCGTGCCCCATAAGGAGATATAAGGAGATACTGACACCTCTTTGTTTGTTGTTTGGTTTCCGTATAAATCTGCATGGTGGCAACCATACCCACGACCATTTTCTGCAGAAGACTTTGCCCTCTAGACAACTGCTACGCCACCTTTAGACTTCAGCAACCACCCAAATAAGAAAACTAGACCACGGTTGGCCCGAAAGCAGAACATCGCAAGCGAGGTCGGCCCAACGCTGCAGGATGCGTTCTTTTTCCCTACACGAAGCATTTGTGAAGCAAGCGCGAGACAGCACCAGGCAAGGTGCTCTGCGCAAACTGGTCGGTTGCAAGTTGGTCTGCGCAAGTTGCTCTACAAGTTTGCTCCTGCAAGTGGCTCCCTGCAAGTTGCTCTGTGCAAGTTGCGCTCCTGCAAGTTGCTCTGTGCAAGCTGCTCTGTGCAAGCTGCTCTGCAAAGTTGTAAGTTGCTCTGCGCAAGTTGCTCTAGGCAAGGCGCTCTGCGCAAACTGGTCGGTGCAAGTTGGTCTGCGCAAGTTGCTCTGTGCAACTTGCTCTGCGCAAGTTGCTCTGCGCAAGTTGCTTTAAAATGCAAGTTGCATCTTGCGACGCCCGCCCGCGGACCAGGGAGGAATCGAACCCGCGACCCGCCGGTTCCGGGAGCAGGCGCGCGAACCACGAGACAACTCCCGAGGACCAGTTCGAACAACAAAAGTCGCAAAAAACCTCGAGATTTTGCACCTCGACCACGCCGATCCCCGCAGAGGGTTGCGCGAGCACCGCAGAAATCGCAAAAAACCTCGAGTTTTTGCACCTCGACCACGCCGATCCCCGCAGAGGGTCGCGCGAGCAGGTTAGAAATCGCAAAAAACCATGGGTTTTTGCACCTCGACCACGCCGATCCCCGCAGAGGGTCGCGCGGGCATTTAGAAATCGCAAAAAAACCTCGAGTTTTTGCACCTCGACCACGCCGATCCCCGCAGAGGGTCGCGCGAGCACCGCAGAAATCGGAAAAAACCATGGGTTTTTGCACCTCGACCACGCCGATCCCCGCAGAGGGTCGCGCGGCAGGTTAGAAATCGCAAAAAACCATGGGTTTTTGCACCTCGACCACGCCGATCCCCGCAGAGGGTCGATTTTCGTGTAGTGTCGTCGGCACTACCCCGCCGCCCTAAGAAGAGATTTTAACTCCTCGCAAGTCAATTGCACTTGACTCCTTGCACTTGCAACTTGCACTTGACTCCTTGCTTGTTTCAAGGAGTCATTGCAAGGAGTCATTGCAAGGAGTCATTGGAGTCAAGGCAGTCATGTTGCAAGGAGTCATTGCAAGGAGTCATGAGAGCCATTGCAAGTTGCAAGGAGCCAAGTGCATGGAGTCAAGCGCAAGTCGCAAGTGCGCGGAGTTAAGTGCAAGTTGCAAGTGCAAGGGGCCAAGTGCAAGGAGCCAAGTGCAAGGAGCCAAGTGCATGGAGTCAAGTGCAAGTTGCAAGTGCATGGAGTCAAGTTGCAAGCAAGTGCAAGCAAGTGCAAGTTGCAAGTGCAAGGAGTCAAGTGCAAGTTGCAATCCTTGCCATGACTCCTTGCAATGACTCCTTGCAATGACTCCTTGCAATGACTCCTTGCAATGACTCCTTGCAATGACTCCTTGCAATGACTCCTTGCAATGACTCCTTGCAATGACTCCTTGCAATGACTCCTTGCAATGACTCCTTGCAATGACTCCTTGCAATGACTCCTTGCAATGACTCCTTGCAATGACTCCTTGCAATGACTCCTTGCAATGACTCCTTGCAATGACTCCTTGCAATGACTTTCATGATGATGATTCCTTGCAATGACACCTTGTAATGACTCTCATGAGAACAACTCAAGTGAACCCAGCGGAAGAACCCTTCGCCATGCTTTCGGGAAAAACAAGTTTCCTTTCCAGAAGATGCTTGAACCACCCTGAAGGGAGTGTGACAGATGGCCCTTGGTGTCCTCTGGGAAATGTTGATGCTGGACATGATTAGGGCCAGACCGATCTGCCTATTCACCTCTTCCCTAAATGGGTATGTTTGTTGTTTGAGGGTGTATACCCCATTATTGATTGTTTTTGTGGTGAATCAAAGAGACACCAAAAGGCCACCTGTCCCCTGAAAAAAACACAAAAAACACCCGGTCTATCTTAATGTGCGGGAATTGGCTGGTTTCTCGGGAGGCTATTTTGAAAACCAAGCGGGTCACCATGATTGTGGGTTCCCTCAAAGTAGGGTGGTTACCCTTGTGATGCATAAATTCGTTTGAGAATTCCGCAGATGAGTTTGGTCTAATTAGCGAATCTAAAGTTGACATTAGCAACATTCGCTTTGTGGGGATTCCCTGGATTACAGTCCTGCTGACCATGTCAACATTAGTATTCGCTTGCCAGAGCGACTTGAAAAGGTTAAGCATAAAGGTCAGGCGCGACTTGACAGACCTGGTGGACTTGCATGGCGTGTCCATGTGCATGATCCTCCAGATTCATCTTCAGTTGCCATTAAATCATTAGCCTCACATTGGCTTCCCAACAAAAGGCGCCCTTCGAACACAATCCAGTTTGCCCATGACACACTGTGTCTTTCCTTTTGGTTTCTCTTGAAATCAACCTACAGGGTGCCAAGCCTCAAACAACGACCCCCACAAATGGTTGTGTCTTGAAGCGTGGGACCCCAAAAAAGACGGTAGCTTCCCCTTTTTTTCTTGTAGAAAACTGCCCAAAAAGGGTAGCGAACCTCAAGCAACGCCGCCCACAAATCATAAGATCCGATGAATCAGCGGGTGACAGCGCCGCGTTCCAGGCATCGATGGAGGCGAAGCCGGACCACACGCCGGACGAGCCCGGGAACCCAAGCTGGATCGGAGGTTCTGCGGGTTTCAAGCGGAGCCCGGGTTTTGTCGGGCGCAGGCCCATGATACAGGTCTTTTAAATGGGGATCCTATTCAAAATTTCAGGTTTTGGAACCAATTGCCGCAATATTTGCAGATTGACGCGCGAACATAATGTAAAACAGAAGTCACTTGGTGGTGTGTGTTTGTGTATGGATCTAAAGAATATATTGTGGGCCTTGCTTGATTTGCGAATCAGCTTAGCTTGAATGGGGAGGTTGTTTCCCTGATATGGGTTCAACACGTTTTTTAATCCAGCAGTTGGCGGAACATGTTTCAGCCGACTGGCTGGCAAGCAGTGAACATGTCTTCCTTGCAGTCGGTCAGTCACTCAACCCACATGTGTGGTTGGTGCCAACCACTGCCACAGCTGGATTCTGTGATTGTCAAGCGGCAAACACCCAAGCTGACTGTTGGTTCTATCGTTATAAAGGTTTATGATATAGTGTAACCTTTGTGAAACCACACGCCTAGTAGAACCACCTAAACTGTCCCATTTGGCTGGGGGCCAAACTTGAACCCAAGTGGGAGCCAACTAATGCTTCCCTCACAGCATCGCCCAAAATCGATTCGATTCCAAAAGGTGCCATTAGTGGGTGGTCCCTGGTTCTACTATCCGCTTCAGCGCACAACATGGTTCAATTCGAAGGCCATTTGAGTAGGTTCGGCTCCTACCTATACCATTTGAGTCCATTTCAGGCTCAAGTTTTTGGGCGCCGGATGGGCTCCAGGGAAGCCTCTGGGCAAAACTTCGAGAGGGTCCTTTTGAAAAGGACAGGGACGAGCTCTAAATCTGCAACAAAGACCAGGACTCACTCATCTCCTATGTCCATTCGTGGAAACAAGTCAGGTTGACTGTGGATAGGAAGGCCCGACTTGGTTTCCAAGTTCGATTCCTTAATGGCCGGAGGAAGGTTGCAGCGGAGGGTGAGTAGGCTCTCCTGGTGTCCAAGTCTGGCCCAGAAAATGATGTAACTGAACAAGCCCGCACACGAAGAGGTATTTTGTTTTGGAGGGCCTTTGCCTGGCTTTCTCAAAGTGAACTTTTCGAGCACTTCTCAAAAAGGCGTTGAGTGTGGTGTCCCCTTTTTCCGGAGCAATGCAGAGGATGTCACTTACTTTGCATGAACCTGATTTTAGTTCCTTGCTGTATCCTCAACACCTAAAATAGTGATTTGAATGGCTTGGGCTTGGACGTTGTGCACCGCCAGGTCCAAGAAGAAGCGGCCGAAGCCGGGCGTGCAGCCGTGGCACGTGGGCGCGGGGCCCAGGGGCCGGATGAATTTGCAGGGGTTGGGACACGTCCCCGATGCAATCAACACGAATCTAGCAATAAATCAAAATAGTGTGTTGTTTCTTTCAATTAAGATTCAGAAACAATAAGAGCGAGGCGATTCATTGGGCTTTTGCACCGCAATCAGGATGCCACGTGTTCCTGGCACTGCTCGGGTGAATCTTGGAATTCGGCTTGGGGAACTGTCGGGGGATTGCTCGACCCTATCTGCAAAGGTAGCGGCTCGCCTGCAACTTTGGTGGCGAACTTACCGATCGGAGGTAAAACAAGCTCACGATGACAAAGGTCCTTTTCTTGGGGATCCATTTCACGCAGAGGTCACTCTTTGGGCCTTGGCACTTGTTGCTGCACGGATCTCTGGAGAGTGATGCGCCTAGATTGGTCCGATGGATCTGCGTCCTTCTTGAGGCTCGATACTCTTTGTGAGCTGGCTTTAAGGAGCCAAAAGGACACCATGTGCGGGGCATTTGGGGAGGTTATTGGCTCTTCTCAGGACCCATCCGCTATTTGGTCGTGTGGAAACAGCGCCCTTTTGGTTGCCAAATGTCATTGGGTTTCTGTGGAAGCCCCGGATTCGAACCCGGTTCAACAGTTGTTCGCTAACAAAAGTGTTCGTCTGACCAAGTTGTTTGCCAGACAAAGAACCAAGGATCGGAGCACAACCGACGATGGACTCGCTGGTTCTCAGCAGGCAATGTTCAGAAATGCCAACAAACCGAACCGACCCTTGTGGTTTCCTTTACAGGAAGCCCAACGCTTCATTCTGCAACCTCCCCGGTTGATTCCAAATTGGAACCAGCAAGATGTCGCTAAATCGAACCCGGGGGGGGGGGTTGTTCCCTGGAAGGCAAGCGAACCCCGAGGCTTGGAGTGCCACCAACTAACATGGAAGTGCAAAAATCCCTTAGGAAAGTCGTCAACCCCGTGCTAGTGGGAGGGTACATCGATGGGTTCATTCGGGTTCTTCCCGCGAGTTCGCGCGCTGGCGCGAGGCGCTGCCAGCGCCGGGGTGGTGCTCTTGTGCGCCGGCGCCTGGTGCCTCTGGCGTCAAGCCCAAGAGGCCTGCGATTCCGCGATGGTCCTGGCTTGTCCAATGAGGGAGGGGCCTCCTTTTGTGGGGTCTCCAAAACGATTTTCGATTTTGGGATGAACAGAAGATGAAGCAGACATCTGAAGATCGGTTTGTCAGGCCTTTTCTTTTTTAGTGGGCCAGGTTCTGTCGGTTGGGGGCAAGAGTGGCCTCACATACCCCCATAGTCAAAGGGCATGCAGGTGTTGGCAGGTGTTTAAAGGGGAAACACAATGAAGCATTTGTTTTGGGCATGATTGGCACATTGATTTGGACCCCTGCAAATTCGCATCGAACCCAAAAACCATCACCAGCCTCACTTGGACCTAGGGTTGCCTATGGGGCAGATTTGATTAGGGGTGGTTTTGATCTTAGTGAGGGTGGGTCTTGGGTTGGTTTGTGACATCCAGACTGCTGTTGGGCAGGGCTAGGATAGAAATCGGGTGGGTTTGGGTTTGGCTTGGAGCTGATTTGTGTTACGTGTGCTGCTGGTTGAGCGGTGGCTTTAGGGTTGCTTTATGGCGCGAGCTTTGGGCTAGTTTGGTGGTTTGGGGCCACTCTCCAAAACCAATTTTAAACTATAGCCGAAGACTCACTGAACCACACCCTGATGCAACCCTAAGGCACAAAGCAGCTCCAAGCCAACCCCATGCCCACCCCTAGCCCTGCCCAACAGAGCCTGGATGTCAGCTCTTTGCTGAGCCTAACTGCCCCCCAAACCTACTTGGTCCAGCTGATACTGGGGATGTTGTCAGCCCTAAGAAAAGCCAACGCAATGAAACAGAAACAGCCACAGCCCTACCAACATTTATCGACGCGCCATTTGGGGGTAACATGAGCGAAGAAAAACACAGGCTGATGGTTCCTTACTTGGGGTCCTTATTCTATGTAGAACTCTTGAGAATCCGGCTCCATTTCTGAACCAATCAAAGGCAATCCAGATCAGAATCCAAACTGGTTTGTCTCAGCCTTGCGGAACCCCCGAAAATAGTGTTTTCCAGTTGGCTTCCTTTTAAACCATTCCAAAAAGGCGTATCCTAAAGGGCATACATCCTGGGTTAAACGGGGTCCTGCGTTTCTCCAGGCCTTTTGAACAGCGAAACCAATCCCAACACCCCCCAATAGGGCAGCTCGTCGTTTTGTTGAGGGTACCTGTTTCGGGTTGTTTTAAAGGGAAACCAAGAGGCAACCACCATTTGTTGGTTCTCGATTTCAAGACAAACCCATATATGTCCACACAGATTTAGTTCAATTAGCAACTTTGACAAGGATGGATTAGATGAGTGGATGCACTCCTAGAGCCCAAACATATATTTGCCTTCCATCTGCGGAACGGACCGCAGGCCGGTTTCTTCTGAGATAACACAGAGGCTATCGCTCAGCATGCTTGTATATGACTGCTTCTTGTCATGGTTTGGTGGTTGGAGGGTAGGTCCAATACGATTTAGAGCGAGAGCCACGGGAGCCTTGTTGGTCACCGCGGCAATGGGGAGCCCCTTGCTATGGCTCATCCAAGAGGCACTAGTGATATTAGTATGAAACTATAGCTAGGCTACCTAGGCTACCTAGGTATCATAGGTATGGGTCAACATCAAACCAGGATATGGACCGCTGGTTTTTAGTCCTTTCCATCAGGTCCACCCGTTTTGAGGTTGCCCTATGTTGGACCCACACCCATATACATTATATATATATATATGTATATTGCCCGTTGACTAAGTGTTCTGATGGAAAACCCAAGAGACTCGGCTTTGGCGCTGGCCAGGAATCCCGGATCTTGGCACAGCATGCCAGTCAAGGGCTCAAAGACTGGCATAGCGAACGACACGAAGCGACCGGGTGGCTCGTTTGGACGGTTGGATGGCCAAAACGGGCAGAAAATTGGTGCCTTTCGGCCAGAAAATGGGTTTGGTTTCCGGGAGGGTTTCCCATTGCCCAAAGTTTTACCAGGATTGGTGCGGGTTTCTTTGGTTTGCCTTGAGCCCAAGTTTTACCAGGGTTGATGCGAGTTTCCTTTGGTTTCCCTTTAGCCAAAGTGCTACCCTACCAGGATCGAGGCGAGTTTCTTTGGCTGATGCTGCTTAAGGGCGCAAATGTGCATGGGGCATTGTTTTGAAGATATCGCTTTGCATGGTCCCCTTTCGGTTTTGCAGATTGGAGGGGGTATCGGCTTTAGGGGTTCTTTTTTCTTGCGGATTGGGGAGGCGGAATTCCTTGTGGACATTATCCTATCGGTTTCTTGTGGTATTATTGTTGGGCTTTCATATCTATCATGATCCAGAGAAGCGTTTCCTTGTACGTAGGTTTGTTGGGATATTCGACAACTGTTAGAAGGGTTTGCTATGACAGACGTTTTGGACGTTTTGACCATAGCACATGTGCCATACAAGGACAACAACAGGTCTCATCCATAAAACTCCTTCGAACTCCTTTTATAGAGAAGTACCGACTGCTTGGTTGGTGAATGTTATGATTCACATCAATGCACCGATGTCGAAACAAGAGAGCCGCGTTGCGGTGTGGTTTTTACGGTGAGCAAGGGCGCAGTTTCCCATCACACAAAGATCATGACTCTTTCAGAGTCAATGAGCTCACACTGTCGGTTCCCACCATGCAGGTTTCCCCATGTTTCCCCTATTTTTTGGGGGGTACCCCTTTGGCCTAAGAGAAACCTCAATGGCCTCAAGGAGTAGTTTCCAACCAGCTCTTTTTAGCATGATCCCAGAACATGTGTGGCACAGGACGCCCCCTCATAGGGCTTTTCGGGCCCTTTCAGGCCCTATTAGGCTATGAGCCCGGCCCTCTGATTGCTTTGAGCACAACCTTAGGACATCATATTGTTCTCCAAACCTCCTTTCTCATTTTTTCGGAGAGGCGCCGTGCGTTTCCCGCTAGAAATGCCGGAGCTCAGTTTGGAGGCTGTTGCGCTGAGGCCCGCTGAAGAGCCGCAATGTCAAGGCCTGGATGGGTCGATCGGAAGTAAACAATCTCACCCATGAAGGGTCCGTTTTGTATTTCTCCCCCCCCCCCCCGGATTTGTTAGAAATTTGGCGGCTTGTCTTGAATCAGAGTTGGAATTGAACCCCCAAACAATGTGGATGACATAGATCTCCGTCTGATGTCCACAGTGCTTATTCACGCCCATTTCGTTTGTGAGTGTCTAGGCGGTTTGCTTGCTCCTGGTTGCCCTTAGGTTTCACGGAACCAAGCTGTTCACTTTTTGGCCGAGTTACATTCACTGTTTCCCCAGTTTGCCACGCAAACTTGGGACGCAGACTTCCCACTTGCTTCGATATGCCTTTCCCCATATTTTAGCACGTCCTGCATTCTTTGTCTCAGTGTGACCAATCCATTTTTGGTGCACCCCGCCGCCCATGCTGGCTTTGCAGGGCAGGTGCCGAATGACTGGCAGCAAAGCATGTGCGAACTGATGCGGCCCCGATCATCTGTGGCGATGTTTGCAATGACCTTACCATCAGGCCGGCACCGAGAAGTGCACAGGCCGATCCTGACGGCTGGGTTTTCCTGCCAGCCGTTCAGCAGGTTGGGGGATCAGCAAGGCCAACGAGACGAGCGGTCGAGATCGTTGCCAGGTGCATTGAGGTGTGGTCATCTGTTGCAGTGCCCAATCATCGTGTTGGAGTGTGCTGAAGCAGCACCCGGTTGAGTGACATGTGGTGTGCTATTTGCACGAGATGGTGGCGCGTCCTCGCTCACCTGAGCGTGCCAGAGATTAGTATTCCCCTGTTGCCAAGGGATCCGATCACGCCACTGTGCAGCAAGTGATGCCGGTAGTCCGGTAGTGGGACAGTGGTTGACTTCCGAGTAGAACACAAGGCTGAACATCCGAGTTGTTGTGGCATGCTATACAAGTTGTTGCGCAGCTCACTTAACGATCGGGGGTGAGCTCATGGTGAAGGCTCCTTACTTGTGGACTGCCCATTTCCAGCTTGTGGAGTATGGTACTTTGCCCATGATGTTAAAACCTGCCCACAAATGGGCCTTTGCTGGGCACGCGTTTCTTGCTGGTCAAGGGCAGGTGGTTGCACACCTCCATCGCTCCGACCACATCCAATCAGCCTTTGCTGCCGTTTGACCACTTCCCTTCTGTCTGAAGTAAGCAAGTCCCCCTGAAGAGAGGTTTTCCACACAAATTGAGGGGTTCCCTTTTTTGGGTTCCATGGGTGTGCAAAATTGCAGGCCCATCATCACCCAAGTAATGTGTAGAAGGGGGGAGAGCGCTCCGCAAGGCCCCCCCAATCCAGTTTTCCGCACGGGTACAAGCGCAGAGGGGAAATTGAGCTCAGCCATGAAGTTCCCTTGGGGGGTTTGAACCCCTGGCTGTCGTAGACGATAAATGGGAAACCCCTCCTTGACCACCAAAACACCAATCCGAACCACCAATTCGAGGGAAGCTGAGAATGTATGGACAGGGGGCCTTCAGCCCCACTTTTTGTTGTTGTGCCAGTGGAAATCTGAACCCCAACTCTCACTGGTTTTCAGGGAAGAAACAGGAGTCTGGGGCAAGCGTCCACCTCGATGTAAAGATTCGGGGTCATTCCAACAGCCGATGCGCCGTTCGAATCGACAGGTCGATAAGCCCAAGATGAAGGCTGCGGAAGAGTGCGCACCCAAGGGACCACGTTGCCTCCTGAGGGGTGACGCCTCCTTTGGCCGCATGACGACTCTGCCTCCTAAAACGTCTTTTTTGGCTTCTAAAGGATGACCAGCGGTCCTTTGGGTAATTGCGTCATGCGATACCCTCTTTCCAACAATGGATGTTGACAAGGGACCTTTTCAAGACAGGATGGCAGGCTTCCAAAACCCTCCTGTTCAGTGCCATGATTGCTGGAAAGCGGGTAGTCCAGGTGGGTGCGTTTTTGTTGAGTTAGTACCTGTCGTGGGATTGTTGGGCTTGGTTGATCTTGGGTTCCGAACTATTTTTTTTTGCATGGAGTCAAACACCAATCCGACAAGGTGGGCCTCGGGCCCGTGTGTATGAGGCATGACAAAGTCTTCACAACTGGTCGGCCATTGGGAAACCCGCCGGTAAAAGTAGTTAGCAAAGAGTCGGCCGGTCGAAACCGGCAGGATTTGTCAAAACGAACCACGTCTTCGATGCCAGGGAAATCGTGCCGAAGAACTTGGGCAGAACACCGCAAAAGCAGCCGCAATGGCCAAAGGAGCGCCGAAGGCTAGGCCCACCGGCACTGCGGTAGGGCAGGAGTCAAATACAGAGTGACATCCGTGCGGAGCAAAAGCAGAAGGCCAAGTCGAGCCCAGTTGAGCTTGGGCAGCACATGCTGGAGAGCGAAGCTCATCAAAAACGCACTGTACAACTCATGCAAATGCAAAACGCTGTACATGCGAGAGTTGACTTAATCCGCGCCACAAATCTTCGGCAGGAGCCGAGGCCCTGCAAGAAAACTTCGTGTGAGGCCATGTCCGCGCCCCACCAGGTTTGATGTTCTGAATCACAGCAGCACCTGTCTGTGGCGATGAAGATCTTCCCTTCCCACTCCATCTCCCTTGCTCCGGAACTGCCAGGGACTACCTGCCGCACCATGTCTTCAACGGAATCGAACCCGGACCTGTGCAGAGTCCATCAACGAAAGACAAAGGTAATACCGGGATCTCTTAAGCTTGGTAGCTGCCAGCGAAGCCAGCAGCGTCCAGGGGCAACACGTGGAGGTGAGAGATCCATTCCGCCCCCCAAACCGACAAGGGAACTATTTCTGTTCTCCTGTTGGTTTCAAAGGGAATAGTTTTGACTGGTAAATCTCAGCCATGTCTTGCTGCCAAAATGACAGGGGAAGCTTCCGCCGGCTGTCCCAAAGCTGGAAGATCCTTGAATTTTTGGGGGGTCACGATGGTCAAGTTTAAAGGAACCCGCAAGGAACGCCCCATTTTGGCGGGTTCCCAACTGTCGGGTAAAACCCCAAGAAATGGTGTTCTTCCCTTTTGCTTAAACCAACTCTCAAAAAGGGGCACCCTCAAACAAAAAGCTCCCCTCCCCCTCATTTGGGTGTCTTTCTGAGGGAACCCCAAGATTTGGCGGCTTTCCTTCCGGCTTCCCGTTCAAACCGACCAGGGGGTCAAAAGAAGACGAGCCGCCCGGGTCCCATCGACGAATCGAGGTCCGACTCTTTGGAGGACGCCCCTTGGCTTCTCAGAGGCGGCCGCCACGAATTCGATGGGGTCTCTCAGCATAGGTGTTCTTCTTTTTGGTTGTCTTGGTAGAAGAATAGATGGCCCTGGTGTACCTGGTAGTTGAATCATCTGCCAGGGCATATATATATATATAATATATATATATATATATATATATATATATTTGCCCTAGAAGGACACCTTTGGTCTCTCGTGTTTTTTTTTTAGCGGCCTAAGTCTCCCCAAACAATATGGATTAGAAACAAATCCGTTGTGTTTTTGGGCTGGGGGCAAACTGAGGCAGGAATCGGTCATTCTTTTTGGGAGTCGGCGCCCTGGTTAAGCTTGTTTTAAAGCCAAACCAAATGGACACCCACCCTGAAGTGCTGCCTTCAACCTGCGTCTATACTTTCAGTGCCCAAAACAATCAGATTCCTTGTGTTGTTTTTGGAGGTGGGGAGGGGGCGGTGCTAAGTTAAAGACGGAAAATGGTCGGGCTTCTATTTGAAGGAGTTTTGGCCAGCGTTCCCTTGGTCAGAAGGCTTTTTTAAAGCCTAGATTTGTCGGAAAGAAGATGGTCAAAAGGTGTTACCAGTCAGTCGCTCAGAAAAGGTGCCCTTTGACCTTTGCTAGCCTTTGAACCGACCGATGATGTCCCCATGTGGCCATGAGTAGGTAGAAAATCCACCCTCTACTTAAATGACATAAGGTGCCCTGCCAAAGTCTTTATGACCTGTTGTGCAGGGGTTCCACCCTCAAGGCGCCACCAAAACCTCACACGACTGAAGTTTGGTGAGTTTCCCTTCTGGTTTCCTTGTCGCTTGCCGAGGTGATGTCCTTTTGCAGGGTTTCCTCCATGTCCCTTGGTGGAACCTCCAAAAGTGGCAGTTTACACAGAAACACCAGTAAAGCGATCAAATTTTGAAGCGGACGTCCAGTGACCCCTATTTTATTTTAAAGTCCTTCCAGCAAGTGAGGCCCTCCTCGAACTGCCTCCTGGTTGCTTTCTCATGGGATTTCTCCAAGGAGGAAGTTCCAAGATTTCTTTCCCAAGCGCGCGAAAAGCTGCTCTTCTACCCTGCCAGGAAAAACCCTAGGGGTCACTTGCTGACAGGATCATCCATTCCTTGTCATTCCCGAAAGATCGCTCCTTTGTCTCTTGGATGAGCAACCCACAGTGGCTTTCTGAATGACCTGATATCAACACATCCAAAAAGGTAATTCCGTTCTTCCTTTGCCAAGTTACTTGGGAGAACCCCATCAAAGGACCAGGCCCTGTCAGTTGGGAGGGTCCCCGGGCGGGGTTTCGAGAGCAAGCAACGGTCCATGTTCAAGATAGGGGGACCTCCAAGAACAGGTGGTATGCTTTTGGTTTTCTTTGCAAACCACTTCAAAAAGGGAAACCTTGAAACAACAAGCAGAGACACACGCACATATGAATATGTATAATATATACATACACATATATTAATTCAGCGTGATCCACCGTGAGGAATGCCATGGTACAAACCAGAGAGTTGGAAGTGGTTTCTCACCAAAGTTGCATGTCAGTTCGGGACTCAACAAACTTTGACCGCAGCTCAATAGTTGTGTTTGGGCCAGATGATCCCAATCATTGAATGTTGGTGGGGTTCTGCTCTCCCTTTGCGGGTGGGGGAATCCTGAATCATCCCGTTTTTGGTCGGGGTTGTTTTTTGAACTTTGTTTGGGGTGACATGTAAAGAGCTAGTATGAACTGAGTTGCGAATGCTAGTATGATTGTAGATTGATACATTGATAACTGATAGGTGGGGGTACTGCAAATTGAATTGAACGTGTCATGGGGGTTTGCGCGATTCCCCTGATAATACTAGGGGCTGTACACGGGTGAAAGTAGATGCAGACAATTCCCTTTCGATAGGTAGGTAAAGGGGATGACTAAACCAAAGTTGGGGAATCGTGCCAAGTACTCTCACCCAAGTGTATGAGCATTTGGGTGTGTCTTAGAATAATGGACCACCACCCCCAAATTGCTTCTTTGCCTTTGGTGTCCCTTCCCCCCCAAAAAGAAAGAAGAGGAAAGAACGAAAGGCGCAACCATGCCCTTTCTGACAAGGGGGACTTCTATCTTCCCCATCCGCTTGGATTTCGGTCTCTGGTTTCAGCTAAAGGCCTTCGGGTCCCGGAGATTCCGCTAAAGTTGGAGCGGAGCTGCGGATTGAGGTCCTCAGCAAGCTGGAGGGCAGCGACCCCGTTCCTAGGCCTTCTTCCGGCCGGGACGGCTGCCGGGCCGGTGGCCAGGGGGGCCGCGAGGATCGCCTGAGCAGACTAAGGCGCCTAAAGTCTTGGAAACCAGGTAAGCTCAGGAGGTTCTGCAGGAGATGGGCAAAATACCAACCAGACACAAGCTGATTTCATAGAGAATGTCCTGCTGGTCACTTAGATGAAGGCGAATCTTTCATTTGTTAGAAGGCAATTGGAAGGAAGGTCCCCTTAAAGGGATTGTTGGCCTACGCGTTCTGGGGGCAAGAGGAACATGGCCCTTTCTGTGATGGTGGCAGCTGCGAGCTAGAGGAACATTGCCGACCGACGTGGTTTGGCGTGGAGGGAGTGGCAAATTCCAGAGAGCCAGTCATTGATGCAGCTTGTCGGGCCTGCTGGGGCCAAAGGGAAAGATGTTCTATGCCGACACAAAATCACAAACGCATCCCGTTTTGACAAATCCGGTCTAAACATCTTTCAATCTACCTGGCCGCTTGCCTAGATACCTACACGCTGTAATTATGTACTTCAGTCCAGGTTTACTTTGCGACCCCTTCTGATTCCGGAGGTAAATCCCGGCCGAGTCATCTTAGACTCAGAGGGCTTTTCGATGCGATATGATTCCCATTGGCCCCTCATGAGAACCGAGCCAATAGCTGTCGGGTTATGAATCCCCTCCCGCCAGAGATGCACATTTAGAGGTCCGCGCAAATACATCTCAATTACTTCCCTCAGAGCTTCCGCTGACCAGTGACCAAGTGACCAGAGGCCATTCAAAAGGAAGAGTTCCCTTTCTGAACGACCTGGGACCACCTGAAATTTTGTCAGGGAGGTGTTGAGCCTGAATTCTTTGCCCAAGGCTTCGGAGGGGCTCTGGGCTTCGGGTTGGGGGGGGGTGTTCTGGAGTTCAGGGGTTGCTGTTGGGATGCCAAATGGATCTGTCTTTTTTGAGGAGTACCCTTTTTGGGGTTGATTGGAAAAACAACTTAAGGGAAACCCCGCCCATTTTTCGTTTGTGACACACCTGGGCTGGGTGTGCGAGTCAACTGCCCGCCAGGAAAGAGAGGAAAAGCAAAGCCAAGAGAGCGAAGAAGGCGGCGATGGCTTTCTGTCAACATGTGTCATATGTTTAGCTTTGTTTGTCAAAATAGGGGGCCCAAAAGCAAATGTGGTGTTCAATTTGATTTCCCTCGGAACCCAAAGTTAAAAGGGTACCCTCCAAGAATACACACCCATACTTTCCTGTCTTGGAAGGATCCACAATTTGAGCTTTCACGGCCTCCAAAGGGTGTTCCCTCTAATGGTTCAATGGCTCTGGTGGGGTCCCTTAGTTTCTCGAAGAGGTTTCCGTACTGGAGGGGCTCAATGTAAACGCACACCCGGGTTGTGGGAAGGGAGAAGTGTCATGAGAGAACGCCTGAGAGGCAATCACAGACTAGTTGAAACAAAGCGCACACCCTACATGCCCATCCCTCGGGAATTCAATTTATGGTGAAGTGGTTTTTCCCTTTGCCTTTGGTTGAAAGGATAGAACATGGTTGACTGCACCAAATCACCCCCTCCCTTTGAGACATGATCTATTTGTAGATGGTCTGGGCGAAGTTGGCCCTCGGTCCGAGTCCTGAAGGGGAAGCCAAGGAGGGCTGTCACCAGCTTAGACTTCAAGCAGATCCGAGGTTCATTTTGGATTTTCCCAGTAAGGAACTACCTTTCCAAGCATGCAACCGCTCCCAGTCCTTCAAGGTGGTGTCTGCAAAGCGGAGAACACACTTTTCCGGTTTTTCCACCGTCACCTAACTGATTGGATAGGCTGAGGAGGCGGAAGGGGACGAGGAGAATGCGAAGGCGGGGCAGCGAGTTGAAAACGATGCAGGGCAAACTGTAGCCACGTCACCCAAGGGTTTCTTTCGTAGAGATGCCTTGCCGAAAGAGTGATTTCTCCATCCGGGGCTGGCGCCCCAACCACGTACCCCACGGACGGGAGCCAGCGCTTCTTGTTCCTCGCTCTCGTAACTTGCAGGAGCTGATCCAAGACACTCTCCGCAAGTTGGAGGCGGAAGGCTGGGCATTGAAACTGACGGCCCTGACGGCCTGGGTGAGCTCTCCTTTCGGTTGAGCCTTTGAAAGAATCCTCCTTTTTGGTAAAGCGGCTGCTTTCGGTGTCGTTTTCCCTTTGGGGGTGGTTTACAGGGAAGCCAAGCCACACCTTCAAACCTAGGCTCAACAGATGGTGCTGTCCTGCGCCCTGCACCCTGAGCCCAGATGCGGCTCCGGGACGGATGGCTTCAGATTCGCGGCGTCGGTTTTGGCTGGGGAGCGTTTGCAGGAACCGGCAAGAAGGGTAGCAAGACGAAGAAGACAGCCCGGCGCTCAGCGCGTTTTGGTTTCCATTTTGCAAACCATCATGAACACCTCCCAAACAAAAGCAGTGGGCATTCAATTTTCAAGGGAGCCCCCCCCCCCGAAAACAACAAATGTGTTTCAATATGTTTGTTTGTTCTTTTTGGCGGACACCTGTTTGGGATTCCATGCAAACAAATGCAGAAGGGCGCAACTTTGTGTGGAAAAGGGTGGGGTGCGTTTGGAAGGCCCGTCTAAACAATATAGCCGTTTCAACCAGGCTTAAACAGGGGATTGCCTTAACGCTGGTGCAGACATCTCGAGATGCTTCAGCCACTGACGCTTGCTCCAGTGGCGTTGAGCTAATTCTGGCGAGAGGCATAAAACGAACTCATGAAGGCCTTAGGGATTGAGCATTGTTGAAATCAAGGATTATTTCTTGGGCATTCCTCAAGGATGAAGAGTCAATTTGCCATAACTTGCGCAGGTTGTTGATCTCACAGTGATTCTAGTTGACACTCGAAATAGGCATCAACCAGGGTTGCCTGCCAGGCAGTGCAAGATAGTTGTCCTTCTTAATTGTAAACGCTTCGCGTTGCCCGCCTCGGCCCAGCCTAGTTTGAGGGAAGGGTCAGGAACACCGAAATCCAGTGTTGGGAAGGTCCGAATCCTACTGAAAGCTTGTGACCGCACCAGTTCGCCCGTGCTAGTTCGATGTTCGGAAGCCGTCCTGCTCGGAAGGTTTGAAATCCAAAACCAAGACTATCTCAGCTGCTCAGTGCCCTTGGAAAAAAAAGGACCTCTTTCTGGGGATGAGCATTTTTAGTGGGGCTTGGCCTCCATAAAAAGGGGAACAATAATTGGTGTCACTGAACAACCAAGACCAACTTTGGGTGTTTGGGCACCTCCATTTCACGTGGCTGGCGGCTTGCCATGACATACATTTCTTGCTCGGTTGCTCAGCCCAAGACAGGTACATGGTGGGAATACAAACCTCCATTTGCTTAAGTACCCCGGAAAAATATCCCCAATAGACACGCCAGCAGGCGGGCTGAGGGACTGGGCCTGAGGCTAGTCTCAGGCTGGCATACCTTGAGACGCCGAAGGGGCTGGCTGCTGGATGACTTGGGGCCAGACACGAGCAGGAGGTCAAGGCCTGGTCAGCCTGGGCTGAAGCCGGACTGGGGGGCTAGGGCACGTCAGACAGGCTTGGTAGCTGGCGTAGCTTGAGACCAGTCTCAGACACGTGAGACGGTCGTTGGCCTGAGGCCAGTCTCAGACACGTTAGACAAACCTGACCTTGGCACGCTGGGCTGAGCCTGGCTGGCATGCGCCGGGGCCTCGGCTGGGCAGGCTGGGCTGAGGTGGGTTGCTGGTTGGGCTGGGCCTGAAGCTAGTCTCAGCCACGAGATGCACCGGGGCCTGGGCTGGGCAGGGGGTTGCCGGCAGCCGGACTACGGGCTGGGCTGAGCTGTGCTTAGGCGGGTTGCTGGATGGGCAAGGCCTGTTTCATACACACTTGGTCCTGAGGCTGGGTGGCGAGTTGCTGGCTGGGCTGGGCCTGAGGCCAGTCGCAGAAACGTAAGACACGCCAGCAGGCGGGCTGAGGGACTGGGCCTGAGGCTAGTCTCAGGCTGGCATACTTTAGACTGCGCCGAAGGGGGCTGGGCCTGCTGGATGACTTGGGGCCAGACGCAAGCTGAACTGAGCTGCTTAGCCGGACTGAGGGGCTGGGCACGTCAGACAGGCTTAGTAGCTGGCGTAGCTTGAGACCAGTCTCAGACACGTGAGACTGGTTGGATGACCTGGTGGTTGGGCTAGGCCTGTTTCAGACAAGCTTGGGCCTGAGGCTGGGTGGGCTGGGCTCTGGCCAGCAGGCGGGTTGCTGGTTGGGCTGGTCATGCTTTTCAGGACAAAATCGACAAAAATGGAATCATGGAGCTGCGATTTCAAGGCCCGCCGGACAGGATTTTGGGCCAGCCGAAATGGGTGGGGGGGTGGTGGGGGCGGGCGGCCGGCAAAATTTTGGTTGGGGAGGGAGCGCCCTTGGCCCCTTTGGGGCCGAGGCGAATTTGTGCTCTCAGCCTTACTCTGCAAATTATCTCAAACTAAGATGCCCAAACGGGGGTCCATTCAATCAGGGATTCGGTTTCTGAACTGTATATGTTGTTTTGTTTGTCCGGGTTCCATGCCTTTCGCGCCTAGAGTCTCAGAGTAGTCCATTGGCTGTGAGCAGTTCTCAGGACGGCAAGGTTCCCTGTGGGATAGTCCTCTATGTCTCAAAATTAGTTCGACCCCGTCTTGGTGGTTTACCATCCATCAAAGACTTCCAACTTTTGTTGTGCAGCTCCGACAACTGAGGCAGGAAAGTAAGATGAACAAGGGAGTGGCAAATTGGTCAGTATCACAACCATGTGGGACTAATAGCGGAGCCTGTTGGAAATCCAGGTTTTGATTACACTCACTGTTTTCCTGGGACTCAGAAGTATTCAGTCCTAGTGGCCTGGCTGGTTTCCCTTGGGTGTCACCCTTCAGATATCAACCAAACGGGGGGTCCGTCATCCATTTGAGAACATTTCAGATAACAAATATGCGTATGTGTCAAAATAGGAGGACCCCGAAATGGTGGTTTCCTTTTGGGTTTCCCTTTGAACCCCACCAAACAGGGGGAACGGGACCCAAAAAGCGACAAGCCACCCATTGACCAGAAGTCACCTCTCACTCAGATCGAGAAGCTCAAGGCTTTGCTCGGCGAGGCGAGCCGGCTCCGGGAGAAATGCGCTGATTCCTCAAGATCAAACGGCACACCCTGGGAAGGTCCGAGTTGTCCCACCGGGATGCCAGTGAAGAACTGCGTAGTGGCCAGGCATTGCAGTGATTTATCCTATGAAATCAAGGTGCACACCACACCACATCAGATCACATCACACCGCATCACATTACACCACAGCAAATCACAGCGCATCACATCACACAAAGTCACATCAGCTGACATGACATTACACCGCATCAGATCACATTACGCCGCAGAACACCCTCGCTCCCTGGACTTCAACTAGCTTGGTGGTAGGAAAAAACGTGGTTTTTGCTTGCCAACCCACTTAGCAAGTGAGGCCTAGCGAGGAATCGGCGGCATTCAAAGCGACAGGACGAGGAGCCCGAAGAAGTGACCGAGGAGCAACAGCCCGGAGCTGAGCTGACGATGCCGGACCCTCACCCAGACACCCAGACACCCAGTGCAGCCCTTGGTTCCTTATCTCTTTCTTTTTTGAACAGTTTCCCTTTGAAATCAGCGACCCGGGAAAAAGAAAGCATGCGCCCGGTTCTTCCCCACGGCCGCTGGGGGTTGTGAATTTTCATAGGGCACCCTTTGGTGGAACGTTATTTAGGGGATTCATGTCCAACAACCAGTGTGGAGGGTGGTTCCCTATTGAGACTCACGGCCATACAACCCCCTAACCCCCAGTGACGCTAATTGTTGGCTGTGACCCACCTGTTGAGCAATCTGAGAAACCGCAACTCGCCGAATGGCTGTTTGTTTTTGTGTAGAACACACCTCGTGACCCTTGTAGCCATGGATTTGTATACGGTGATGGGGGTACGTATGAGAGACAATACTTGCTGCCCGCTCTGAGGATCCCGACCGAAATATTCCCTGAAAATGCATGTGCTTTATGAGGACCCAAAGGTTGCCAGGCCCTTTTGGAGCTTGTTCGGGGCTGGGTTGCCCAATATAAACCCTGCAGGGATTTTTCTGGTGCAGCTGGGCGCCGCTCGCAGGTCCCACATGGACTTCGCCAAGGCGATCCAGGAGGAGCAGAAGCGGAAGATCCACGTGGACATGAAAACCGTGAGGACACGTTTTCTCGAGTCAAGTCGGCTCTCAAAAATCAATCCTATAGATCTGAGTTTTTTTGGTGCGAGGTACCCTTTTTGGGTGGGGGTTTTACCATGGGAAGCTAGATTGCGGGTTCCATATTTGTTGAGATCGATTCACTCGGATGCCAGTTCGTGCTTGGGGGCCTTGGGTTTATGAGACGCACAGCAGATACCCACTGTTATTGGGGTATGACGAAAACCGCTCTCAGTATGTTTTGTTGGTTGTGCGATCGGGTTACGGCTGCAGAGAATCTACAGAGCAGGGTTGGCAAGGTGGACCCAGCCATCGCCTACCTTCAGCGAATGAATAGTTGTCACTTTAACTAGAGGCAGCAAGCTGGCCCACGTCACATCGGGAAGAGTGGACTTGTTCCTGCAGAGTTGGGAGTGTTGCCAGCATCCAGTCAAACACAATGGTGTGATGTCATTTTCGGATTCATCTAGAGGGATATACTAGTCAGGTGTGGTTCCCGTGCTTCCCCTTTCAGTGGAGATGGCCCATGTTAGCAGGAATCCTCAATGTCACCTTTTGGGATGTCCCCGAATGGGGTCGAACGTGCACCGTGGTGTCTCCAAGAAACAAGCGCACATAGATGCACATAGCTAAAATATTTGATTGTCTTTAGGTTTCCTTTCAAGCACAATTCGAATCTCATTTTAAGTCAAACCGGCCATTTGGTGAGGTGTCCCTGTACCGAACAATTCTATATTCTCAGCTACAGCTGCTTTGCCTCTCTAAGACGCTTGAATGCTTCTTGGGCGGCGGCAGGTCGGTCGGCAAATGCCAGGGCACCTCGCCCTTGTTGTGACCAAGTCATTGGAAGGACCGTTTGTCCTTCTGCTCCAAATGGGAAATCCTCTCAATAGTGGAAAGGCAGACTCCCTTCTTCCCACCCTTGGTTGCCAGATCAATATGAGTACTGTATGCAATTGGTGTGATGTTTGTACAGAACGAACCTGCAACCGCTTCGGGCTTGAGGCAAATGCCATCAAGGATCCCGGGGGTTCGTATGGACCAAGGCCCTCCTTACTCCTGCCTAATGGGGATCCTAGGGCCAAGCAAACGTGGCCAAATAAGGCTGGGGGCCAAATGAGACCAAATACCGGTCCTGTTGGCGGTGGTGGTGGGGGGGAGCAGGAGTGAGTTCAAGCGCGACTTCGGCAACGACGCCCGGTCCCTGCTTTGCAGCGGCTGCAAGATGGTGGCGGGCCGCCTCAGCAGCGAGCCTGGCGCACCCAGTGACCAGTCGCCTCGTGGGGGCAAGCTGCGGTAAACCCGAATGACCGGTTTCCTTTTTGACAAAAAAAATGCTTGTTTTTGTTCACAAGAAGTTGGGATATCTCTGGTTTAAAAACTGGGTCGCTGACCCGAAAGATCTATTTTAAAGGGAACCCTCCCCTGCAGGGCAACCACTTCTCCCGCATACCACCACTTGGGCATCACCCTGAATGGGTGCAAACCATGCTCAACCATTCGCCTAGAAACCTGCAGCAAAGACCGGGTTTCTTTTTATCCAAAGCGTTATACTAGTCAGGCGTGGTTCTCCTTTTAGTGGAGGTGGCCCATGCTAGCCTCAGATTCGTTGGGTCTTCATTGCATTCGCATCCCAAGTTGAGGTTGAGTATCATCAATATCACCTTTTGGGATGTCCCCAAATGGGGTTGAACGTGCACCGCAGTGGTGCCTCCAAGAAGCAAGCGCACCAAGTTAAAAGGCGGATCCTTGGGGCTCAAGCTGGGCAAAGGTGGCAAGGAGAAGGACAAACAAGCAAAATAAGGCCGCAGAAGCCTTTACCGGTTTGGGTGGGGGGTCTTTGGGATGAGGCCAAATACCGGTCCAGTTGGGGCCCTGGGGTGGGCGGTCTTTGGTCTTTGGGGCATAGCGACGCTTGCTGTTGATTTGAGTAGCTTTCAGTCCGACTATCCCCACTCTTCACGAGTCTCCGCAAGTCAACACGGCACCAACAAAAGAAGTCATATGGATGTCGTATTCAATATGTGTGAGCGGATAGTACGACCCCCTCCCACCCGCCACACCACCGAGAAGGTTCGATTCGACCCCTTCGGCCAAAACGAGTCCCTTGGACAAAGTCCGCTCCTTGCGAGCCGTTCCTGGAGGGTGCCATTGACAAGTTGCTTTGCTCCCTACACCATCTGGTCCTTTCGGCAAATTCGACATTCGAGCACGCCAACGTCTGCTAAGGCTACAACATGTCAATGTTGAAACAGGGCTTGACCCTTGCCTCAAGTTGTGATGTTTGACTCCTTCACTTCCCCTGATCGATTTGTGCGGGACCTGAGGCTAGACACTCACGACGTGCACGATCAGGTGCAATGGCTTTGTCGATGGAGCGTAAGATTTGGTTGCCGATTTTGAGTTAGGTGGGTTTGGGGTGGTACATATATGCGTAAACCTGCCATGCTTCATTTCGGCTTTATTTTTGTGTTGTTCAATAGTGGCTTTCGGGGGCGAAGGATCGTTGCGACTCACCCATGTGAGGTTGGAAGTTAAATTTGGCAGAGCTCCAAATGTTCCACAGAAATCAGGAGAACAAGCTCTAATTGTCCAATGTACATCAGGAAATATGTTGATTCCGTGGCTCATGCAGTTGCCCTCCCTTTGAATATTTGTGTTTCCCGAGTTTGTCTTCGGTCTCTATTTTTCTTTTGTAATAGGGTAGACTGAATATGGACCAGAAGATGACCATATTTGTTTTGGCGTATTCAAGAGTTGGCCAAGGAAAGGTGGAGTTCGGAGCAGGTTATCAGACCAGACTCTCATGATATGATTTTGGTGTACCCCAGATGTCGGCCCAGAAAGCTGCTGACGGTTTGTTGTGTACCCCAAAGTTGGGCATATCGCAAAGTACTTCATATACGGTACAAGTCCACAACATGTGGGCCAACATCTTGACACATTCTTCTTGTGTACCCCAGGTGTGTGTCGCTTTTTGATGGCCCTTGTTGTTTGTGCTGCCTTCCCTAAGCAAAGGGGGCAGCCCATTCCCTCGCTGGGGCTCCCAGTGGGCTCCATAGATGAGCCAGGAGAGCCCAGCCCAGATGCTGGCAGCAAAGCGGAAGGCCATCGACTCGACCTGCAGCTCCCTGCGGCACCTGCAGGCGATTGCGGTTCGAGCGCGTCGATCGGTGGGTTTGGGGTCGCCCTTGAAAAAGGGGTTGCTTTCCACTTGGTCTCCCCTAAAATCACTACCAAATGGGTTGGTGTTCCTTTGTTTTTCCTTTGAATCACTACCAGGTGGGTCGGTTTTTCCTTGGTCTCCCTTTTTATCACTACCAAATTGATCGGTTTTTTCTTGGTCTCCCCAAAAGTCACTGCCAAATGGGTCGCAGACCCCTTGGTCTGCCTTTAAATCACTACCAAATGGGTCGCTTTTCCCTAGGTCTCTGCTGAAAATCACCACTTAAAAGGGTCGGTTTTTCCATTGGTCTCCCTTTAAATCACCCCTTAGGGTCGCTTTCTTTTGGTCTCCCTTTAAGTCACCAAAATTGGTCGGTCTTTGGTACTCCCTTGAACCCCAAGCGTAGGGTTTTCCTTTGGTTTCCCCCCCGTCACGGCGGTTACACCTAGCGTGAGGCTGTGAAGTCCGAGGAGGGCGCGCGCTTCGAGGCCAGCGAGGAGATCCCATCCGTCGAGTTTTCAGCCGCCAGCGTTCCCTGGCCCAAACGCGGATTTTTTGTTTTTCTGGCACCCTCAAAGTAACCACTCAAACTGTTTGTTTTTGTGTGGATTGGAGTTGCAGGCTTCCGGGGTATATGAGCAATGGTCATGTTTTGTTACCTATGGAGGGGATGACATGGGGCAAACTTACTGCCTTCTTCGGATGTTCCTAATCATCCTTTTGGACGTACTGGTTCCGGCCCGGTGTACAGTTTCAAATTTCAGGTATTTGATGGTGTGGGTGTACCCTCCAAGTGATAGGTTTCATGTGGGCATCAAAGCGTACCGTTTCCTTGCAACCACGTGCCAAACTCTACAACGCACCATTCGACACTGAGCCAAAAAAAGCAAGTACTTCAGTGTTCAAGGCGCCCCTTAGGATTGATTCAAAACCGAGATGGTTTTCCCTGTGAGGTGCCAGGTGCCCTTCTTGGGGTGCCAAAGCACACTTAGGAGGTGCCAGATCCTATTTTGCCACACGAACCCAGCCAGGAGGTGGGCGAAGGCGAGCGCGAAGGCAAACGGCTCTGTGGGGGGCCTCAAGGAAGTTGATCTTTGCATGAGGCCCTGTGGGAGTTTCTCAAAGTGGAAAAGTATTTTGGTTAGTATGTTAAGGGAAAAGGATGCCGACTCGGGGGGAGCACTACTTTTGAGAAGCACCCTTTTATGTTGTTTTTTTTCTTTTTCCCGTTGGCAAGCCACAGGAAAACCACTATGCTGTGTTTTTTTTCCCCTGGTTTGAGGCCAACCCGTATTGAGAGCGTTTGACTCTGACTCGAGGCTTCTCCTCGTCTGTGTCCTTGGTGGGCACTGGACTTGCTTCCAGGTGTTCAATGGATTCCAGCTGGCTGTGGCTCAAAAAATCGGTATACCCAAAATGGAACCCTGGTAAGTGGAAACATGGACCAAAACCTGCGTATCCCCTCGTGCTTAATTTTGAGCCACACCCAGCTGTCAAATGCCTCTTTGTTTGAATCTTGTGGGTTCAGGCGCCCCCGCCGGGCAACCGGAATTCCAGCGCACAGTAGGGGACCACCTTTTGGGGATGCTTTTTAATGGAAACCAAATGAAACACATAACATTTCAAGGTCCATGTGGTGGACTTTCGTAAGCACCAGGCAGGAGTCAAACAGACCTCAGCGCCAATTCGCCTCAAAGCGGGGTCAGAGTCCAAGTCTCGCGGTCCTTGACTGGCCCGTTGTCGCTTACCCTTATCCTGTGGCTCCAGTCGCTGTTCAGAGCTTCTCACCGTAAGGTGCGAAATGGATCAACAAAAACAAAGCGCATGCACGCATGATATTTGTGCGAAGGGGCACCGAAAGGCCTTGTTTGTCTTTTTCAAGACACCGACGTAGCACAAAGAGACTATGAACTTTCAGAATCTGGTGAACCATAGACAAGTGTCTTGTTTTGGCGCCAACCTCGGCCAATACATGGTTGTAGTTTCATTGCCAGACTTGGCTTACCTTTTCAACTGTCTGCCTTTGTGGGGTTCCATCATTTTACCTTTCAACCAGCAACAGTGAAAAGCAAACTGTTTGCAGGCTTAGGGGGTGTATATGGGTGTGTCTTTTTTTGAGGTTGCCCCCTTTTGGTTGGTTTTAAGGGAAACCAGAAGGAAAACCACCATTTTGGGGCTCCCCTAAAAAACTAGGTCCTCCAGTAGTGTCCTTTTACCCTTTTTTGGGGGAGGGTTCCCTTTTAGTAGACTACCGAAAAAACATCGGGCACCCTTATTCTAACCTCTCTACTGGAGGACCTAGAAAGGATCTACCCAATTTCAGGATGGTCACATCACCGATTGTCGGGACGGGGCCACTGGGCCACTGGGCCACGCCGAGGGCAAAGACTCCACTGAGGCGCTGGCATCCTGGAAGAGTCGCGCTTCGATATCCTCGCGAGGCGTGGCTGAGGAATGGTGTCAAGAGAAGAGGTCCTTAAAGCTTGTGGTTGTCCTTGGGGTTTCCCTTAACAGATATATCTCTCAACAAGGGCATCCTTAAACCATCTCTGTTTATTGTATATATGTTGCAGGTCCCATAGCAGGTGCCAGGGTGGACAAACTCCTCGTCTTACCATACTAGGAGGAGGCCTACACGAAAGCCACTGGCAGGGAATTAGGTGACGCTGCAATTGCCGGCCTCAAAGAGATCTTCATTTGACCAGAGCTTTAGTTGAGCTTGCATGGTTTAAGTTTGGACATTGAGCTGTGTGTCCACGTGAGCCATGGTCCAAGCCTCCTTTTTCTTGGGATTGGTAGGGATGGTCATCAACTTGGGTTACTAGAAGAACCATGACCATGGCCCAGAATTGGCGGGGAGTTTTGATGAGTGCACGTGGGCGTTCATTGGTGTGTGTGTGTGTGTTCTTGGGCTCATTTTTGTACTTGTCATTGCTTTTTTCGGCCTGCTCTTTTTCACGTGCTTTGCCCACATGCGTCCGATTGGATTCGGGCGTCGACGCCTAGGCTGATCCAACGAAAGATCCCGGAGATGCAGATGGGTGAGAGGCGTGCTGATCCTTTTGGCCTGGTCCAAGCCCGTTTTGGGTGGGACACCTTTCGAAATCAGGTGCCCAAGCAGAGCGTGCTGTTTTGTCAAATCAGAACAGGGTTTGCAAAACGAAACTTTCACACGTTCAAACGTTTGTCTCTTTCATGTTTGGAGTGTTGGCCGGCACAATATACAAGAAGAAAACCTAGGATTTGAACCAGTTGGCTGACGCTCAGCGGCCAACCGTTGATTTCATCGGTCATTGTGTTGCAAGTACCATTGGTTTTGCGTTTTCCAGGTGTCTGTTTCCAGTATGACTGGTTGGTCGGTGGCAGACTCACAATTCCGAGGACTCCTCAGACTTGCCACGCTGTACGCAACCAGCATTGACATTTGGATGCCGGCGTAACATTTAGATGCTGTGCTGCTGTGTAACCCGCAAATGCTGCAGTGTCGCCATGTTAGTTTTGGAACATGCAATCATGCAATCTCCCCGGAACCTTGCAGGAGCTTTATGTTTGGCGGGGACCCCCTCCGGCGGATTTTTTAAACAAGGGCTCCATGGACACCGCGGCCTCTTGGCCGTTTTGCACGCATGCGTGCATTTGATGTGCATATTCATGTGCTCGTGCCCCCAGGCAGACACCTTGGTGTCTGCTTCTCCGCAGGCATCCAAACTGGGAGCGCTGGCTTTGCGCAGAGCGCATGCGTCTGTGCCGGGAGCCCAGTGCTGTGGCCTTTGAACGGCACGCCAGAGACCAAGAGGCTCGAGGCATATGTTGGCAGTTGGGGACATGAACATTCCGCTGCTAAATCTAGTATTGTTTCTTGCGTTTGCTTACTTGCAAGCCAACTTGTTGACCTTTCGGTTTCTTGGTGTTGGTCTATTTTGATTTAAAGTCAAACAACAGTGGAGCGTCTCCAGACATTTTTTGAGAAGGGTGAACAAAAAGCGTTCCTGGAAATGTGTCACCCTGAATGAACAAGGACCTGTCAATTTCCCGCTGATAGCAACTGCGCATCAGGACGTTGGATCTTCGTGGTTACCGCATCTTCTGACGAGGTTTGTTGTGACAAACAAGCAAACCTCCCCAGCGGGATAGCAGCCCAGCCGGCAAACCGGGTCCCATGAGGGGGTTGAGACAAAAGGGCACCCAGAAATCCTGTACTTCCGGAGGGTCCTAAGTTCGAGGTGGCCACTGGAGCAGCAACTCAAATGGGCCTACAAGATGGTTCTATGAGAGCCTCGCCATTCAGCTGAGGCAAGAGAAGCGAAGTGAGACATGACGAGGACGATGAGATTGATCAAGACCTCTGAGCACGGCGTCAGTTGACGCGATAAATGCTATTGAGAGGCGATCCGGCGCTCCCCTTAAGGTTGACAGTCCAAATACATCATACTTTGGTTTTTTGATGGTGCCCAACTGTTCCTTGCAGTCGAAACAAGCCTCTTTCCCCCCACCCGCTGCGCAGGTTTCGTGCCTTGCGGGCGGTTTCGCTGAAGCATATATGCAATGAACAAAAGAGTCAGTCGTCAACCTTCGTTCCGCACAGGCCGCTGTGGATGACAGATCCCCTCCGCGTGCCCTCGGGAGCGAGGCCCCGTCTCACGGTGCCGCCGGCTTACGGGTCGTCCGTCGTTTTCCAAACCCGCGGCGGCGAAGAAACCCGCGGCGAGGCTCGGGCCGTGAGGTCGTGAGGTTGCTGATGGGGTCATTCTGCATGCCAGGGCCCGCCTCATTTTTCGTTAGAGATAGTCAAATCCAGTAAGAATAACCCCCAGTTGATGAATAAGACTCAAGAGGGAAACGCTCACTTTTGGGGGCCCCCTAATATCCACCAATTTCTAGGGTTGATTAGTCTCACAACGATCACGGTTTCGCTTAGTTCACCTGATAGGTCCTGGAGTGGCAGCCCCACGGAAATCACTGCTTTTCAGGGGCTGCCAACACGCACAAGACATGGTCGCGCTAAATTCAGACTTTCTTTTCGCAGTTACCGTGGATATGCCTCTAAAATCAACCAACGGGAAAGACCAGGGTACCAGAGTATAATATACATCTCTGGCACCTCGGGTCAGTTTGTATATACTCATATATCCCCATACATATACATATATACATATATACATATATACATATATATATATATACATATATATATATATATACATATATATATATATATCATACATATGGATGGGTCAGTTGGCAGAGCCTCGACTCCTGGCATTGCGAAAGGGCCCATCGATGCAACCCCTCCGAGGGTGAGGGGTGTTGAAAGGAGCGAAGGAGAAGAAAAAAAGGGCGGGAGTGGGCACTTCTATGCGTGCTTCGTTGGGACCTCTCAAATGAGGTTTCTGAAGTAGGAGCTGGAAAAGTGGAATCTGACAATGGTGCCTGTATGGATGGTCTTGAAGACACACCAAGAGGAATCGCCGCGATTGGGCAAACGCGAGGTGTGCAGGTTCCCGGGTCAATCCGAGGTAAACTTGCCACATGAAGGCCTGATGAATGAGCTCGAAATTGACATAGTCGGGTATGTCCACCAGCCACTTGTGAGGTGGTTCCCCATTAAAGCTCAGAACCGAGCGGACAAATGTTGACCAGCCAGAGGGATTTTACGTGAGCTATCAAGGTCCCTTGGCAAAGGGTCCCGTATTTGGGAATGTCGTATTTTGCAGAGATGAGTTGGAACATAAAAGTTTTTTTTTTGTTTGGTGGGGCGGGCAGATGTTCCCTATAGTTTGGGCCCCCTGGCCCATGAGTTTGCGAAGCTAGAGCTCTTCGGGACCAGGTACCACCTTCACGTTACTCAAGGGCATCCAGTAGTCTAAACTGGGCCAGCCAACTTGGCAATTCAGCGAAGGCAGAGGATTCCTAAGTCTTGAGGCTGACCAAGGAGCGACTTCAGGCCTTTGGAACCAACCAGTTTGAAGGGGTCCCTTATTCTTATGGACGTAACTACCATTTCTGTTGGCAGTTGTTTATTGAACTGTTTGCTTTTGGTGCAGGATTCACTCGGTCTTTTTCTGATTTCGGATACACGGTCATCATCCCTTCACTGAGGACATTGACAATTCGTCAAAAGAGTATCACACAATCTGACCCTTTGGTTGCAATGCTCTCCCTTCCCCTCATGACAATGCATAGTTTGCACAGCGCGTATTTACTCCTGGGATAAAAACCATTATACGGAAGGGATAAGTCTTGGCCCCGAAAGTTCAACCTACTTAGCGAGCTAGCTTAAGCACGGCTATGTGTCAAGAAAGCCCTGTTGCCGCGCTTCTAACTCTACTCAACCCCCTGAACTTGTGTTGCCCCACCAGCCCTTGGACGGGTTTATATCCACGAACCATTGCCTTCGGCAGAGTCCTGTCCTCGCGGTGTTCACCTCGCCCCACCACGCCCCATGTGCACGCCGTCCGCCGTACCACGGCCCAATGCTATGTCCCAGTCGGGTGGTGCAGCCAAAACCTGGCGCCCAGCTCTTTGATCCGAGACCCATGGGCACAAGTATTTTCTTGACCAGAACCCTCGCAAGAGCTGGAGTATCTTGATGCTTGATCATGCAAGTTTAGTTGAGCTAACTTGTTGCAGTAGCCAACTGTTTGCTGGTTGCGGTTGTTTTTTTGTCATGCACGTGCTCGAGATGTTCGGTTGGCCTGCCGCAGCTCAACACTAAAAGCGATGCATGTCTCAGTCCAATCCAGGGATGAATCTACACATGAGATGTCGCAGGGAGATGTGCTTCAGGCGCAGACTGGCAATGGCACCTTCCTTGTGGCAGACTCCTGGATGCTTCTCTTGGCGGCCAAACCCCAAAATGTGGAGCTGAGATTTCAGTAGACTCACCCCACATAAGCTGCACAAAGGTTGTGCCGAATGCCATTACGCCTTGGTAGATAGTCCTGAGCCGGTCGACTCGGCAAGCACACATCCGGTGATTCGCTGAAGATGAGCCGCTTTGCTGGCGTGTGCGGCCGCCCAGGAACCCCACGGATCTGGGCGGGTGTGGTATATGGACGCCTTGGGAACCAGCAGTTCGCTTTGTTTTTCGGTTTTAACCATTGAAGCAGCGAGGGTCGAGAGGTATTGCCGGAATCTTGGGACCTCAAACAAAAAGTCGGCCTTCGAGGTCCGCACCCATCAAAATCCATCCTGTGGCTTCCCTTGGTTTCACCCGGCTGCGGCTTCCCCTTCCTTTGCAAAGTGTCGAAGTTGCCAAAAAACAACTGGAAGCTTGTTTCCGGACTTGGACAAAGAAGACACACCCATATGTTTAGACAAATTGACTAGAACTAAGATAGGAGACTGACAGAGTTGTGAGCTTCGATTGACAAACCCAATTTTACCTTCAAGCCATTCAAAGCATCCTTTTTTGGGTAGGGTGGCTTGTAAAAGAAACCTTTGCCGTTTGATTAATTGGGGTGCACCGGCCGATGGGGTCAGCGGATTTCAAGACTTCTAGACCTCCCTAAAATAAAAGTCGAATAGTGGTTCGAGGTCGGACCCCCCAACAACAGAAGAAGCAAGCGCTTGCTTACCGCCCGTGGCTCGTCCCCGTTCCCAAAACGTATAAAAGGACAACCTTGGCACCTTTCACAGGTTCCATGACAATGATTTGAGGGCAAATGCGTTGGGCCAGGGTGAAGCAACAGTGGTAGTTCGTGTTTTTGTTTATTGGGGGGGGGGAGGGGATGTTCTCTTGATTTAGGTTATATCATGTGAAGAAACAGGGCGCTGCCTAGCTTCCTGTACCCACCCGCCCAACATGGAACTTGACTCAGGCTTCTGGAAGACCAGTAGGGTCTTTTTCGTGGACCCTTTTGGTGTTGAGTGGTTCAAGCGTGTCTTGTGGTGGATAGTTCGGACGTGTGGAGACGGGACTATACTGCATAGTGTCTGTGTGGTTTGGCTCCGTTGGATCTGGTGCCCTTTGGGGGGCTTGTCTCAATGTTTTTTGGAGGTTCCACCCGGCATCTCTTGCGGCCGGTGTACTTTGGAAACTATCCACTAGCAGGTCCATATCCCATTTTATTCGCGCAAATCGTGGAAAGCCATAGGGGTTCCATATCCATTGGGGGTTCCATATCCCAAACCATCTATTCATTTGCTTTGACGGGAGGATTCTTCAATTGGAGAGTGGTGATATCTCCCGCCCCCTGATTCCCCCATTAACGGGAGGCTTCCGGAGCGGCGAGATCCACAGGAGGGGGGGTGGGGGAACATCTCCTTGGGCTTTTCGATAGTGAGTGCCTTATTTGGGGTAGAAGTTTGGGCCAAAATCTCAGAATTTGAAAATCGGGTTTGTTGTTCCGGTGTTTTTTGGTGCCCCAGATTGGGGCCTCGCCTCAACCAACGGGCCAAATCATATGAGGTTGACCAAAGCACAGCATTGGCTTGGTTTCGGCGTTTTCCCTTTACCAGAGTTGCCAAATATCTACCTCAGGCCTAGACTCCAGGTTCAGTCCTTGTTTAGGCTCCTTTATTCGGTAGTCTTGGGCTTCCAACACCAAAAATAATGCAACTTGGATTTGCAGGAAGCCCCGGTTTCCATTCACCTGGCTTCATCATTGGCATGAAAAGGACAGACACCAGTGCTTCAAGTGAAGGATACCCTCAAAAAAACAGAAAGCACAGCTATGAATCAACCAGCTTGACGAATCCTGGGTGGCTGCTTGCACCAATATCTGCAACTCCTTTTGCTGGTCCTTTTGAGACACCCAAAACCACAAAAGCGAAAAGCACGGTGACTTGTGACATCATCGCTTTATGACTTTATGAAGATACGACCACCATGTGTAGTGGCAGATGAGGTCACGACTTCTTGCATTGATCTGGTCCTTGTGCAACTCCCAGCACATGCTATTAAAGGGATAGCAAAGCAAAGACATTGCCAACTGAAGAGATAGCCAAGCAAGAACAAAGCCAGGTAGAGTCGAGAGATAACAAAGCAAAGACGCAGCACAGCAAAGACAGAACAAAACAAAGACATCGCAAAGACAAGACATAGCCAAGCAAAAACATAGCAAAGCCAAGACGGCGAAGCAAAGACAGCAAAGCAAGGTCACAGCTAGGCAAGGACATAGCCAGGCAGAGGCATAGAAGAGCAAAGACGCAGCACAACAAAGACAGCGGAGCAAAGACACGGCGGAGCAAAGGCATATCAAAGACAACAACAGATCAATCCTTTTTACAGTTGGCCGATCTTGAAAAAATGCACCTCGTGTGCGCTTTCGGTGTCGACCTCAAAACCGAAAGTTAGTGCGGAGAAGATTTCGTGGCAGGCATATAGCACTTTGCGAGCTGTGGTGGTTGCGAGGGGAACCTCGAAATTTCCTGCGCTCGGGGTCTGCCCGGAGTCTGGTCGGAATCGGCTGCCATTGCCATGGCAACGCGCAGTTTCGCAGCCTCAAAAAAGTGAACTTGTTGGGCACTTTTGGGTGCTGAAATCTTCACACGGCAACCAGAAAAGGGGCGAACAGAGGAACAGATTCCAAACAGAATGCGGGTGTCTGAGCGCCGCAAAAGCCGTGCTTTGTGGGTGTTTCTGAGAGCAGAAATTGGTTCCCTTCCCCTGAAATTTCCGATCGGCTCGTCCGGGCTCTGCAGGGCTTGAAGGCCACTCGCGACTCAAGGCTTATGAAAGCTACCAAGGCTGGGGCTGGGGGCAGAGCAACTCTGATTTCGCGCCAGGACAGGGAGTGCATGACAGAGGCGCGCTGCGTCCAATCAACTCTATTTTTTTGTTTGGGGGGGAGGGGGGGCATGGCGGGCCACCCAAGTTCCTCAGACAAGGCCCACGGGGCCTACCTTTTCCCACATCCTCTTGGAGAACAAAATCACGCTGTCCGTGACCTATAATATGCGTCAAGCTGCTCCTTGGGTAGTCATGTAGTATCTATATATATATACACATTATCATACGCTGAATTTTGCTCACAGGAGTGAATTGCAGGGTTGGCAAACTGACTTTGTTCTGCCTGTTATCTTTGACATCGGGTCAAAGCAGCCTCAAGCTTTTAGTTTGACCTTGAGCCTGAGTGCTTTTTGGGAAAAGGACATGCCAATGTGGATTTGCCAACCAACAGGCAAGTAGTTCTTGTTTTTGGTTCAGGGGTCAATAGCTGCCAAAGCAGGCTCCAAAAGTTTGCTTGCTCCAGATTCTCCATGCAAGAGGTGCTCTTCCACAGATGAACATGGAGCCCAAAAGACACATGCTTAGAAGAATGTCCTTTTTGGAGCTTCCTTTGCCGGCTCCATGTTAATCTGCAAAGGAGTGTTTTCAAGGATTTCATGAAACACACGCAGGTAACGTATTTTGCGCTGCGAGTGCCTGAGTTGAAGTCAAGTCAAGTGCACAGCGTCATGCCCGCATGACTTATGGGTGCGTGTTTTTTTTTTGGGAACCCCCTGTTTGATTTTGGTGGATTCAAAGGGAAACAAAGAGGCAAACCACCATCTTGCAGGTCGAGCCACCCTTATTTCTGATGACGTGGCTTTGTGCAATTCCCAAAGAGGGTCGAAGGAGACTTGCCAGGTGAGTCCGGTCAAACAGGGCCGATTTAAAGGCAGCACAAAGCCTGGAACAACGTAGAGGCCGGTGTGGCAAGAGTGTTCTCATTGGGGCAATCACAATCCTCGCTTGAGAGTGTTGTAATGCATCTGCTTAGTCGTACAGATAGTCATTCTACTCAATATGCATATATATATATATGTATTTAGAATCATGATATCGGTACTCTTATACTAATTCAGAAGCATAGCAAGGGCAGCACCATTCGGGGCCATTCAGGGACAAGGGCCATAATCCTCCCAGGCCTCCACTTCTGGCTATGAATCAGTATTAGAGACTTATAACCCAGTTCTACCATAAATACAAAAATCTACTAGATAGATGTATATCTCTACAGATGTACAAACAAATCATCAAAACTATACAGGCTGCGCCTCCAAATTAAACAAAACGGGGGCACCACAGGGGGGGAAGTAGCATGTATATATATATATATAATATGTATGTATATATATATATACAATACTCTGTTTTACAATGCCCACATTTGAAGGAATTTCTTGTGCAGAGGCGGATCACCTTGCCTTCATGCGCCGCACCCTGGCCCGGGCGCGCGCCCCAGAACCGAGAGCCGTTTATTTGTTGGGGCAGCCATCCGGTTCCGTAGCTTTGTAGCTTTTTCTGTTGGTTTCATATTTAACCCACGAAAAGATATTCACTTTTAGCAGGGGATCTGAGAACAACCCAGCGAAAAGAGGCCAGAACCAAAGACTATTTGCAGATTCCTGAATGACCCTTTGCCCGCGACTGATCTATTTTGGGGCACCCTCACCCTTTCCTGATTCTCCTTTGGGTGTAAGCATGGAACTCAAGTGAGGTAGGTCCGAATTTGTGCAGCGCTTACACCAGAGACAATTGGTAGATGGCACAGTTCCCAGTAGATGTGGGTAAGTATTCAAAAAGCGTCAGAACTACACATGAAAACAAAACGGGTCGAAATGTGTAAAAAGCAGGCAAAAAAACAGGATGGACAGCCGGCAAAAGCAGCACACACACACAGCGATGAACATGGGCCAACAACCAAAAGCCGAAAGCCGAAACCGACACCCTGCAGTGGTTTACCTTTGATTCCCGTCTGAAACCCCTTGAGAAGCCAACTAACCAGGAGTCCTGTTCCCGATGTAGAACACCTGTGCATCTTTCAATGAACCCCGCAAAGGATCGCTGCCTTTTGTGAAGGGCTTCCCTTGTGCTTTCCTTTTTGGTGAAGTGGGTCTATCTTTTGGCGGGTACCATCTCGACGGACCAGAAAAGAACAAGCCTGGAGTCTCCAGTAGCCTCAAACATGGGGTAGTGACCCCGTAACCGTAAGTACGGGCACCTTACCCCATATTTGAAACGTTGGCGACTCATGGCGACTCCACATACCCTACTGTCGCATTTCCTGAGTTTGGGCCTTTTTGCGACGTCGGGCTCCCTTTCCATCGAAATGTCTTGGCACGTGGATTTATCCCCATTTGTTCCGTTGGGTGGTAAGAGCTGAATGAACAAATAGATAATCACACCCTTCAGTTGTTCAACAAAAGACATACAGGCTTACCAACCTCCAAGCTCTCTTTCATCTCTTCGTTGTTGGGTCTTTCAAAGCACCCAACACCCAATCCCCTCCGCAACAAGCAAACCAACAGGTCTTGGCTTGCGCCCTGCCGACCTGCCCAGAACCGGGTGCAGAGCGCCCAGCTGGAAGCCCAGAAGCGGCAGCAGAGCCAAATCCTCGCAGAGGCGCACTTCGGGCGCTGGATTTCGCTGGCGGGGTTCCTGAGGCAATCGAGTTGCTGCCCTGTGTTTCGGTTGGGAAAGCCCAAAGGTTCTGGTTTTGGTGGTGTTTTGTGTCTCTTTGTTTTTTTGCTGGGTTGGGGGTGGGGGGGGTGAGAGTTTGAAAATGAGAGGCCAAAGGGCAAACGAGGTTTACAGGGTATCGACTTTGAGGCCCCTATCGGTTTTGCAGACGGGTATGGTTGTTTGGTGGTTTTTATTGGGTAATGCTGCTTGCATGCTGCCTTTCATAGCAAAGACGGCGTCACTGGGGCTTGTGCAGGGAGGAAGGTGTTGGGACCCGGGAAGAGTAGTGCCATGTTTGGCGCTTGAGGCCTCTCACTGTCCATCGGTCAGAACACCATTGCCCATGTGTTTCCTCAAAAAGGCCCCGCATCCATTTGGATACTATTGGGTTGTTCTTGGGGCAAAGAGAAACCGAAGCCTGTTCCATAAATACCCTTGGAGACACGGCAGGAAACGGGAACTGCCTTTGGTTTTGGGTTTGACCCACCTTCCCTTGCCAGGAATATCGGCAACGCATGGAGGAACAGGCGGGTGCCTGAGCAACGCAAGGCTTGTGGTAGGTGGGTTCAGGAGCAGTTCCGACTGTAGACCAAGTGTCGATATGCGCCCTCTTGATTCTTTGCTGGGTTTTGGGTCCACCTTAATGCCAGGATCTGATCTCCACGGGTACCTTTTCTTCTGTTTGTTTTTGTTGCTGGGCTTCTCGTCCACATCAACCAAGAATGATCGAGGATTGGTGGTTTGGCGTTTTGAACCGCTTCTTGGAGAGGATAAATGAGAAATCACCCTCGGAACTCCAAACCACCAATCGGAGGGAAACTGAAAAGAATGAAGGGTGTCTTTTCCCCTGACGGCCTTCAGGCCTTTGCAAAAAGGTTGCTGGGAACTTGCAGAAAAATGTTGGGGGGGGGGGGGTGGGCCCCCGACATGCCACTATGGTATGTACTGCCCTCCTCCCAAAGCTTTGCCTCCGCGTTTTTAACGCACATTTGGTGCATACTGGATCTGGGCACGATGTCTTTGGCACTTGGGTGGGTGTCTTTCTAAGGGTAGCCCCTAAAATGATAGCTTTCCCTTTGGTCTCCCTTTGTGTCTATGGCACTTTTGTGCTATTCTGTCAATTACATGTTTGCAAAAGCTTTACATATGGCGGCTCGTTGGGCCCATGCCAAGTGGTTAAATCTACATCCTGGACCACGATCCAGGATCTGCGGCTGGAATATCTTGCTTGCAGATTGGGTGACTTTCATAGCGCTCGATATTCGGAAAAGCTCAACATGTTGAGAAGCCACCCCTAACCTCAAAACCACCAATCCAAACCACCAACTAGATGTTAGCTGAATCTTTGCTGTGCCTGAAGTCAACGGGCTTGTACTTGGCGCAGGAATTTCGTGTGTAGTTGGTCCTTCCTTTTGACAGGGAGTTTCTCGAAATAGGATTCGGCTCCCCTTAAAATACCCTCCTGTTGGGGTGTCCTTTTTAAAGCAAGATAGTCTTTGCACGAGCCCCCTGCGAGGTTTCATGTTTGTGGATGTGGTTTCCTTTTGGTTTCCCGGTGAATACCCACCGAAATGGCGTCCGGCAAAAATCGGCAACGCTGCTCGATCCTCAAGTGGCGTGAAGAGATTGCTTGTTCGTGCCGGGCGTGTGGCTGACGGACTTCCGTGACTCGAGCCCGGTTTCTTCCGTGTGCGAGAACGAAGATCGACGAAGCGGCCAGAGCAGGCGCTCCCAGGACTCCTGCCCGCGCGCGAAGGGCGCAGAGAAGTTGGTCGCTGGTGCGACCTTAGCCGACTTCAGTGGCAGCCTGCGCTGCACTGCTCGGACGGAAGAGCTGGTTGTTTTAAGTAACAAGAGCCTCCAGGATTTGGAGCAGAATGTCAAGGACTTGGGTGTGGCCAGCCTTACCTTTCAGGCTCGCTGCGATGTCATCTTGGAAGTCGGAGCGAACAAGTGAGGCCCTGTCAAACATCAACAGTTTTCCTGGAGGGGTTTGCCAGAGTCAGAGTTTGCCTTGGCACCCCTTTGACTTGTTCAAGAGGACGTGTGACGAAGCAGAGAGGGTTCAACAGAATTTGTTTGCCACAAACCAGGGTCCGAGGGTCAACCCTACCACGCTTGGATGTACTTCTTGGCCCACCGTTGGTCGTGTGCCCCTGATTTAAGTGACCAACCAGTGTCAACTGGTCCAAGGGAGACTTCAGCCCCGATTTCGTTCCTCAAGTTGGAGCGGGTCCCGTAAGAGTTGCAGCGAAGGCCCAGTCAGGTGGCTTTGGAGGGCGCTCTCTGGCTCCACCATAGGAATCCAACATGAATCCAAAAGGAATCCATCATTCAAAGGGAAGCTTCGACCACCGACCCCCTTGTCGAGATGCTTGAAACCTCCCGCTGGGTCAGCCGCGCCGAAACCGCCCAGGCAGCGCAGCGGAAAGAGGAGCGGCAGCGCACTTTGGCGCAGCTCAAGGCCAACGGGTTGTCCTTCGCCGAGCCCGGGACCCCATGGGTGTCCTCTTGGTTTTCCGCTAAGCCAACAAGAGGCTTTCCCAAAAAGACCAGGGGTGGTTTGTTCAAATTAGAGGACCCCCCCCTCTTTTGCAAGGGAAACCTAAAGGACAAAATATCATCTTTAAGGAACCCATATTTTTTTTGGAGTACTCCACAGTAGACTCGGGAGTCCTCCTTGAGCAACTGACCCACCCCTGTTGGTTTGAGAAGTCTACCGGGCAATCAACAAGTGGAACCCTGTGCCTGACCCCTGCAGGAGGTTTGGGGGTGTCAACTTTTTGGTGACCAGACCCGATTGAATCGGCCCCCTTTGGAAGGACCTGTGTCAGTTGGGCAAATGGTGTTTCAACGACACCCGACTGGCAGCCCTTTAAGGCGAAGCAACAGGAGATTCGAGACATGGCTCAATATTGGATGGTGCCTTGTCCTCTTCACAGGTTTTGGCGACGCCGATGGCGGGTAAACTCAGCTCTCCCACGATGCAGAGTTGGGGCTTCCCTATTTCGGGCTTGTGAATTATGGCGATTTGAGGTTTGGCCAGAGACAATCTCTATAGTACAGCGGGTAATTTGAGATTCGGCCAGACGGCTGGAGTACCACCGCCCACCACCCCACCGCTACTCCACCCCACCTACAGCAAAGCGGCCAGGCGCGTGCGCAGGCGAGCTCGCCCACGCCGGAGCCGTTGGAAGCGGAGCAGGCCTGGCAGTCGGTGTTCGAATCAAAGGACAAGATCGCGAGATTTGTGTGTTTCTCCCTGACTGGGCAAGGAAGGATCGATTCCTTCGATCCTTCTTCCTTTTGTACTCATCCTTGTTCGGGTGTTTAACGTTTGCCCCAGCTTTTGAAAGGCTACTAGTAGCGCCCAAGTGCCGAAGGAGGGTAGAGCTAGTGCTAATTACCATGCAGCAAACAGGTGTGAATGACATTAGCTTACCCGCGCAAGAAGTTCCATGCTGTCCCATCTGGGGAACTTTCGTCATTTGTCCACAAGCTTGTTTTGCTCGTGAGCCAAGGAGCCAAGCTGCAATACCAACATTTGGCTGCCTCCCGTGGGACGCTTCCAGCCGGCGCTCAATTCGAGTCTGCTACTTTTACTTCCAAGCCCCGAACCGACTGTCTCAGGCAACCTTCCACCCGCCCTGTAGGAACTTGCGTTCCGAAGTTGCCTGCTTTGGACTAAGCAGAAACTCGCCGGATGCAACATGAATGGAACACCAATTTTCAGTTTTTGGGAATGATCCATTTTCGGATCGATCCTTTGAGTATTGGTTGCTCAAACTCATGTTCCCGCAAACGAGTCGGCCTGTTTCATAGTTTAGTAGTGGTTAGTATTTTCTCTAAACGTTTTGAATGTTGCTTGGCTAAAACCAGTGAACAACCAAGAGCATGGTGGGGAGGGCCGAGAATCAGGCTGGACCTCTCACAAAACAAAGAACGTCAGCGGGCTTGCGTTTGTTTGTTTCATTTTTCCCTTGCACAAGTAGCACAGGCAGTCTACAAGTCTAGCACGCAGATGGAAAGCCCTCGGTGGTTGAGGAAAACCCTAGGTTTCTGGCCGCGTGCCGCGAGGACCCAGAGGTGAGCGCGCTGCTACAGCGCAGGCCCTCGCTGCGGCAGCGGCTGAGAGTGGCCACTTGGACTGCGGGAAATCAACCAAAGGGTTGGATTGCCCGTCTTTCAAGTGGCCTGTGTAGGAAAAACAATGTGTTTTTTGGTCTTTCATGTTTGTTCTTTCAAATGAGCTTCTGTTTTTGTTGGCCTTTCAATTTTGAACCTTTTGTTTGGAGTGGTTTACTGGTTTGGTCTTTGTAGACAGTTTTACAGGGCAAATGCTCTCCACCGGCATGCATCTAACTGGCATATGTTGTAGATTTGAAAACAAAAAACACAGGGGGCCTTAATCAGAATAATCAACGCAACAAAAAGAACATATTTAAAGGCTTGTAAAGCAGGCTGACCTTTTATGCACACCGAAAACTGAACCACACCTAGTAAGATGCCAAACACCTCACAACGCCTCTAACCCCCCCCCCCCCCCAATTTCCTTCGACGACCCCAGCGCGCGCGGACTTTTCGCCGAGGTGCCTTCGGTGAAGTCCTTGAGCAAGACCTCCAGATCCTCGAGCCCCAGGAGTCCGACGAACATACGGCAAATACCGTGGCTAGGTCCCCCAGCTAGGTGCCCTTCCTTTTACCGTTTCTTTTTTGGGAGAGATTCGGTTCCCCTACTAAAATAGACTACAGAGAAAAAATGGGGGTACCCTTATTCTAACCTCTCTACTGGAGGACCTAGGCTATGGCTTAAATGGGACCCACGCAAAGTGCGTGTTTCCATTTTTTGCCGCCCTTGCAATCGCCCCCAAAAAATCGGAAAAAAGAACAGACACACCTTTTGACCCACCTGGCAGGTTTGGGGTTGTTAGAATTTAAGTGACATCCGACCCATCCACCCGCTCGTCCACGCGCTCGTCGCTCCTCCGCCCGTCCACCAGCCGCGAAGCAAAGAAGTTTGTAGGGTGTATTTGGAAGCCCGGTTTCCATTGTAAAAGCCTCTTTCGTAGTCAGTGGGTAACATGATACCATATGAAACCCAAACAGAAGAGGGTGTCCGGTGCGACTATGCCACCGGAAACGTGCTCTGATGGTGTCCTCCACTTTTTTCACTTACACCCCCGAGTTGAGACTGGACATGTTTGGTGTCAACGTGTTCCATATAAAACGTTCGAATGAACTTGACTCCCAAAGCCCTTAACTCGACTCGTTGGTTGCTTGGCTGGCTGGCTGGCTGGCTGGCTGGCTGGCTGGCTGGCTGGCTGGCTGGCTGGCTGGCTGGCTGTTTGGCTGGCTGGCTGGCTGGTTTGTTGGTTTGTTGGCTGGCTGGTTTGTTTTCTACCCTCAAAGGATCCGAAAGGGTGTGTGTGTGTGTCTATTTTTGGTTGGCTCAAGTTGCCTTTGACTTGCTGGTGCTCAGTAGGGAATGCTCCGGGGTTTTGGGAATGAACCGGGTTTGGATGGATTCCCTTCAAAAGGACGACAAATCGGGGATGGTTTATCATTTTTCTAGGGGTTGATTCCGCTTTCTGTTCAGCCATCGTTCTTTTCAACAACCGGCTGTTTCCTGGGTTTTTGCTGGTCTCCTGAAAAGAAGGATTTTTGGAAAGAGCGGAAATGGAAGGTAGCCCTAGTCCTTCGGGCCATTCCAATCGCAGGATGCATCTTTCGCATCGATGGCCAGGAAGCCCCGGGTGCCGCCAGCGCCGCGGCCCAAGGCGTCGCAGGCCAAGGAAGCGGAGGCGGGGGCCATGCGGCTTTGGGCCCGGCTCCGGGAGCCTTAGGGCCCATTTTTCAGCCCTAAATGGGCCTCTTTGTTCTGTTTTGGGGCCATGTTCTGTCCCTGCCGTGGGTCATGTTTGCTTTCCACTTTGGGTCAGTGAGCAGACTCATCCTCAAATGTCATCTTTGATGAACTACTTCTGTTCCGCACACGCCGTTCATGTTGCCCTGGCTCTAAACGGGGAAAGTGGTGCGGATCACAACCTCAATAGACCTTCCGCACGGCGAAGTGGAGAAGTTGAAGCTTCCAGTTTGCCATTGTGAGCTGGGCATCAGCCTGTCAGCCCCAGCGGTTTGGCCAGGCCTATCCGTGATCCGCGATGGCATGGGAACGTCATGGCTCCAATACATGGCATGCATCTGGGGAGTCATTCAAATAGCTCGTGATGCAACCGAGAGCTCAGTTGCCCAATGGCACCCGGTTTTCCACTTTTTGCGGCGGGAGGGGGGGGAGCCTCAGATGCAGCACACCTCCATTTGTGTTTGGCGTGCGCCGCACATGCACAGACGCCAGCCAGGTCCCTTCGGCCCAGCAGCCGCAGATGCCCCGAAAGGATCCGAATTGCGGAGTCGGCTGGGGCAGGTGGCTGGTGGGGTGCCTTTGCTCAGGTGCCTTTGGGAGGTCCAACCGTCCCCCCAGCCCCGTCACGAAACGCGGGAAGGGGTTCCCCAGATCTTTCACAGGCGAATTTCAACCACAACCTTTCGAAGCCAATGAGCGGGTATTCCGTTGAAGAGTACAGCAAACTCGCTGCAGATCGGCCTTCCCAACAGGTGATGTAAACAAAGACACCGGCGATTTTGAGTTTGCCTTGCTGTTGGCCTTTGTCAGGGCCAAACATCCGCCTTAAACCATCAGCGATCCGACCCAAAAGTCCAAAGGAGCACCTGCGTGCCACTCAGCACCAGCTGCTGAAATCGCCGGGTGGCACAGAAGTTGGCGGCAAGCCGCGGGCGGAAGATGATGCGCTTTGCCTTTTAGTTTGGTCGCAAGGGTACCTCACTCCCTGAGTTGCAGGGCTTTATGACCAAAAAGTTGGACTTTTTCTGCCCAACCCACTCAGGAGAGGTGCCCATTAACTAAGCTGCCCCGGGCCACTGCTACCGGCTGTATACCCTTTGAAAATATGTTAAATATTGATCAAGGAACAAGTGGCGGTGGGTAATGGGCCCTGTCCCAGTCGAAAGGTTTTGAGAAAGCAAGATGAGTTTGCATGCGGTCCCTTAGGCTTCCTTCTACTTGGAGAACTTCTTTTAGATGTCGCAACTTTGTGTTCCCCAATTGGTTGCACTCGTTTAGCACTTCTTATTCGGCGCGGCATATGATGTGATTTTGATCATAGGACTCCAATCCGTTTCACTACCCTTCCCTACCAGGGTGGGGATCCGTTGGGTTTGTTTGGTTCACTGAGGCTGTAAGTGTTCTTTTGTGTTGGGGGCGGAATATTATCAAAAGATGATGGTGTGGCTACGTGTCAAAGCCAGAGAACCTTCTGCGAATCGTTCGATTTCTGAAGCAAGGACCACAAACGGCTTCCGCTACTTTGGGTGTTCGGCCAAATAATTCAGTGGCTAGCCCACGCCAGGGGGTTTTGACTCACAGCCAGATGAGTTTGCCTTAGGTCAGGTGCGGTTGAGGGCCCTGCAATCCTTTTGTTGGGACTAGGTGTCCTTTTGAAAGTTCCTTTACTGGGTCCCTTAAAGAAGGGGGCACCTGACCATAGAACCACTTGATTGCGCTCCTTTAGCACCGTCAGAAAAAATCACGTGCATTCGCGATGGATTCGGCCGGTAGTAAAATCTAGATTCTGTTGGATTCGGCCTTCAGTTAGCAAGCTTCCCTGTCACCCCACAGGTGTTTTTAATCATCCCCTCCCCCGCGCCGAGAGGGAGTTTCCTTCGGGTTTGCGGGTTCCATGGAGGACGGAGCAACAGGTGCGACGCTGGCATTTTTTCTGGGATGGTGAGAGGAATTGGTGCTCCCGAGTGGCTGAAATGGCAAATTTCTGCACAAAAGGTGAAACTGTACTTTAAGACATGGCTTCAGGTGCTTGGTTGCAGTCAAGGGAATGTGGGCTGAGTTGCTGTGGCCATGCTAACAGGGTGGAGCGTAGAGGCTACCCATGTGCGATTCATGTGCAATATTCGGCCATGTATTCTGGGACAGGACGCATCATGAGTGTCTTCAAAATTCAGGAACTCCCTCTGGGCTGGGTAATCTGAGGAGCGGTTTAAAATGGGTGCATGTCCCACTGCAGTCCTCCTTGTGATTAATCCGCAGCGGACATTACAGAGGAAATCAGAGGCAAGCAAGGCAGGGCTGGTGACTCAAGCCCCTGCTCCACGCAGCCAATGGAATCTCAGGGTTTGGTAGGGAATTTCTGCAGCCTCCACAGAAATCCTCAAGTTGTGTTGCTCTTGTTTTACATGTACAACAAAATAGGTGGTGTTGCCTTGTTTTTAAAGGAGCCTTATGGCGCCCCACTGTGAGCCCTCTTTTGATAGTTCCCAAGCACCGCTCGGCTTGTTTGTTCATACCACTCCTTGTTCTTTGCGCAGGTGCGGCGTGGTCATTTACAAGCAGCAGATGAAGGCGTCCGCTGCGAGAGCCATAATCCTTTAGGCAAACTTGTTTAAGCGTGTTTGAACCACTGTTGTTTAGTCAAGCCGTGCATAGCTGCGCATATCTGCCCATGTGATTTGTTAGACAAGGGCTAGATAGGCTCGTTTAAGCAATGACCGCGTTTGATATGAGTCAGGGCAACTATTTGGAACAACGATCAACGTATGTGACGGTGCTGTGAAAAAGAGCTGACCCTTAGAATATTGATGTGACGAGAATGAACCAACATGGATGTTTAAACCCCAGCTGAAATATAAATATATATATATATATATACATTGGCGAACCTGCCAAGCGGAGCCAAAACGGTTCCATGTGGGTCCTCAAGCAAAACGCACCCCGCCTCTTGCAAGTCTGGGCGTTGAACGGGCGCCTTGCCAGGAACACTTCAAGCGGATCGCGGAGGCAGCAGGAGGGCCCGGGATCGCTCAGGTTGGCTGGAGAGGTATCCGATCTCAGAAACGACTCGGTTGCTTTCTGGGAGTTGAAAGGAAACCAAAAGGACCACCTAAAGACGCATACATGACGTGCGGTGGTCATGGCCCCCTTACAAGGCTAATAACTATATCCCTACCACAAGCTGGACTGCGGAAAAAGCTGGGATCTCTTGGAATGTGAGGATTTCAACATGGCTTCACTTTAACATATTTGCTTGCCTGCAGACTTGCATTAACATCAAAAACCCAAATTTGTACGAGAACCTTCTTAGGGGAACCCTCTTTTGAGGGGGACCATAGTTCAATGTCAATGTTGACTTGCAGGGAAGTAAGCTGATTTGTCATTTGCTTCTATGGCAAAGAGTAAGTGGTCAGGATTTGTGCATGTTTTGGGGTGGCAAGTTGAATCGGCAAACGGAAGTGGAATCTCGTTGGAACCAAAGTCTGGAAAACCAAAGGGACCTGGGTTTCAGTACCTGAAGGCAAGCTACCCCAAAACAAGAGCGCTACTTCTGTACAAGCCACGATGTAGAAACTTTTGAGAGATTACTGGGGAACTCCTGAGATCTCCTGAGATCCAGAGGGAGCACTAGAACCATAGAAACCAAATCCCGGATCTGGTGACTTCAATGGATCATGGGATCCCGAGGTGGAGGTGGGCTATGGTGCCAGCGCGGGCCTGCAGAAGTGCCTGGCTCAGAGACGGAGCTGTGTGGAAATCGACCCGAAGAATTTGCCCGCGAAGGATTTCTACAAAACGGGCAAGAGCGAAAATCGTTGGAGTTTCTGGATTTGCGACCTTCAGCTAAAGGACGGCCGGGGACTGTAAGCCGAAGAACTGATCTTGTATTGTGTGCCATTTCTGGATCAGAGTCTAAGCTGTTTATGTTTAGACCTCAGATTGGGCCAAGGAACAGTCACCACAATTTGGAAGGTCGTTGTAGTGGCGGTCGATCCACCTCTTCCTCTGCCACTCGTTTCGACGAGGTGTTGCGCACCAGGTTTCAATTGGCGGTGATTTTTGGAGTTGGGCAACTTTCACCCTTGGGTGAAGGACAAGTCGTGCTTGAAGCACTCTCGATGGGAAATCAGGTCGTAAGTTCGGCGAACACAACCCCAGAATAGTTTTTTTCGAGACGGGTAGTAGTTGTGTTTTCTTTTCCAATAGGATGCTGTAACCACGAATCAAAGGTCAGACCACATGCCCAGAGTCTGTGTTCTTTTTTTTTAATGGGGGCTGAAGGTGAAAGGTGGGGGGCGAAAGGCAAACAGTCTTCTCCATAGGCCAGCATTCGGACCATTCGGATGTTTTTGGTCAGGGTCATTCTCTCATGTTCCCTGCGAGCGCGTGGTCCATTCCCAAACGGCCAACATTCGGACCATTCGGATGTTGCTGCCTGAGCTCAGGCGTGGTCCATTCCCATAAAAGCAAGTTTTTCCAGGGAGCCCAGAAAACCACCCACCACGGGACATGATTGACTCGGAATCCTTTGGCTCAGGTCCATCTTGTCCAACCTCGCCAGGCTCTCCGGAAAAAAATGCTGGGGCGCGGTGGGCTGCGGGCCTCTTTTGAGGCGTTTCCCCTCACAAAGGGAAAGCCCCCCAAAGCTGCGGGGCCGTTTGAACACGCCTGAGCTGGGACCTGTGATGTTTCGCTTTCTAAGCTGTGCCAGAGGGGCCCAGGTTTGTCGCAGATGTCCCAAAAGCACATTCGCTGGGTGGGCCAATGGTCAAGCAGGCATGGAGAAGCAGGCATGGAAGTGTTCAAGAATGGGGAGAGTGCATGTGCAACAAAAAGGCTTCAAAGAAGCGACAGGCAAACCAAATTCCCTAATTATCCAGCAATCCAAAGGACGCAAGGTAAAGGCCAGGTACACAGCACACAGCCTTAGATCCTCCAACGGGTTGCAGACCTGGATCCGGGAGGAGGTGAAGATGTGGGATGCTACCAGGTATTGTCAACCCTATCAAAACTGCTGGTGTCCTTTGTCCTTTGGTTTCCTGTTCTCTTGATTCCCTTTGCCCAAAATCAAGTGTAAATGCTCTGGCCCGAAAGGACTTTGCGAGCACCACCCTGCAAAGGCGCCCCAAGTTGTCAGGACCTTCCAATCGAGAAGTCTACTGGGCAAAGGCTCCCTTGTTGGACGGGGTCTTTCGAGTTTTTTTGGGGGGGTAGGTGTGCAAGGAAGGGCCCTGACAAACATGGAAGGTTGTGTTTGTTTTGCGCATGTTCTGATTTTTGCAGCTACCTATCAGCGGATTAAAGGACCCCACCTATGATAAGTGCTCCTTTTTGAGGATCCCTTGATTCAGACAGTGAACTATGAGGATTGCCTTGATTAAGAACCCCAGCTCTGGAGTTATCCAACAAGCAAATTTAACGGACACCAGCGTTTTTGAAGAGTCCATCGACACACATGGCTTTGTCTCATTCAGAAACAAGTGTTTGTCTCACGGTGGACCCCACAAAATGGGTTGTCGTTTCCTTCAAAAAAGGAACAACTGGAGCAAAAAGGATACCCTCCAAAAAGCAAAACACCCATATAGACCTCTCCCCCCCTTCGGCTGCTTTCCCTGTGAGGCCGGTCCGGGTGCATCGGCTTTTTTCGTTCGGACAGGCCGGTGCTTTCTGAGCGTAGCCGCGCTCCCTAGCGAGCAGCTTCGCTTAGCTTTCGGCACTCCTGGGGTCCATGTTGGGCGAACGTTTGGGTCAGCGTTTGGTACGCCTTTTCCGTTTGGGCCTCTTTGCCATTATTTCGCATTTAATTAAGCTGATTTGCAGAAAAGGCGTTACAGCTTGGACTCGGGTTGAGCATTGTCCTTCGGTCTTGAGCTTTGCTATCGCAGAGCCAACTTTGGCCGCGACCATGAGGTAACATGTATAAATGTTGGCCTTCACTAAGTACTACTACGGCATGTTCATGTAGCATACAGCAGGGCGATGTGAACTGTGACCATATCCAAGTTAGACGGATTGATAGTATGAGTGTGCTTGCCTTTATTCACTTCATCATGTGGACAGTTTTATCATTGTTTGTTCTGTAAGGCGGGTATGTCATGGGCCTCGAGGGAAATGGGTCCAAATCTAGTAAGGACCCGTACATCATGAAGCCCGCAGTTCCAGGTAGCTCATGTGTGGACTCTTGTTTGCGCGTGCACAGGAGCCGCGGTTAGTATGAGTGGCTCGTTTTTTTTGAGGCTCCGCGCCTTCTTTTTTGGTTCGTTATTGGGAAACCAAAGGAAAACCCACCCATGTTCATGGGAGGGATCTGTGTGTGTGTGTGTGAGATAAACACAGATTCAGCAGGTGTCCCCAACTGTGTGCCCCATGTCATCCCCTTTACCACCGTAGATGGCAGCAAATATTGACGGTTTCTGACATCAGAATAGGGTTACCAAGTTCCTTCATCAGTTAACTTTTGAGGTGTTCAACATCGTGAGCCCAATGTTGGGTATCAAAGGGCACCAAGATGATACCACTTATTCTATAGGTGCCCTTTTTTTGAGACACGCCCGCGGTAGTCGCGACTCTTAATGAGTGAACCTTCTTATGGGCATCGCTTTTTTTGTTTCCTTTGCAAGTAACGCTGTTGTAGGACACGCCTGCATGAAGTTATACAAAGGGCTGAATAGTTGGTCACGACCCAATCGGTAGAATAGTACCGTAGTACCCCACAATCCATATTACCAGTAGAGCCGGCGAAGCCGGTGGGCGGAAGTTTCAAAAATATAAAAACTATAGTTCTCTTTCTCTTTCCTTTCTTGACTCTGTTTTCTCTTCTTCTTCCTTTTCAGTGTTTCTTTTTTTCTTCGCCATTCTCTCTTTCTTTCTGTCCTGTCTTCGCCTGTCTTCCTCCCTTCTTTCTTTCTTTCTTTCTTTCTTTCTTTCTTTCTTTCTTTCTTTCTTTCTTTCTTTGTTTTCGTTGTTTCTTTTTGTTTCTTTCCATTTCCTTATCGTCTCTTTCCTAACTATCTATCAATCACTCTATCAATCTTCTTGATTTTCTCGATCTACCTATCTATCTATCTATCTATCTATCTGTCTAACCTATCTACCCCTCTATCTATCTAACCTACCTACCTGTCTATCCATCTCTCTCTCTCTCTCTCTCTCTCTCTATCTATCTCTCTTTTTATCTATCTATCTATCTATCCATCTATACATCTATCTATGCTTCTCTCTCTCTCTCTATCTCCACTCTCTCCAGGAACAAGTCCCAAGCCCATCAAAATGAAAATGCTACAGCCAGCCCCATGTAAAAGCCGGGGGAAACACGCCAGCGTCCGCTCTTTTTCTACACACGGCTTGCTCGTGAACACATGAAGCCCGTGCGGCCTGAGCCGGCACGCACGGAGGCAGCTCCACGAACTGCGCGCAAGCCGCGCGGCCTGAGCCGGCACGCACGGTCTTCGCCTCAGGGCCTAGGCGCTGGCAGCTGCCCAGTCCCAACAAGCAAACTCCATGCTCCGCGAGCGTCCGCCTCGCTCATGAGAACGGCGACCCGCGCCTTGCTCAGCATGATCCACTGTCGGCTTGTCACGACGCCGCGCTCATTCAAATTATCGCACTGCTGCTGAAGTTGCTGCGCCGGGACGCCGTCCGCCGCCAAGGCATCCCAGCAAGTCTCGCAGATGCCGATGCGCTCGTACTCCCGCTGGCCAGAAGTGGAGCGCCACAAGTTGCCTTCCTGAGCGCGCGCGCACGCCAGGCAAGCTCGGCTCGCTAGGCAGTCATCCACATCCAGGTTAGCTTGGCGCAAGGCCTTCAGCTGATCCAGCTGCGGGCCCGCGAAGCGGTAAAGCTTGTCTCTCATGGCGGACACGCTACGTGCGAGGCCGGCTGAGCCGCCAAGCCTCGCCTGTGCCCTAACAGCTACTTCGAGATGGCTTTCGCATCAAAGATGGCTTTCAGGCACGGCTTGCGCAGCGCGGCGAACTCTTCGAACCGGCGCTCTAGCACGGCCACGAGCCTGTCCAGTTGCCGCTGAAGCACCGGCTGAGCCGCCAAGCGCTCCGCATCCGCGGGTTCACAGAGCATGGCCTCCCACTCCAGCAACACGTCTTTCTGCTGCTGCGACATGCTTAGGAAAGCGCCGGTTCATGAAGTTCTTGCCGAACGTCATCTGTGCATCGCCGCCAGCAGCGTGGACATCAAAGATGGCTTTCAGGCACGGCTTGCGCGCGGCGAACTCTTCGAACCGGCGCTCTAGCACGGCCACGAGCCTGTCCAGTTGCCGCTGCAACACGTTTTTCTGCTGCTGCGACAGCTTAGGAAAGCACCGGTTCATGAAGTTCTTGCCGAACGTCATCTGTGTATCGCCGCCAGCAGCGTGGACATCAAAGATGGCTTTCAGGCACGGCTTGCGCAGCGCGGCGAACTCTTCGAACCGGCGCTCTAGCACGGCCACGAGCCTGTCCAGTTGCCGCTGAAGCACCGGCTGAGCCGCCAAGCGCTCCGCATCCGCGGGTTCACAGAGCATGGCCTCCCACTCCAGCAACACGTCTTTCTGCTGCTGCGACAGCTTAGGAAAGCACCGGTTCATGAAGTTCTTGCCGAACGTCATCTGTGTATCGCCGCCAGCAGCGTGGACATCAAAGGTGGCTTTCAGGCACGGCTCGAAGAACCGGCGCTCTAGCACGGCCACGAGCCTGTCCAGTTGCCGCTGAAGCGCCGGCTGAGCCGCCAAGCGCTCCGCATCCGCGGGTTCACAGAGCATGGCCTCCCACTCCAGTAACATATCTTTCTGCTGCTGCGGCAGCTTGGGAAAGCACCGGCTCATGAAAATTCTGCCAAACTTCATCTGCATCGCTGTTGGATGCAGCGACGTCGAAGATGGCTTTCAAACATGGTTTGCGCCATGCAGCAAACTCTTCAAATCGCCGCTCAAGCAAGGCTAGGGACCTGTCCAGTTGCTGCTGGAGCGCCGGCTGAGCCGCCAAGCGCTCCGCGCCTGCGGGCGCGCATAGCACAGCTTCTCGAGCACGCAACTCTTCCTGTGTGAATACATGGCCTTGTCGCTGCAAATAGCGATGCCAAGCTGCTCTTTCAGGGACCGATGTGCGTCCTGGCCGTGCCTCGCCAGTTCGCAGCAGCTCCCGTAGATTTTGGCATTGCAGCTGCCGCAAATCTGCAGCATGCAAGTCGAGATAAGAAAGAAACTCTTCAAAACGACCGGCACTTGCCATGGCGCGACCGCGGCGGCGCGAGCGAGTTAGGCTAACAATGCGTTCGGCTAGCCTGTTTGAGGCTAACAATGTGTTCGTGTGTGCATATGTGGCCCAACTGGGCAAAGAAAGGACAAGTCAGATATGTCTTCTTTCTTTTCTCTGGGATGAAGAATATGAGATAAGAACCACAAGAAAAGCAAGTGTCTTGTATGTGGCTTGGCGTGTGTATGTGTAATAAGTAAGTCTGTGTGTGTGTGATCGGTCAGATATGTCTTCTTTTAATGTGCTAGCGTGAACAAGATAACACGAACACCACAAACAAAACACATGTCTTGTGTGTGACTTCGTGTGTGTGTGGGTGGTGAAGCTACTTGTGTGTGTGTGTGCGTGGGTGTCGTTGTAACCACTGCTCAAAACACGTGAGTGTCTCGGGGGCCAAGAAACTTCGACTGGAACACGCTGTCCAAGCCGGCACGCGTAGCAACCGTGCCGGCTCAGGGCGCGGAGACTTTTCCAGAAGGACACGCGGCCTGAGCCGGGACGCATAGTGACCCTGCGGCCTGAGCGGGCACACTGTCTATCTCTTTCTCTCTCTCTCTCTCTCTCTCTCTCTCCCTCTCTGTCTGTCTGTCTATCTGTCTTTTGATCTTTCCATCTATCTATCTATCTATCTATGTATTTAGCTGTCTGTCTGTCTGTCTGTCTGTCTGTCTATCTATCTCTCTCTCTCTGTTTCTATCTATCTACCGATTTATCTATATCTCTATCTATCTATCTATCTATCTATCTGTATATAAATATATATCTGTCTATATCTTTCTTTCTTCCCTTTATATCTATCTATCTATCTTTCTTTCTATTTTTCTATCTTTCTATCTATCTATCTATCTCTTGTTTAATCTATCTATCTACCTGTCTGTCTGTCTATATACCTATTTCTCTCTCTCTCTCTCTTTCTCTCTCTATTTGTCTATCTTTCTATCTCTATCTATCTATCTATCTCTCTCGCTCTCTCTCTATCTATCTCTACCTGTCTATTGATTTTTTCTTGATCTATCTATATCTATCTATCTGTACTTAACCTTGCCCGTGCCAATGGGCCCGCGCTCCGAGCATGGTCCGAGACTGCCCAAACGCGCTCCGAGAGTGGTCCGACCAGGCGCCGCCAACCAGCTAGCTTTCAACTCTCCGGAGACTCCAACTCACGCACAGGGCCACGCTTTTTGCAGGTTCCTTACTCCCACCGCACGCACGCGCGTACCTCACCTTTCGAAACTGCTGCGCCTGTCACGCAATTCCTTGGGAAGACTTGACCTTGCGAAAGTGCTGCGCCTGCCACGAACTCTGCACCTGACCTTTCGAAAGTGCTGCGCCTGCCACGAAATCTGCACCTCACCTTGCGAAAGTGCTGCGCCTGCCACGCAATTCAATCCTTGCGATACCTCCGCGTTGCCGTGCCAATGGGCCCGCGCTCCGAGCATGGTCCGAGACTGCCCGAACGCGCTCCGAGAGTGGTCCGACCAGGCCAATCAGCTAGCTTTCGGCTCGCCGGAGACACCAATTCACGCACAGGGCCACGTTTGTTGCAGATTCCTTACTCCCACCACACGCGCGCGCATACCTCACCTTTCGAAAGTGCTGCGCCTGTCACGCAATTCAAACCTTGGGAAAACTTGACCTTGCGAAAGTGCTGCGCCTGCCACGAACTCTGCACCTGACCTTTCGAAAGTGCTGCGCCTGTCACGCAATTCAATCCTTGGGAAAACTTGACCTTGCGAAAGTGCTGCGCCTGCCACGAACTCTGCACCTGACCTTTCGAAAGTGCTGCGCCTGCCATGCAATTCAAACCTTGGGAAAACTTGACCTTGCAAAAGTGCTGCGCCTGCCACGAACTCTGCACCTGACCTTTCGAAAGTGCTGCGCCTGCCATGCAATTCAAACCTTGGGAAAACTTGACCTTGCAAAAGTGCTGCGCCTGCCACGAAATCTGCACCTCACCTTGCGAAAGTGCTGCGCCTGCCACGCAATTCAATCCTTGCGAAACCTCCGCGTTGCCGTGCCAATGGGCCCGCACTCCGAGCACGGTCCGAACGCGCTCCGAGAGTGGTCCGACCAGGCGCCGCGAACAGGCTAGCTTTCGGCTCTCCGGAGACACCAATTCACGCACGGGGCCATGCTTTTTGCAGCTTTCTATACTCCCACCACACGCGCGCACATAGAGAAGGATCCTTCTCTTCATCTGTCTCAGCGAGAGCTGGCTTTCAATTAGTTGCCGTAACACGGAAGTTCCTTCTAAACTTCCTTTGATCAACATTGAACGGCCCTAGCAGACCCTGGCATGCACATTTGGCATCGGCCCTCGAAGTTGCTTTGGCCTCTCAAGGAGACCTTGCGATGGATGCGTGGCAAAATGGCCTTTTGCTCTCGCTGGGAGCTGCAAGGAGTTTGTGAACTCTATCTGTTCATGGACCAAAGCCTATTGGCCACGTCAGAAGAGCGTTCTACTTGGCTTAGCGGGGGACAAGGCCTTACAACAAACTTTAAGATTTAACGTCTCAGTAGAACAAAAGGTCACCGGGCGGGAGCTGTTCATGTGGGAATGTGTTTTTCCTTTGCGGGTACCTGGTTGGACTTGTTTCACAACCAAATGGTCGCCTCCAATCATTTCAGGGGCCATTGGCCATCTGTTCGTCCTGGCTCAAAGCTGAGAGCGATTTTGGCATCAAATTTGGATGATCCTTTGCCTCGCAAGCCATTAGCTGTCACACCGTCACGTGTTTTTGGTTTGGCTCGTCCTTGAGTATCAACCTACCAGTGAGAAAACAAGTAAGCTTGGCAAACCGCTCAGGCTGAACCAAGGGAATTACACTGCCGCATGCCGCATTTTTATGTCACCGGGATGATTTGGAGCAGCCAACTGGAGCGCAGTGTTGGTAGGCCGCCTCACTTTCGCCCCCCCATTTTTCGCCGGCAATAAGACTGCCGCCGCGGACTCCGCGCGAGCAGCAGCCGACAGGCGCCGAGCTGCGCCGATGTGTGTGTGGGCCATGGAAGGGGCCGACCAGTGACGCCGGGGAGTTCCTGGCGATTGAGCGTGATGCCTCATCCCAGTTTCAGAGATGAGTGAAAATTGATCACTTCTCGAGTTGCGCTGCACCCTGAAAACCGATATACCATTGTCAACCCTTGGAGAATTGGTGGGCCTTACCCTATGAATAAATATGCGGTCTTAAAGAAGAATAAAAACTAGGGGAGAGGGGGATTTATTTCATGAAGGGGAAGGGATTAAAGCAGCAGCCATTGTCAGCCCTTCAACTCTAAGCTACCCGCAAACCACTGGGACCCCATATTAATCAACTCCCTGCTTATTAATAGGGGGGTGTTCCTTCCTCTCCAAAAGTGATGATGCCCCCAGTTTTCTATTCAGGGGTTGATTAATATGGGCTCAACACAAGTGGGCAAAGAGTTCAAGAACGCTTTCTGGGCCACTCCTCGGAAGCGAGACTGGTGCCTTCGGTTTACCTTCAGGTTTCGAACCTCTGCCCTTCCAGGGCTGAATGGGAGGAATTGATGTCGGTTTAGCTGCCTGAGGTTCCATACACCTACGGGTTTGAAACGTGATCCGAAATAGGCTCCCCAAGCAGGTTTCTTGGCCTAAGATGGGACCACGGGTTGGGGTCCTACCTCATGACTTGCATCATTTGCGTTGCCTGGAAGTCAAAAAGGGAGTGAAGGTCCTGTGCACCCGGATCCGTCTGCTAATTGGTTCCTCGATCCGAGAAAATGTGAATCTTCTCCAGAAAGAAGCAAATTGCACCCGGCTATATCTAGTAGAAGATGATAGAAGTATCTAGAAGTAATTAGCAACATATGGCATTAGTAAAAGATGGTAGAAGGGGAATGGAATAATATATATATATATACAGACATAATACACAGCTGTGTCACAGCTTATATACATGTTTGGGGGTAGATGAATGACAAGCCCAAAGTCTCGGAAAGATCAAACCAAGCGCGCCCAACCGACAAAGGAGGTCGAATCCTTCAAATCTCTCCCTGCCTACCCTTCCAGTTCGTATTTTTGTTTTTTAATGCTTGGGACCCTGCCTTCTTCAATCCTTTAACCCTTCCAGTTGGTTCGTTCAATGCTTGGGACCCGTGAACCTTCGTTTGTGTCCCCCCTTTCTTGCCGGACATGTTCCGAACCGCCAGGGATGGCCGCACCTGCGGGCATTTGCGAGCTGCTGAGGCCGGGCGTGTTGGTGGTTCTTCGAACGGGTTGGTGTTTTTGGAGGGTACCCTTTTGGGGTTGTGTCAAAAAAAGATAAAAGAAAAACATTTTTTTCTTTTTCTGGGGAGCCAAAAGAACAACACAAGTTGTTGTTGGGGTCCTATGTTTGGACATACCCAAAGAGGTGACGCTTTTTTGCTTTTTGAACCCAGTTGGAGCAAGAGAGGCGCCACACAGCGCCACTACATCACAAGTCACCTGCCGTTTGTTCTTCCAGTTTTCTTCCGGCTTTTGTTTGGGTCCACCCGAAGACGGGGAATTGTCCCAAACCAACACTGGCATGTCAAAGCAAATACTGGCTGATGACGCCTTGTAACTCCGGATCGCCACAAGAGATCATGGGGGGCGAAGGATCAGGCGGATGATCCCCTCTGCTCTGCTGCTGCTGATGCTGCTGCTGCTGCTGCTGCTGCTGCTGCTGCTGCTGCTGCTGCTGTGTTGGGGCATGGTGGGCCAGCGTAGGTCTTTCACCCAGCTTTTGTTGTTCCACCTCTTGAAGAGATTCACCTGTCAGGTGCCATGATGGGGAACGCAAGGGGCTGAGTGAAAGTTGGGATCCCCAACCCCGAGCAATTCCCCGTCAAGCTCTTAGAACCCTCTGGTACACCCGAAGAAACAACACTTATCGTACACCACTTCGCGATTCCCAGACTATTCTTGGGAAAGGGAAACGCTGGCAGGGAAACCCAACATGGAAAACTCACAATGTAAAACAAGGCAGGGCAAACCCAAGCGCTCGGCGGCCGCTCCGGCCAGTGCCTTCGTTGGTTCCGACAACGCTGCGCGCCAAGCGGCGGAGCAGAAGCTCGCAGAAGCGACGAAAGGCGCCGAAGACTTTGCGGGGACCGGGGGTATTTGCTTAGGGCTTAGGGGGCTTGGTTTAGCACGAACCCTTTAAAAACGACGACGAACTAGAAAGCAGGTGGCCTTTTTTTGTACATTGGAAAGACATCCGTGTTCTCGCCCAAATGGCATTTGGTGAGGGGAACCGCTGGTGTCCCCTTGAACGGCGCAATTTCCCCCTTTTTGTGGTTTCCATCATCACCTTTTCGGGCTTCCTTTTAGGGGGGAAATATAAGGAACGGAAAATATGATCACCTTCAACATCATCCCCACGGTTTGATGTGAAAAAGCAGGGTGGATGTCGTTTTGAGCTGTTGAGCTGGTTTTCAGAGGCACCAGGCTGGCTCAACTTCTGTTGCAAGCTAGTTTTGAGCTAGTTTCGAGTTGGTTTTCAGAGGCCCACTCACACTTCTTTGTGAGCCAGTTTTGTGCTAGTTTTGAGCTGGTTTTCAGGGGCACCACCTGGCTCACACTTCTTTATGAGCTAGTTTTGAGCTAATTTGGAGCTGGTTGCGCGCTGGTATTTCAGGGGCACAAGCCTGGCTCAACTTTTTGAGCTTGTTTTGAGCTTGTCTTGAGCTAGTTTTGTGCCGGTTTTCAGGGCGAACTACTTGCTGAGCGGGGTGCTTCTGCGCCGCAGCTCTCCAACGGTTTGACTGATGCCAATCGATCCTGAATTGATTGCGTTTTCTGTGTAGTCCTGGCCTCATCAGCCTGGCTGCTCGCTTTTTATGCTCCAACTGATCGTATTTTGATCGCCTTTGCTGTGCTAAAATTGGACCATAAGCACAATAATAATAATAAAAAGTAAAGGTACTCTTGGATTTGGTGCATGCCAGTCTGTTTCTGAGCCAGTAGGTCCCGCGGATTGTGATTTACAATTACACGGTCGCGTTTCTGAATGGTCTGATCGCCTTTTCTGACAGCCGTTTTTTGGGAAAGAACAACCAAATTCCTGTCCAACAGTACAAGAAAGAAGTAGAGTGATTTTTACTTGTCATTTTTTGTGTATAGATTTTCCTCTGCGCAACGCTCGCTGATCGCTCTTTACATGTCAGTTGATCGTTTTTCCTGTGTGAGCTGATCTCGCTTTAGGCTGATCGCAAAATGAGGCAAAAATAGATCGCAAAAGGATCGCAAATTGATAGTGAAATCATCCCTGTATCTTTGGCCAGGCAAAGAAGCTCCTGCACAGCAGGCCCAGGCAAACCAGGGCAGAAAACAAGACAGGACAAATCAAACAAACACCTAGCAAAACTCTACCTGGCCCCCCAAAAGTACAATCCAAAGGTACCCGCCTGAAGAGAGTCAACTTGACTCGATATTGTATGTCAGCAAAACGAACAACATTGTATAAGCACTCAACTGTATAATGTTGGTGAGAGACGCAAATAAATTCCGTTGTTGTAGCATAGAATACGAAAACATGAGTCTAGAAAGTTAATTATGAATACCGAGAGTATTTCATCAACTTTCAAGCGTTGCAGACTGATGTTGCTTGCGATTACTTTCTCAAACGCCATTGCATAGTGATCATTACCCGTCCATAAATGGAGATAAGACAGCCCAGGACTGAAGGTTAGAAGATAGTTTTTAGAATATATAATCCAGCTCGTCTTTTGTTTTTTGTTTATTTCTTAATATTATTTCTTGGCTCTTACTGTACCAGCAGCTGGGATTGCTGGGGTGGAGCAGGAATGCCACTTTCCCCCTACTCCAAACATCCACTTCGTGTTAGGGGTTTGTTTGAGCAGCCTGGTCTTCCACAATAAAATCCCAGCCAAGCGCCAAGGGTTAGCATCATTGGACATCATATCCTAAACAAGAAGGTGCTGTGAGTAGGGGGCTAGTTGTTTTTGTTATACAAACTCATTCCCCATCAATAAAAAAGAATGGCAACTCAGCTGAGCAGAAGGCCAAGGCAAGAAACAGCAATGTACGGTGCGTCAATGGTTTCTTTGCCAACATCACCAGTGCGTGCATTTTGCGTCTTCGACTTTTCGCGACGTTTCGGCTGTTCGGCTTTTCTTGACTTTTCGACTTTTAGACGCTCGTAGCTGTTCACGGCTTGTGGTGCTTTCGACTTTACGAGATTCGTGTTGTGGACTTTCTGCCTTGACTTTTTCCAAGAATTCGGGGACAACCAGCTGATTCCGACGGTGCGCTCCGAAGCCCGGGCAGCCACACCTTTCCCAAAAGTGGTGGCAATCCTTTTGTGTTGTTAAAACCACCAAGCAAGGAGTACCTAGCAAAAGACAGAGCCATATGTCCATGTCATGGAAATCCAATCGGCGCGCGCGGCTTTTGCCTGGGACTCGCAACTTCCAGGCGCGCCCAACCAGCTGGTGCGAGAGCTCTTGGCGGTCCTGGCGGCCGACGAGCCGCTCGAGCCAAAGCCCATTGCGTGTAGGAGGTGGTCACCTTGGCTGGGCCCCTTTTGGAACAACCCTCAAATGGTGGAGTTTGGCGAGGTGAGTCGGGACGCGCAGGTTTGCGCAAGAGGAAACGCTGTGGGTTGCGTCCTTTGATCACTTTGTAGGGATGAAACCAACAGAAAACAAAGGGTGCCCTTGTTTCTCCTTTTAGTTGCAGGGTGCGAACTAGCTGCACACATTCCTCTCGGGGCGGAAGGGGGTGGCGACCATGTGTGTTTCACTTTTCCGAAAGGAAACCGCAAAGGGGGATGGGTCATCTTCAGGTTTCTCGACGCCCCCTCCATGTCACACCCGGATTGCTGGTTTGGTGATTCCGTTTAGTACAGTTGTTTAAACTCTGAGCCCCAAACTGGAACTACAAGTGGAATTGGAATGGCAGGGCCATGTCCCCAAACACCCATGTAGGCACAGTCATGGAAGCTCGCTTGGCTGGTCACTAAACATGAAGACGTGCGGATTTTTCACCTCTTCGCGGGGACAGTCATGTAGAGTCGCCTACCCTGGCTTTCGCCATTCCATGTTCCATATTTCGGCGGGTGAAACGCATCAAGACCCTTTTGACTCGAGTTTCTTCTGGGTTGATATTGGAAATGTCGTTGGAATTCGCAAGAGGCGCTTGACTGAGTCCGCGTACCCGGGCTGCCTCTAATCTCCAAGGTCTGTCGCCTTCAATGGAGAGCTGTGCAAGAACTACCATCCGTCAGAAAGAAGGGTACCGTCTGCCAGATTAGACCCCCATGCCCTTGACTTTCCGTTTAGAGCAGCTCACCTGTGAGGGTCCATGAAAAAGACCCATTTTTGAAGCACCTTCTGGCCAGAAACTTGAGTTGGAAATGCACCCATGGGCGGACAATTGCTGTCCAATACCCATTTTGAAGGGCCTTCCCAAACCTTCCCAATTAAACCGAAACCCAAGCACAGACTTCATCACCAAAACAACTTGACGGGCAAATTTGAGCCTCTATCCCATTTGAACCATTCGTTCGAACAGTTGCCTCTATCCCATTTGAACCTTCATCCCCCTAACATGGCCTTTTCACGTGGCCGCGTTAGGGCAGCAACTGAGCTGCGGCAAGAGGCGGTGGTGGTGCTCAGGCGCCGAAGTTGGGGGGTTTCCCAGACCTGGGAGGTCGGTTGCGAGCCCTTTCTTTCCACTTGGGGAGAAACCAATTTGAAAGCAACGTGCCCCTGTTTGCCTGAAATCTGCTTTGAGAACTTGAGTGAAACCCCCTTGTCAATTTTGGACACCACTTGGTAATTTTGAAAAACCTGGGTGTTGGTCAAAATGTTGAGAACCCCTTGTGTAGCTGTGCTAGTCACTTTTTTGAACCTGCGAACATTTGGGAACGTGGTGGGTGGTGCTCAAAATGTTGGCAAGCACTGGTGTACAGACATAAATGGGTGCTTCTATGATTGAGGGTACCCTTTGTGGGATGGGTTTGAAGGGAAAACCACGATTTTAGGGGGTGTCCCGAAAGCAAACATTTGAGTATGGCTCACTTGCACTAGTACTATGGCTGCAACCACAGGGAAGACCTTTTAGGTTTTCTCAGTTCGGCTTCGTCCAGAATGGCGCCTTTGGTGGAAGCCTGGGGCTGATTGAAATTGAATTGTTTAAAGTCCAACTAATTATAGACTTGCAGAAAGCAAGAAAGAATTGAAATAGACTTCTATGGGGGGTTTGTAACTTGATACTTGTATATGGTTTCGATTTCTACACTGAGTCCAACCATCTCATTTCTACTCGGCGGTTTTTCGGGCCTGGGTTTTACCGGGATTTGGAGTCCAAGTTGTGTCGACTGACTGGACTTCACTTAATCGACTTGGCCTTGTCAAGCAGAAAAGGGCCAGTCAATCCCTCGGGCCTTGACAAGCTTTTGGAGGGAAGCCCGAAACTTGCCCTCTCGGGCACCCAAATTGGAAGTTTCTGGGGACCTGAACTGTGCCCTTTCCGTGCCCAGGTTTTCATGGAAACCCAGCGCCCTGGGGTGGCCAGGGTGCTTTCGGGGTTGCTTGCTAAGGGGTCTCTAGTTGGAGCCGCCCCGAGTGTCCAAGCCTACATAGTGACAAGATGTGACTCAACCCCCCATAAACATTGACCATTTCAGTCGCTTCTACATGGGAGGGAAAAGTTATACGTGGCTGCAATGAGTGGTAGCCGTTTCGGCCAAGCCAGAACTCAACGGCGATGTCTCATGTTTTTTGGATCTTTGCTCAAGGATGTGTGTTGTCCCGTGGTGCTTGGACCATGTTCATTGTGCAAGGGAAATCACATTCACAGCTGTTTCCGTAGGTGAGACGGCTTAGTTGATTACATATTCGTCATTTCTCATTTTAGTGGTTTGATTGGACTAAAGCGAGTGTCTTTTGGATGCTGTAGGTTGGACTTAAAGGGAGCCCTAAATAAGAGAGTCCTTCTCCTTAAGTGAACAATGTGGTACCCCCTTTTTGGAACATTTGATTTCACTCTTACTTCTCGACGTGTGTTCAGCTGCGTTGACGTTCAACCATCGTGCATTTACATGTCGATTGATGCCCAACCAGGTTTATGGCAGTTCTACCACTTGTGTTTGTTCCACTTTGCATGTGGATGTTTGTCAGGAACCCCGATTCGTATTTTCCTCTGCCTGGAGCCCCTTTGTTTGGGGGGTAATGACTCAATGACCCCATGTTTTAAGGGTCAGAAGGAGGTGCCAGGTACCCTCCCATCCACTAGCATGGAACCTGGCTGAGGAGTCCTTGGAAGACTTTTTTCCTTTTCAAGGGGCCCTTTGGTGGGTTCCATGTTGGGTGACAGCAGGGTGGTTTTTGCTTCACCCCGGCCATGCGCTCGTCGCCTCGCGCAACGAGGCAGTGCGTCATCGGGTCCAAGGCCTGCTGGAAGGAGCTGGAGCCGGACACCCGACAGGCGCTGGCCCGCTGGCCGGTGCTTGGACAGCTGCTAGGGGTCGTTCGCCTTTGGAGCGAAGGCCTTTGAAAACGACCAAAAAGAAGGGGTGGCCTTCCAGCACCCCCCCCCCCCCCAACGGTTTTTTCCTTCGGGTTTTCGCCTGGGAGCTTGGGATTTTGGACATGGGGGAGAAAAAAAACAGTTGTTAGGTGCTGGTGTTTTAGTCGAAATCCCAAATGGAAATTCGTGAGAGCCGCTGGTTTCCCGTCGGGGGCCGTTGAAAGTGAGACTCTTTTGCTATAGGAGAAAAAATGGGAGCCCTGTATTGAGCTAAGGGGCTTACAAGGAGCTGGAAAACAGGGGGTTACGCACCGGAATCATGACCATGGGAAGTTAATCCGCATTAATGGGTTTTTGTGGCGCCCTTGTATTGGGCGCCCTACCAATTCTAGGTTGACCTGGAGTTCTGCAAACATTGTTCATTCCGATAACCTCTGCCGGGGATAAGACCAGCCGATTTTCGCAGTGTCCTTCCCAGTGCTTGCAGCTATCGCTTTAGCAGGAAATCAGGGGAAGCAATCATGTAACATCCAGAGGCAAAGAACGGTGGGCTAAGTCAACCATGCAGCACAAATGGGTCTTTCTCAGGGGGAACTCCCAAACAATTTCGTGGTTTCCCCTTTAAAACTCGCAATACTTATTACCCTCCTAAAAAGATATGGACTCACCGACACGGGGTGCCAATTCCTTTTTATTCCCATGGCCAGAGACCTGGGTCGGTGTGGGTGACGAGCGATCTCGGGGCTGCGCAGGCATTCAAGGACCAGGTCTTGCTGTCCTTGACCAAGGAGCCGGTTTTGCCCATGAGGGGAGCCCCAATACTAGTTTCAGGAATTGTGGTAGGTGGGGTAGGCGCGGGCGGGCCGGGGGGGGGGGGGGGGGGGTAGGGTGGTGGGGGGTGGGTGTATGGCACCAGGGGTACAGGGTTTTGACCCACAGACATATGGCCATGAGTTTTCATGGCCAATGATGTCAGCCAAAGGGCCCCCAAATGAAACTCATGAGCATATGCTAGACTCTTTCGACTCTTCTTTATTTGCATCCACCTTCAACCTTGCAACACGACTCAGTTCCGTTTGAAGCCAAAGACCAACCACCCTCCTTTTGGTCAGGATGATCACCCACAAGACTGGCAGGCCATGTGTTTACCATCAGCACGGGGGGGCTTGCCGTTAGGAGAGAGACTCAACGTGAACATGCAGGCCTTGCTTCGTTTGGACTTGGGCTATGCCGCTTTACCCGGTTAGAAACACCACACGAGGGCCCAGTTGTGGACTGTTGACCCCGGATGTCCAAGCCTTCTTTGCGAGGACACCTTTCGATCACAATCAAGGAGTTCTTCGGGACATCCAGGGTTCCCATGTCATGACAATGGCTGGTTTCCTGTTGGTTTCCCTTTTCAAGCCAACCAAAGGGCCAGCATTTGGGTGTTTCTTCAAATCCGGGATCCCGCCAGGGTCCCTCCAGACAATTGTTTCTTGCAATCCAAACAGGATTCCCCCCATGTTGCGCCAGACCTTCAAGAAAAACTTCTGCAGGTTGGTTTCCTTGGAATCCAAACAGAGAAACTCCCCCCATGACGCGAGCTCTGAAACCGATTTTTCCTTGGTCCCATTGCGAGCTCTGCGCCCCTTGGTCGACAAACGGATTCCCCCAATGAGGATTCTTTGAGCAACTCGCAATGGTTTCAGACGCGACTCGCCAGGACCCCAGCCTGCCGGTGCGCCGGAACGCTGGCTCCGTGGTGTCCAGCATCGCCCACTCGGTGGCCGAGGACTTCCAAGAGCTCATCAAGGCCCGGCAAATGGACCGAGCGGAGGGGTCACCGATGGAGGGGTCACCGATCCTTTTAACGGGAACCAATAGGTGGGCTCTTGGGGAACCAAATGGGACCTATTCCCTTGAAAGGTGGTTCATCTTACATCACCTGCGGGTTGAAAGGTGGTCTACATCACTTATATCACATCAGCTGTTGGAAGGATCACATCACCTCTTGGTTTGCACACTTGCAGTGAGTGTCCTTGGGTGCTTGAAGGGGAAACCTGGGGAGCCCTGACATGGGAACTTCTTGAGGTTAAGAGATCTCCGTCTGAGAGAACATGGTTGCCAAGGTGCATATACACATGTTCATGTTTTGCGATGGGGGGTGATGCCGCATCCAATGTCTTTAACCATGATCATGGTCCTCTTTTGGTGCAACATAGGGACCCTGACGATTCCCCTATCGGGGCAGGGCCCTGGACAACCATAGGACATATGTGTGTTGTGCTTGGTTCAAAGGTACCCACCTTGGGGTTGTTTTGAAAGGAAACACTAGAAAAGAAGCTGCAGTTTAGCCCCCTGGTTTTTTTTCAACGACACGACACACCCACAATATGTCAGAACTCTGGAACCCAACATCCCACCAGGCCGTGGTCGATCCAAGTTCTTTGTGCTGAGCCATACGCAGGTCCTTGGGACGCCATGTTATGTTTAACCAATCTTGTGGCTTCAGGGTAGCCACTTAAAATGGCTAGTGTTTGGGTCCAAAAGATAGTGTTTAAAAGGGGAGCAAGCATCTTGAGAGGATTTTTACCCCTTCCCCCTTCGAAGTTTGGTTTGCCTCGGTGCCCCTTGCACTTGGAAGTTACCCCGGACCGTTTATGCAAGCCTCTAGTGGTTTGCACGGAAACACCGTGTCTGAAAAAATAATTCTGACGCTTCAACGTGTATGGAGGGGTGGGGCCCTTTGGTTTTCTGCTCTAGAACCAGGGTTTTTCCCTTTAGACATTCCCTTGGGAAAATCAAGCATGGGACATCATGTTGGGTGCCTGGAATGGATGAAGGGGTAAGACACCTTCCATTGACTGAATCTACCTGTTTCGCCTTTTGCCTTTTTTCGTGTTCCATCAGTTTGCCTTTTCGATAATCGTTCTTGCGTTCAATCGCTTTGTGCAGGGCGCCGGATCCGTTTGGCCCACAATCCAACTTGTTCAGCTCAGACCCAACTTTACCTCGGCCGCTGGGGGATTGCCAGGAGTGGCCGCAGCTGCTGCCGTTCCTGTCGACCACCGTTAGCCGCGGCCTGAAAAATGAGTCTTCCCAGACCTCCGGCGCATTTTTTCTCCCTGTCTTCAACGTTTTCGGGCACACAAGTCTTCTATAGAGCTTGGTTCCCCACTCTTTTCAACCGTGGTTCTTTTCAAACACGCTTGTTCCTGGGTTTTCGGATTTCTGGAAAGAAGGATCCCTGGAGGGTTGGGCCAAGAAGGATCATTTCGAAATTACTCCCTCACCTGAAAAGCAATAAGGGCAGGACATGCAATAAGGGGCTGGCGATGTCTGAGCTTGTTCCATGCAACCTGCTCCAGACCCCGGTTTCAGTGGCTCCTCTCTAAGTTATCCAGTATGATTGGTATGGTGTGTTTGGACAGTGTTTTCACGATCTCTGAGCGACGGGGCCAAGCACTAGGGATCGACCTGATGGCAAGAGGGAAACCACACACTTAGACTCCCTATTTTAGGTTGGTTGACCCAAGGGACAGCAGAGACAAGGGGCTCATGGCGCAATGGCAGCACTGTTTGCACGATGTGGGGAGTATTGAGGACCTAAGGACTTCGAAACATGGATAAGCTATCAGGCATCGCGCGCCTAAAATGATTTGCCCAGTCCAACTTCGAGATTCTGGAAACACCCTAGTCCGACTATCTGCAGGGGGCATGATAACAACCCTCAGGGTGATATTACTCTGGTTTACTCTTAAGCGATTGATATTTGGAGCATTGAAGTTGGTTTCCTCGTTTACCCCCCCCCCCCGCCCAAAAAAACAGGATGAATAAGAACAGGTAAATGACCTTTCATCATGGTTATATCGTGGTTATATTCTCTTTTGAAGGACTGCTAGGAGGAACTCCCGTGCCAAGCTGTGCCAAGAGTAGTTGTATGCCCTCCCACCAATTCACATGGAGCCTGGCAAGGGGTCCCTTAGGAAAATGGTCCAATCCGGGACTCCCCGAACGTCAGGTATGTGAAAAGGGTGGGAGAGTACACTCCCTCAGACTACAAGGAAGCTCCCATTGGCCTCTGCAAATGGAACCAAAGGGGTCCTGGGAGCTTCCATGTTAGTCTGGGAGACCAATTTGTTTTGGGGGTTTGGGGGGGATTGAAGCGCCGAGGCAATGGCCAGCCGCCGCAGGTCACGGCCTGCATTAAGGCGCACGAGAAACAATCCGCTGGGGTGGTTTGCTGGGAAAACGAAAGAAGCTGGTTTGTTTTTTTTGGAACAACTGGTGGGTTTTGGGGAAAGCAAAAAAAAACTAGAACCACGGGTGGCCCGAAAGCAAAATGGAAAGTGAGCGTTGGTTTCATGCATGTGTGTATGCGTCCCTTTTCATGGGTAAACGGCAGCTGCAGATTTTTCCCGAGCTTGTAGCGAGGGTTCTCGTTATTAAGTGGGGTAAGGCCGGTCAGAAGTGTCGATCAGAAGTGTTGATCAGAAGTGTCGGTCAGAAGTGTCTATTAGACATGTTGCTGCTCAGAAGTGTCTCTCAGAAGTGTCGCTCCGATGTGTCGATCAGAAGTGTCGATGCGCGCAAGTGTCGCTTAGAAGTGTCGATCAGAAAAGTTGCTCAGAAGTGTCGAGCAGTAGTGTTGCTCAGAAGTGTCGCTCAGAAGTGTCCATCAGAGTGAGTGGGAGAGAGTGAGAGAGAGATAGAGAGTGCGGGAGAGTGAGAGTGAGGGAGGGTGAGAGAGTGTGAGTGAGAGAGAGAGAGAGAGAGTGAGAGCGAGTGAGAGCGAGTGAGGGCGAGTGAGGGCGACTGAGAGCGAGTGAGAGAGAGAGAGAGAAAGAAAGAGAGAAAGAGAGAAAGAGAGAAAGAGAGAGAGAAAGTGAGGGTGAGTGAGAATGAGTGAAAGTGAGAGTGAGAGAGAGCGAGAGTGAGTGAGAGTGAGTAAGAGTGAGTGTGAGTGAGTGTGAGTGAGTGTGAGCGAGTGTGAGTGAGTGTGAGTGAGTTGAGTGAGAGTGAGAGACTGAGAGACTGAGAGACTGAGAGAGCGAGTGAGAGCGAGTTAGAGCGATTGAGTGTGAGTGAGTGTGAGGGAGTGCGCGTGAGTGTGAGTGAGGGTGAGTGAGCGTGAGTGAGCGTGAGTGAGCGTGAGTGAGCGTGAGTGAGCGTGAGTGAGTGTGAGTGAGCCTGAGTGAGCGTGAGTGAGTGTGAGTGAGTGCGAGTTGTGAGTGAGTGTGAGTGCGCGTGAGTGAGCGTGAGTGAGTGTGAGTGAGTGCGAGTGAGTGCGAGTCAGTGAGTGCAAGTCAGTGAGTGCGAGTCAGTGAGTGAGCGAGCGAGTGAGTGAGTGAGCAAGTTCTCCGAGCAAGTTCTTGAGCCAGAACTGCCGCGGACCAGGGGGGAATCGAACCCGCGACCGCGGGATTGCGAAGGCAGGCATGCAAACCACGAGGCAACTTCCAAAGGACATTTCGTGAGCAGGAAAATCGCACGGCGCCGCAGCGCTTTGACGCCCACAATCCCCGCAGAGGGTCGCGCGCGCAAATCAGAAATCGTACAAAGTCCTCAGTTTTTGCACATCGGCCACGCCAATCCCCGCAGAGGGTCGCGCAGGCACTTCAAAAAACGTAAAAAGTCCGCAGTTTTTGCACATCGGCCACGCCAATCCCCGCAGAGGGTCGCGCGGGCACCTCAAAAATCGTAAAAAAGTCCCCAGTTTTTGGACATCGACCACGCCAATCCCCGCAGAGGGTGTCATTTTCACAGGGTGGGTTCGGCCCCACCGCGCCGCCTGAAGAGACTAACTAGTTACTTTCGTGTCCAAATGTCTCGTGCAAGTTTGGCTGTGTGACATCTCGTGCAAGTTGTTCTCGTGCAAGTTGGCTCGTGTAAGTTGGCTCGTGCAAGTTGACTCATGCAAGTTGGCTCGGGCAAGCTGGCTCGTGCAAGTTGGCTCATGCAAGTTGGCTCGTGTAAGTTGGCTGTGCAAGTTGGCTCGAGCAAGTTGGCTCGTGCAAGTTGGCTCGTGTAAGTTGGCTGTGCAAGTGTGCAAGTTGGCTCGTGTAAGTTTGGCTGCGCGATAAGGCTCGTGCAAGTTGGCTCGTGCAAGTTTAGCTGTGTGATAAGGCTCGCGATTTTACCGGAAGAACCCTTCGCAATGCTTTCGGGAAAGCACCCGCCAGTTTTGGGGTAGCCCTCGTTTTGGATGCTTCTCAAAATAGGCATGGTCCTTTTGGTTTCCCTTGAGCCACCAGTCCGAATCGATTTGGAAACTCCCAGGCCCAGGCTTCATTTGGGAGGGGGACACGCCCTAAATGTCAACCACAACGAGGCCCGTTTGGGAGACGGTGGCCAAGGCGGTCCAAAAAGTACCCCCGTTCCAACCTGGAAGTGGACGATCCGAGATCCTCTTTGGGAAGACTATCAATAGCAACAGGCCCCCGTATGTCCACTAACAAAATCGAAGGATCTGCTCGGGGCCCTGGACGGGACGGTTTGAGGTGTATGCACCTTTTTGGGGACCCCTTTGTGACCCCTGTCAAAAGATTAATCACGACGGCAGGATCCAGGGTGTTTTTTTGTTTCGGCTGGTTGGCGTGGAAAGGGTGTTATTCTTGCCTAGCCCTGGCACAGGGATGACCCTGACGGTTGGTTGGTTGGTTGCTTGGTTGCTTGGTTGCTTGCTTGCTTGCTTGCTTGCTTGCTTGCTTGCTTGGTTGGTTGGTTGGTTGGTTGGTTGGTTGGTTGGCGCTCGGTAGGACGAAGGTTTGGAATGGGTTCAGGGTAGGTTTGGGGTAGTCCTTTTAGGGTAGGTTCAGGCCTGGCATCGTTTTCACATCCTCAGCATCATGTTTAACATCCTCAGCATCACCAAGCTTTGGTTTAGGTTGGGTTTAGGGTGGGTTCCATATTGGCTCGGGCTTGGCATTGGCTCGGAGCCAAGCCCGAGCCAATATGGAACCCACCCTAAACCCAACCTAAACCAAAGCTTGGTGATGCTGAGGATGTTAAAAACGATGCTGAGGATGTTAAAACGATGCCAGGCCTGAACCTACCCTAAAAGGACTACCCTAAACCCAACCCAAAACTTTGCGGAAACACCAATTCACAGACAGGCCTACGCTAGAGACAAACCTGATATGAGACTTGAATGTCTTTGGTAGGCGTGCAGCTTTTCTCGGCTATCTGCCAATTGGGGGCCCCTCAACGGCAATGTCCCTTAGCCGTCCCATTGAAAGGGGAACTACAGGTGGAACCCGTCCAAGGGAGCCCAAAGTTGTCCAGTGGAAACCCGTTTCTGGGGCTCAAACTAATTGCTGGACAAGCAGAACATGTTCTTTCTAGCTGTGCTCGTTTTGGGGTGTGTTGTATTTTTTTTGGCTCTGCAACCACATTTAGCAGAGGGCAAACACACGCGCTGTTGTTTGCTTGCAGTCCAAGGATTCCACAATGATGACTTGGTAGAAATGGCCAACAACCCCTCTTCAAATGGAACCTCCCCAACCAACTTCATTTGGCTTCCTATCCAAAGAAGCCCACAAAAGGGCACCTTCAACAAAAGGCACGCCAAGTAGGGAGCTTGTTTTGTTTCAATTTTTCAGGGAAAGAACAGGAAGCCAAAGGAGCCTACCCCAACCTCATCCGTTTGGGTATTATTTCATGTTACCCTCCCTTCCACTAACAGGTCGCAGTTGTGAGCGGGTACCTCTAACAAGATCATTTTCCTCTTGTGGCCAATTCCCAGGGCAGTGAGGGATCCTTGGTGTTTCAGAGCTGATCCCTGTCCACCAGATCGCATTTGTGGGCGGGCACCTCGAAAAGATCCTTTTTCTCTTGTGACAGGGGATCCCTCACTCCCATGGCACAACAAGATCCTTTTCTCTTATGACACGGGTACCGTTTTGTTTTTTGTGAGGTGCCATGGGAGTGAGGGATCCCTCACTGCCATGGAGCTGCTGGCGCGAGGTGCTTTGTGACATGGTGGAGCTCGTGGGCGAGGAGCTCCTATCCCAGGGACCCAACACGGCCGGGGCCCCCAGAGGCCCAGAGCGGCCCAGAGCGGCCCAGAGGGGGTCAGAGGGCCGAGAGGGGAGAAATCGCTGGCTTTTTACGCCCAAAGGAAGCGTGTGTTCAACGGGGCAATATTTGAGACATACTATATCCGAAAGGAAACGCAAAGGGTGTGAGTGAGCTTGGCCATGTTGCTCGAAAGCTCTATTTTACTCTCGACCCACAACTCTGACAGATAACAGCTGGGGAGGGGGAGGGGGGGCTTTTGGGGCAGAAGAAATGCGGCTCAGCTGGGCAATCCGCCAAAATGTCCATTTCTGGGCTTGCGCCCGAGAAATCAAGGATGGACGGATGCTCAGCCAAATTCGTATTGTTAGTAACCTAGGATATCAACTATCTCGCTTGCCAAAAGCCGACCTTACCCTTTGATTTTTATTTGATGTGGTTCATATTTAATAGTCAGGCTTTGACCAGGCTAGGTTTGTTTGGGCAAGTGAGCCTGTTGGGAGACCTAGGTCAGCTTGGAGATGGCCTATGGCCCAGGTTGGCCAATTGCAAACGTTCTCTGAATGCCGTGGGGAAGTCACACGGAGAAGATGTCCGGGACCTTGGGGGGAAGGGTAACCGCATTGCTTCTACTCACCGCGCCCGCGCGCATGGACCGGACTTGTCAGTCGGCTTTCCTTTATCAGCTCATGCTTAAGTTGCAACAAGCGAACATGTGATGCTGGAAAGCTGCTCTGTGCCCTTCCCAGGACCTGCTCTTCCAAGGCTCCAGCTAGTCGGTTGGCTGAGAGGGGTCAGGACAGGGAGCAGGCGGTGAGACTCCGGCGTCTGTCAACAAGACCTGGACGATTCTGGCATCTTGAGCGTGGCGATGGGGCGCATGCTTGTTGAGGCGTGAGATGCCTGCCAAAGGATGAGCACTCAGCACTCCTGTCACCGAAAGTGCTTCATGACAACTCCAAGAAAGCTGTTGTTGTCTACCAGATGTCTTGGAAAGGTCATGGCCTCAGCGGAGTCGTTGGGCAAGGGTGTGAGACATGTGTACATCTTGCTAACCCGAAGATGACAAGACGGGTTTTGTTTACCTCTTGAATGGAAACCACAAGGGACGTAATATGATCCTCTCCGCAAGGTTCAATCAGAAGCCCTCGCAGGTTCTTGAGGGTGTAAGGCTTGCGAAATGCCCTCGCTCAAAACTCCCAAGGCTTCCACTTTCTAGCAGCTTCTAGCAGTTTGTCTAGCAGTTGTCTCATTTTTTGAACGACTGGTTCAAAACCCTATCGTTACCACTTCGGGCCCCCAAGATCCCCCCAATTTCGAGGTCACCATGCTGCAGACCTGTCTTTCGAGCGCTCCCGGCGAGGCGAGTGAGCGACATGCAAGCGTTGTTTGGGGTTGCTACCCCTTGCTTTACGGGGAAATCTCAGGAAAACAATTTAACGGATGCCACCGCTGCCCTTTTTGTGGAGTTTCCCATTTTGAGTTTGCCTTTTCACTCTGTTTTGGGCGATGTCCGTGGTTTCTTGTTGAAACCCCAATCAGGATGCCCTCAAAAGCAGACACCAATTTGCTTGGATCTTGAACCGTCAACATTGGCTTGGCATGTGTATGTTCAAACTGACAAACCACAAGTTACTCTAGGGCCAGTTCCCCGGGAATTCCAGTCGTACTGGTGTTCCGCCTGGTCCAAACAGGTTTTGGCGAGTAACGACCTCGCCCATGAAAGTGCCTCTTATGGAGCTCGGCCTTATTGGAAAATAATGAAAAAGCCGAAGCGGTGTCACACAAGGACCAACGCAGTTGGAATCATCACCAACTTAGAAGTGGGCAAACATAGGCAAACACTTTTGGAGCGGTTTGTTGTTGTCTTTGGTGGGTCCAAAAGTGCAAGCTTTTGAAACTCAGCTCGAACCATGAGACAGGTTTGCTCCGAACCTTGAACACAATTGCAAAGCCAGCCACCAGCGGCTCGAACAATGGCGCTGTGTTGTTCTTTATTCAGGGGCCGAGTATCTCTCCCTAGCGGTTGGAGCGAACCATTGGAACAATTTCAATCGAGACACAATCTGAACATCTTGCACTTGCGGGGCTGGCCACGGGGCTTGGATTCTCCAAGCCTCTCAAGACGGGGCTAACCACGGTTGGATCGAAAATTGGCACTTGTGTGTTGTTGTTCTTTGGCGGAGCCACCTTTCTACCCGCGTGACTGGGGTCTTTGGAGCAACTGCACGAAGAGATGTGACAGTGAACATTTGACTTGGTGCAGGGACCGTCTTCAAACTCCAAACGGGATGGCTACGAAAAGGGAGTCGTGCGTTTAAGCTTCTTCCCAAGAGTCAAGCCCGGTCGATTTCAACCGACCCGGAACCAGAAACTCTAGGGGTACCTTCCCCATGCTTTCCAGGAATCCTTCCTTCTAGAAAACTGTGAGAAACCTAGGGAAACGGCTGAACGATGGTGGAAAAGATTGGGGAATTAACCCCTAGAGAAACCAATTTCTGGGTTTAGGTCCAGCTTGGGCTCAGCCAGAAGTCGCCCCAGCGAGGTGAGGGCCGCCGCGGCGCAGCTGGTCTTTCAGATGGCCGGGAGCCCACTGGGCTCGGTCCAGTGGGGGGAAACGAGGTGCAGTTGCAACACGGCTGTAGGTCAAAACCAATTGGATCCCATTTTTTGGGGTAGGTGCAGCACCCATTTTAGTTGTTTTTGGTGGGGATTGGGATGTTCATTGAATATACGGGGTTTTGACCCATGGCCACATGTCGCCAGTGTGTTGCTGTGTTGCTGCTTGCTTGGAGTTGTTGGTTTTTGAACTTCAAAACGGGAAGTCCTCTGTTTGATATCAAAATACCAACCAAAATGGAGTGGTGTCATTTACCCTCATGGAGATCTATGGGGATTTCGAGGGCGGGGGGGTTGAGTAAGAAAAGAGTGGATTTACAAAATAAAAAAGGGTTCCTTCGCACGTGACCTCATAGGTGTTGTGCCGACATTCTTCTTTTTAAGTCTAGCAGCTGACTGATGATTTGAAGAGGATTCTCGGGTAGTCAGACGGATCGGCAGGGACCCTCCCTGTAGCCTCCTTGGGCCCTTGCGGCCCGCTGCCGGCCCAAGGAGGGGACCCATCGATCTGATCTCTGTATTCGATAGGCTGGGGTGGCTCTAGTATTGCAGGTTGCAGGTTGCAGGATTTGTTGGTCCGCCTGCATTGGGGTCCCCTCACCAGTCACCAGAGGTCGAGGACTTAGAGCCAGAGGCCGCCGCTCCCTTGGGCCCCGGCGCCCGGAGTTCGGAGTTTGGGCCCTTCTGGGGCCCGTGGCTTTTTCTTTGTGCTAAAGTGGCCCCCTCCCCCCCCAAAAAAAAGGGGCATGGAATCCAAAAGCCGGGTCCCCAAAAGGAGTTTTCTCAACAAATGGGTTGTTCGGGTTTGTAGAGTAGACCTCAAAAGGAGTCCGTTTGATTTTGAGGCCCTTTTCTTGTCCAAGAAGTTCAGCTTGTTCAGGAAGTCCCCATTCCGCTGCCCCTTGAGATTTTTCGTCCTCAGCACGTTCTGGATGTTCAGCTCCAGCATGCTCCCGAGGCCTTCCCGACTCCTTATCACCTCCCAGAACTCCGCCCTGTCTTCACTTCCCGGGGCTGGTTGATGTCCATGTTGATCTTATGGACGCCGACCCCCGGATTTTAGGATCTTCTATAGAAGGTGGGCTGGTGCTGGGTTCCCACATGCGGCGCGTCCATGGACTTTTTCCGGCGCGTGGATCCATTGGCTAGCCACCCAGGACAACCTTGGGCTCACCTGTGAGCGCTAAGCCGCGAAGATTTCTGTTTCTTGAGCCATACATTTGTCTCTCTCTCTCTCTCTCTCTCGCAGCCATCGCACGAGTGCATCCAAGCCGAGCAAGCAGCACAAAGAGAATGCATTTGTGTCCAAACATGTACAACGGTGTGCAGATGGGGTTCACAGCTGTGCGAAGAGTCCAAGGGTCTACAGGGTTGATTCCTTGTCCATTCCCGATTTTTAAGTTGCACGGGTGCTATGGTCATTTGATACCCTTCGCCAATCCGGTCTTGACGGGTTCCAATTCTTGGCATCACTCTCGTCAGGTGTTCACCCGTGAGACTGTCAAAAACACCCTACCCGCGGTTGGCAGGGATGGGTCATCAACTCCCACGGAGTTTGGGCCACCGACAGGGTCCTGTGCAAGGGGGTGACACAAGCTTGGACCCCGGGGACGGCGCAAATACCATAGGCTCTCGCTGAATTCCGGAAAGAACCCTCAAATTTGTGTGACCCCCACACCCCGCAAAAAAAAGGAGAGCAGAAATGCACCCCCCCCCAAAAGAAGAAGAATAAGCTCAGGCAATATCCCCAACAGCACCACACCCGCCCCGGGACCCACCTCACCGCCGGTTTTGCTGAGGATGCCGCCTTGTAACTTTGTGAAGCAAAGCTAAGAGTGATCGGGGCGCGACGGCACAATCGGGGCCCGATCGGGGCCCGACGGCGCAATCGGGGCCCGATCGGGGCCCGATGGTGCAATCGGGGCCCGAGCGGGGCCCGACAGTGCAAGCAAGCGGGCTCACCAACCCCAGCCACCCATATTGTAGCTGAACGCCAGTTTTGCTTAGAGTGCGGCCTTACAAGTGTATCTAGCAAAACTAGGCGATACCGGCTTGGATCGGGCCCCGACGGTGCAATCGGGCCCCAACCTGCCCAGTGAACCTCTCAGACCGTTCTCGCGGAACCCTCGTGGGCTCAGCGTGAAACTTTGTTGGAACCTTTCCTCAGGGCAGCCCCATAGCTTTTGCAGAGCCTCGCAAAACCCTCGTGGAGCGCTTTTGGAATCTTATTCCGTAGCCCTCGCAGCCTCGCGGAACCCTTGGAACCCAAAGCCCACCAAGTAGTACTCAGTAATGCCAAGCATTTACTCTGCTACACAGTGAGTTTGCCACAAAGCCAACGCATCTGAGCAAGTGAGCAAGTGACAAAACAGTGAAAGTGTGCTGAAAACCATTGATTTCGGTTTTGCTTAGTGTTCCGCTCATGAGCAAAGCGATCTTCAATTTACTGCTCCGATGGCTTTTCAGGCGGTGGGCGCACGACACATTGCTTCGGGATCCTTGCAGACATTTGTGGAACTTGTCGAGCGTTGTGGAGCCTTGTGACCCTTGTCGAATCCTTGCGGAACTGCTGTGAAACCCTTACCTCAGCCACAGCCCGTGGAACCCTGGAACTTTCATGGAAGCCCCGCAGCCTTGCTAGAACCTGGTAGAACCCTCATGGAACCTTACCTTGCAGAATCCGGTAGAACCGTGGTCGGCCGCTCGGCCCTCATGGAACCACCTGACTACCCCGTAGCCCTTGCAGAGAATTTGGTGGAACCTTTGTGGAATTACCTCAAACCACCCTTGCAAAACCCTGGTGGAACCTGGTCGAACCCTCGTGGAACCTTACGTTCAACCTGGTGGAACCCTGGTGGAACCCTGGTAGAAGCCTGCTAAAACCTGACCTCAAACCACCCCGACCCCCGCGCATGGTGGAACCCTGGTGGCACCCTTGTGGAACCTTGCCCCAGACCACCCCGCAGCCCTCGCAGAACCTGGTAAAACTCTGGTGGAACCCTCGTGGAACCTTACCTCAAACCACCCCGGACCACCCCGCAGCCCTCGCAGAACCTGGTAGAACCCTGGTGAAACCCTCGTGGAACCTGACCTCAAACCACCCCGCACCAGACCGCAGCCCTCGCAGAACCTGGGTGGAACCCTCGTGGGAACCTTACCTCAAACCACCCCAGACCAACCCTGGTGGAACCCTCGTCTCGTGGAACAACCACCCCGGACCACCTCGCAGAACCTGGTGGAACCTTGCAGGAACCCTCGTGGAACCTTGCCTCAAACCACCCCGACCACCCCGCAGCCCTCGTAGAACCTGGTGGTGGAACCCTGGTGGAACCCTCGTGGAACCTTACCTCAAACCACCCCGGACCACCCCGCAGCCCTCGCAGAACCTGGTGGAACCCTCGTGGAACCCTCGTGGAACCCTCGTGGAACCCTCGTGGAACCTTACCTCAGGGCCGCCCCGGACCACCCCGGAGCCTATCTGGGCTGAGACCCCAAAGCTTTCAGCTGTTGGGGAAAAAGAAGAAGAAGAAGAAGAAGAAGAAGAAGAAGAAGAAGAAGAAGATTCTGTTCGGACCCAATTAACCCAAAAACCTTCAGGGAAAGCCCCATGGACCCTTTGTTCATACCCAACATCAAAAGGCACCAGATCTGTTTTCAGGCCCCTTTCTCACTGCTCACCTGGTCGCAACAAGTCCCAACCTAGCTTCTTCAAAACCGAAGAGTTGGGAGGGAAGAGTTTGGGAACTTAAATGGACCAGGCTTGGCTTGGAACCTGTCATGACCATCTTTCATATCTTTCATTTGAAAGCTGCGATTTGCATCCACAAGACCTTATCTTAAAGTTATTTGCTTGGTTTTAGTGTTCATCTTGACATGACTCCAAAACGCGTGCGATTCCGGGCCCACAACTCTAGCAAACAGTTCGGATGCACGTGTTTGGTGGATTTCACCTGGTTTCCCCTTCTGGTTGGCCCTTTTTGAGTGATCCTTTGGTGCTCTCTTCGTATCTTTTGGGCATTTTGCCAAGGGATGTTAGGACTTTTTCACTTTTTGCCAACTCATGGGTTTTCCCTTTTGCACTTTTCGCGGGGCTGAAGGAAACCGAGATATCCAGTGGATCCACGGATTCGAGCCACCAAAAAACCCGTTCGAGGCGCCTTGATGCCGCAGATCATCTTGGCGATCAAGGCCTTTGCCGCCACTCGACGATCTGAGACCTTGGAGTTGAGATGAAACCGCAAACGTAACTGGAAGAATTTGTATCCTAGCTCCCCCAGTAGTCAGCAGTAGCCCTTTTGAACCCTTTTTGGGGGGAGGGTTCCCCTACTAAAATAGAAAAGAGAAAAAATGGTACCCTTTTTCTAACCTCTCTACTGGAGGACCTAGTATATCAATCAACCCAAGGCTATTCCTTAGATGTCTCAGTGTAATTTATTGTTGACGCCACATTGATCAACCCCAGTTTCTGAATAGGGGATGCCCCTGGGTTTAGTTTGGATTCACTTTTGGAGGGGAACACCTCCCATATTAATAAATGTAGGAGAATGCCCTCCTGATGTAAGCTAGCTTTCCTTTCACATATCTAAATCGTCGTTTCTGTTCGAAACCTGGGAGGCCTTTGTGGGTGGCGACTTTGATGCCCGACATGAGATTTGCTTCCGGGGCAGGAACCCCTGCTTCTGGTGAGGTATGATCATGGAATCCCCTCTCCAGGGAAACAAGCAATGCACGTATATAATTCTCACCTCATGTGTGTGTTGTCCTAGTTTGGGGAAACGCATTGTCGCGTTTTGACTCGCGTTGTTTACTGCTTGCAAGTCTGGGTTTCACATCTGAGGTGGCCTCAGAACACGAGGACATCCTCAAGGAGACCTTAGAGTCCCTCATCTCCGCTGCGGATGAGGCCGGGGATCGATCCCAAAACGGCGAGAGTGATATTGGGGCTGGGACTCGGAGACGCTGGGCCTCCCCATTTGTCAGGGTGTTGGGGACGATGCCAGCAATCCTCTCAGAGAATAAGTTGGGCTTGTCTTTTTCGGGGGACCCCTCTTTTGGTTGGCTTTAAACGGACATCAAAGGAGAAAACCACTCAGTTTGGGACAAATCCTAAAACAAGACACGCCCCTTTTTTTAAGTTCTCCCCGGTGTGTTGACTCGCAGGAGCCCGAGTTCTTCAAGGAAAATGGGCTGCAGGACCTTTGGCCGCTGCTGCTGGAGATGTGCAAAGCGGACCACTGGGCCGATCCCAACGTGAGACACAGCGCCTGTGTTTGAAATCCGATCTGGTCCCTCAACGTCCCCCTGGCATTTTAACTGGAACGGCACATTGATCAGCCGTATGTGTTTGCGGTGGCCTGTTCTCTGAAAACACGTTCCCCTTCAAGGCAACCCGTCAGAAAACCCTTTGTTGCCCCAGCATTGTTTCTTTTTGGGGGCAGGCGAGTGGGGGAGGGGGAAAGGAGGAATAGGCTGGCTTGTGGACGGAAAAGGGATGATGTTTGTGGCTGGTTGAATACCTTTGTTGAGGGAACTTCGCAACTTCAAGGAGTTGAACAATGCGTCAAGGGCATTTTCAGAAGCGTTTTTTTCCTCCTCGAGGTATGACGTCTTCGATTCAAAGCGCTTGAAAGCACCACTTTAGCGTATAGCATTGTCGTTTTGGGAACTCCACATCAAGTTGATGGGGCAATGACCAAAGTTTAACGTTCAGACACATATGTCGTGGATCGAAGACCAACTACTGGTAGAGAGCTTTAGCTATATATATATACAGCGGTCAAGCAATATGCCTTGAACTGCATCCATGCCTATTAAGATTCAGACCCATTGGCTAATATGAGCAGCGCGCGCCTCTATTGACTGTTGGAGTAGGTTGCTCTACACTAGATGACTTTTTTTGTTTTGCGAGGGGGGGGGGGTTGTAGCAAGACGCGTCTTTTTGGAGCACAGGTGCCATGGAGGCAGTGATGTCTTTCTTCGAGGGTTTCTGCGAGGACTTCTGTAAGACAGAGGCAGGTCAGACGTTTCGAGGGAGGGCAGCATTTTTGTTTGTTGGGACAGCTCTCAGGCCACCCAGGTTGGTGGTTCCGATCGGGGTCAAAATTGAACCCCTGGTAGGGGGTAGATCCTTGCCCAACCAATTTGCAGGAAGCTAAAGCTGTGCCGGACCTTCGCGTCTATCAACATGTTTGCAACCTGAACCACCCAAAGCTGTATGTCCCCTGTTAGCCAACATACAGTTCAGGCTTTACAAGAGGTCCAAGTGTTGAGCTTTTTTTGACAGGGGAAACTAAGGAATCTCAAGGAATCTCACCCATTGTGGGGGGGAGGGGGGCGGTTCCCTATCTAAAGAAGCCCACCCTGCTTAAACCTGCTCGTTTTCAGCGACAGTTTCAGGGGCGTCTATCCGGCCATCCGGGTTGCGGTCTCTTCTTGGGTCCGCGATGCTCTTCTTCGAGTTATCTGATTTTACATCTAGGTCACGATGGACCATCTATCAACTGTTTTTTGGCGGGAAGATGAGGTTCATTCATCCCGGATTCCGGGTTTTCAAGGCACGCATGTTCCCAGTTCAAGGCACACATATCAAATACTCGAAATCCTGGCCCGGGTTGCGTTCCAAACTTGCCCCTTGTGGCCTCTTTTTGTCCTGCTTTTTTTGGGAAGGGTGGGCTCCTTTAAACCAACCGACTAAAAAATGAAAGTCACCTGTGCCTCTGCGCTTTTCCCGGGCCAAGTCTTCCCCCAAAGTAGACGAGGGCAATTTTCGGGCCAAAATCCCAACGAAGAAAAGGGCGTGCGAGCCTTGTATTTGTGGCCCGTGCCGGTCCCTGGCGCGGGCCTCCAATCTTCCCAGTTTCGCATGTTGGCGAGGCTTACGAAATGACTGCGAAGACCTCAACCGGTTCTTGTGACAGGAATTACATTCGTATTTTGCAGACGCTTCCAATGCGTTTTCCCTATTAAGAAGAGGATGACTCGAGCCAAGCATCTTCAACGCGATTTTTGGACCTTTAGCTTTCACTTTTCGATGAACTCAGTAAACAGTTGTGTTTTGGCCAAGGGGCAAGACCCATTCATGCATTCAAATCTAGCAAACAACGGGACAAAGTGGTTTTGGTTGGGGCTTTGGTTGAAACGAACTGACCTGTTTTCTGAGAAACTCGAGATCCCAAAACGGGGCAAACGCTGTTGGTTTCCGTCTTGGACGCATAGGTGAGATCTCGGCAGGCTGGCCCCATTGCTGAATCGCCCCGTTTGGGAGGTCAAGTACACTGTCAAACATATTTGACGACTCCTGCTAACTCTGACACCATCTGCAGGAATCGAGATCCGATCCCCAAGGGTGCCCTTGCGAAATTTCTTAGGCCCTGTGGACCAAAGACCTGCAACAAACAGTGTTCAAAGAACAAGCCGAGTAGGCCTTAGGCTTGCTGTCTCGTGCCGCTGAAGGTGTGAGCCCATGCGGGTTTGAATCGATACCAGGCCGGCCCCCAAAAAAATGGCGGCATTTCCTTGGGTTCTCGAGGAATGAGTTGGAACCCCAAACTGAAGCAATCAACTGGTCTTTTTCTGGATCCCATCCTGTTCATTTCCAATACTTGCCATAATTCCTTGGACATAAAGGGCCTGTGTCCCAGTTTAGCTTGGAGGTATACCTTCATGTGTCTCCTTCTGGGTAATGTTGGAGAATAACGGCCCCCCCCCCTCCCCCCCCCCTCAAACGAATTGGGGGGGGTCAATAGCGACAACCCCAAAAACAAATGGGGGTCAGACTGAAACCTACCTGAGTAGTTTTCCAGTAAGTATTGTTTAGAACTGGTTTAGTATTGGTTTAGTATTCCTTTGAGCTGGCTCGCTACGGTTTAGAATCGGTTTAGTATTGGTTTAGTATTCCTTTGAGCTGGCTCACTACGGTTTAGAATTGATTTAGTATTAGTTCAGTATTATTTTCAGTTGACTCACTACAGTTTAGAATTGGTTTAGTATTGGTTCTTCTTCTTGGCAGGCTGCCCTGGCCATTTTTTTTCACAATTCCCTACCCTTAAACAAACTGCATTACTGCCTTCCTGGGGGTTCCGTGTGCCACCCCCTTGAACATTTGTCAGGGTGCATCTTCTAGTAAAGAAATTAATGAAGGAATTTGGTGGTTTGGGACAGGAAGGAATCCAGAGATTCTGGACATTTCTGGCTGGGCTCAAACGTTTCAACCCTCAAAAATAGTCCATTCTTGGAAGGGAACATATTTTCGGGATTTCGGGCAGATTTTGTTCTGTAATACCAACCCTTTTTGCTTTTTTCAGGAGAGTGAATAATTTTGAGATATATTTGTTCTCAATTCACTCCCCTGTTATTAATCGCTATCTAACATTACGGGTGAAGATTGAACCACTAGTGGGACCGCAGGTTTTAATCCATGTGTCCATTTACCAGGCCTATGTTTGACCCATATATAGACATGGCCATGGGTCAATCCCCACTAAAATCCCGACTAACATGGGTGGTGCACCTACCCCAAAATGATACAATCGGTTTTGACAACCACAGCCACATTCCCGATTCCCGCTTCGAAGGGCCTCGGCTTTACGGAGCAGCTGCTGCTGCTGAACATCCAGTGGATGCTGGAGGCGGGGTGTGGGCGATAGAAACAGACACATCCAGAAACATGGGTGGCTTGGAAGGCTGAGTAATTTGTCTACATAGATACACAGGTGTTTTGGTTTGAGGCTATGACCATGTTTTTTTTTTATTTGTGTGTGAGTTTTGTTTGAGGCTGCTCCTAGAGTGGCTGAAGAACCAAAGAAGCCCAGGCCCTATGGCGGGCTTCTGACAAACTCTACCCACCCAGAGACGCCTCCAAGGGATTCTTAGACCATACAAGGATTCCGCTCAGGGAAGCTAAAAAGGTATCCATCATTGTGGGTATCTTTCATGACAACCATGATGTCACAGATGACCATACCGACATTTTGGGAGTGTTGACCATGGCACATGTGTGTGTGTGTGTGTGTGTCTGTGTGTGTGTGTGGTGTGTGTTGTGTGGTGTGTGTGTGTGGGTGCGTGCGTGCGTGCGTGCGTGCGTGCGTGCGTGCGTGCGTGCGTGCGTGCGTGCGTGCGTGCGTGCGTGCGTGCGTGCGTGCGTGTGCGTGTGCGTGTGCGTGTGTGTGTGTGTGTGTGTGTGTGTGTGTGTGTGTGTGTGTGTGTGTGTGTGTGTGTGTGTGTGTGTGTGTGTGTGTGTGTGTGTGTGTGTGTGTGTGTGTGTGTGTGTGTGTGTGTGTGTGTGTGTGTGTGTGTGTGTGTGTGTGTGTGTGTGTGTGTGTGTGTGTGTGTGTGTGTGTGTGTGTGTGTGTGTGTGTGTGTGTGTGTGTGTCTGTGTGTGTGTGTCTGTGTGTGTGTGTGTGCTGTGTGTGCGTGTGCGTGTCCGTGTGCGTGTGTCCGTGTGCGTGTGCGTGTGTGCCTGTGTGTCCTGTGCGTGTGCGTGTGCGTGCGTGTGCCTGTGTGTGTCTGTGTGTGCGTGTGCGTGTGCGTGTGCGTGTGCGTTCGCGTGCGCGTGCCCGTGCCCGTGCCCGTGCCCGTGCCCGTGCGCGCGCGGGTGTGTGTGTGTGTGTGTGTGTGGTGTGGGGCGGGGGTGGGTGTGGCTGTGGGTGTGGGTGTGGGTGTGTGTGGGTAAGCTCTGAGATCAAAGAGCCCACAGGTCATCTTCCGATCCCTTTCCACACGCTCGATCAGACACGTTTGGTTGTTTTCCTTTTTGAGATTTGAACAGTTCGACGACGTTGGTTGATTTAGGGGCCCCACTCAAAACAGAGACGCCAAGATCTGGCGCTCACGTTTCAGGAGCCAGCACCATTTGGGTGGCGAAGCCACGCGACTCTCTTTGAATTGCTTCTTCCGCTTTTTGGATTTGAACAATTTGACGACGTCAGTTGGCTTAGGGGGACCCCGCCGGAACACCGTCAAGCACTTTGTATAAGGTTTGACAATCACATTTAGCCTGAGTCATCAGCAGGGGGGCAGTGAGCACTCTACCATCCACTGCCCAACGAAGACGGTGGTAGATGTGCTGTGAAGCGGTCTGGGACGCCAGACCGTGTACCTGCATAGATAGTGATTGCTCACCTCAGTTGCTCGTTTCTACTGACATGTCACGGCCCGTCAAAGAGAAACGCCATCCGCACCAACAAGCGGGACCTGAACCCGATTCACCAGAACCACCTCTACCAGGCGGGGAGCGGGTCAACCGACTGAGCTTGCACCACCCTTTTTTCTCCTTCCGGGGAGCGCTCCAAAGTGTGTTTTACGGCAGTGGTTCTGTCAAAGGCACTGTCGTCAGGCCCTTAGCGGTCGCGATCTGACTCCGTCCATGAAATACTGAGGACCGACTTTAGAACTCGATCCCCGCACGCCGTGTCAGAAGGTGAAGACACCAATCCTAGATTAGGCACCAAATATTGGCTTGACCTGTCTCCGTTTCCTTGAACTCATCTTCTAGAAATACACTTCAATCAGTGCTTGCTCAGCCGCTGACAAGTGGACAATGAACTCGAGCATGCTAGCGAGCTGGCTCGAGCTCCCCAGAATCCAGAGTGTTTGCTGTTGTCGGACAATGTTACATTGGTGGCGCTCGCAATGGAACAGCTCAGACTGGCAGTCCTCAGACTGGAACCGAAGCTACGAACCATGGCAAGACAAGCCAGAGACGCCAAAGAAAAAGACTTCCGCTCGCCCGGCGCATGCGGAGACAATGTCTCCTCAAGGCACCAAAGCTACGAGCTTGAATCTTCCTGAACATTTTAAGCCCACCGCTACGCATTATGATGAACGGGAAACCTTTGGGATGCAATTCCCCAAGCGGATTCAGCCCACACAGTGGGCCGTGAAACACGGCCTCGCGGGCAGGGACGTAAAGAGCGTCACGGTGCCAGAATTGGCGTGGATGGGATGGTCAAACGGCCACATACGCGCGCTTGCGAACGGACGGTTTGTTTCACTCATGTTCGCCCGCAGCATCCGCGAAGCCAATTTCATGTCTCTCTTGCAAAGCAAGATCAAAGACAAACAATGGGACTTAGATCAGCTCGCCTCCAAGTACTGCGAAGAGCGAGGCTTCGCACCACCGTCTGAGAGCAGCGAGGTTGAATCTCGCTCTTGGAAAACGGATAAACTTACGCAGTTTGTTGCGAACCAGCTGCAGCCGTTCCATTCCGAAGATTTAAAGTCTGCCCAGGACCGCATCAAAAAGCTCGAAACAGAGCCAGCAGCAGCCCAAGCCGGAGAACCAGCTTCGTCGGTACCCGGAAAGCGTGAAGCGCCGGAGATGCCAAGTGCTGAGCTTCCAGTTCCCAAGAAGGCCAAGAAGGCGCTCACTCCTGCCAGGTTGCATGAGAAAGCCACTGATTTCATTGTCCCAACCCGCTTCCGTTTGCGCAGAATGCGCCCACGTCTCACACCAAAGCGGCAGTTACCAAGTTCATCAACAAGACCGAGATGGACAAAACACAGAAATCGACACTGTTGAAAGCGATTTCTGAGGTGCCAGCCCAGCTCAAAGAGCTGTCCCCGGAGAAAAGCCAATACTTGGCAGATCGAGCAGCTCAGTTTGGACTTCCCGTGTCTCACTGTTTCAAGGCCAAAAATGCGGAGCTATACGCGCTGCTTTTGTTTGCAGCAGCCATGTCTGAGTGACTAGAGACGTGCCAAAGAGCGGACAGCGCCTTTTTTAACATGGCGGCGACGCTCGGTATGCTAGCTCAAACAATGCTAGCATATTCAAGAAAGTCTACTGACTGGTGGCCAGCTCGTTCTTTTCTCCGTGTGCTTGTTGCCTTTGCTTGTTCTCTTTTGCTGCGAGCCACCAAAACCAATCACCATGCGACCAAAGTATGGCAATCCCGTTTAATTAATCGGGGCACTGAGCCTACCACAGCACCCATACACCAATCTTTCGAACAGCCTTTTGCGGTGTACGTGCTGCTCAATCCGTCTTTTGCTTCTTTTTTAACACAGCGAGAAAACCATTTCAGGTTGCAGGATCAACATGCGTATGTGGGATCCACAACGTGTACAGTAAACAAGCGTCAAGACACCCGAATTCGGAAGCTCAGGCAAGTAGAGAAAAAACAGCCAGTCAGTGCGGAACTGGCCATCCACTGGATGCATGCGAGGCTGAAGTTCGATCAGTTTGTAATTTTTGCCCGTGCAGACTTTCGACACCACGTTGCAGTGCAGGGCTATTGAAGCCACCCTCATTCAGAAGTGGTGTCCAACCCTGAATTACCCATTCATTCTCAAACACAAGGTCACCAAGAACAACGACCAAATTGTCCATTTCACATGTGCAAAGCACATGTATGCCAGGCCTGGTAACCGGCTCTTTTCCAAGCTCCGTAAGCGCCTGTGTGCCAAGAACTTGCTGCATATTTACCGGTCTGCAAACAAGTTTCCCGACCAGCAATGGGCAATCTTGATTGCCCTAGACAGCAGCGGGCAACAGTCCTTCTCTGCTGCTAAGAAAATTCGGAGCATCAATTACTCTTTGGCGCACTTGTATGCACTGTACCGGCTTAGCAATCACCTGGAAGATCCACCAAGAACCAAGGTGCGATCACTGATTGCCAAAGCCATCCAATTCCGACAAGGAGTCCTTCCGACTACCAACCGGCCCCTGGTCATTCCTTTGCTGGCCCACGGCACGTTTGCAAGTGCCACCAAACGATGGCTGCGAACGTACGTCGATGATCTCAAAGATCATCTCGTACCATTTCACTTACCGTCCTGCCAAGTCATTGCGGGCAAGCAAAGCACGGTAGCCAAACTTTTGTATTCTCACTTTCACTGGATGGAGAGATTCAATTGGAGCACGCCACCAGAGTGCAAGTGCCAGAAGCTTCTGATGAGCCATCCTGATCTCACCACGTCTGAAGCCGAAGGAATGCAACATATTGCTTCCCCCGCTGACAAATTGACGGTTCACCCCCGGCTCCAGGAATTGCTCAGACATTCCGCCGCATCCCAAGTATATTCCCTACGGGACAGATACGTCCAGCAAAGCTGGACCACAGTCCAAAAATGGGCCAAGCACCAAAGGCTCACCACGCTGCGCTTTGAAGAGTGGCAGAGTTTTGTCCATGAACAATGGACCAGCCACACGCAGGCAGCCTCCAAGCAGTTCACGTACCGGGACGTCAAACACCTCCGGCAAGTGTGTTCGGATCTCGTAGTGCACGGCAGAGACCATGCGGTCAACCATGTGCATGTATACTGCCCGTTCCTGTACTGGCACGTTTTGACTCGAACATTTGGAGACCAGTTGGTCTACCGCCAGCTGGGGATTCCACCTACCAGCGCAGCTGAGTTTTTCAAAAAACTGGCCAGGTCTGAAGTCGCCAAAGCGTACAAATGGGGAATTCGACGGCAAGCGCCAGTTCCCCAAGCATACGCTCTACTCAAGGCCAAAAAGCAGTTTCTGAGCGCCCGACCAATTATCAGCTATGCTGGTTTCACCTTTGAGGTCCTGTTCAAGGCGCTCGCCATGACTCTCCGTCAACTCATGCGCGAAGTGCTTCACAGCTCATACGGACTCAAGGATATGCCGGATATATTTCGGGACTTGCACGTCTTTTTGCAGTCGCTGCCAGAAGACAGCGAAATCGCGACCTTCAATCAGGACCTGGTTGGTTTTTTCCCATCCATCCCTGTGAATCGCATAATGAATGCTGTTCGGTACATGATCCGTCAGTGCCAGAAAATGCATCCTGCAGCAAGCACCTTCTCTGTCCACCTCACTGAAAAAGACACAGCGCTGCGTGTCTTTCGAGGTCGCCGGCGGCAAGCAGCTCGATCAGTGAAAACGCTTCGACTGCACGACCTGGAGCCACTGTGCCAGCTGAGTTTCGACGCGTCCATTTTCTGTCATTTGGGGCGCACCTTCCGGCAGGTAAGAGGATCTGCCATCGGCAATCAGGTCAGCCCCATCCTGTGTGACATCGCAGTGTCTTACAGAGAGCATCACTGGGCGCAGACTTGCGAGCGTTTCCTCATGCAATCCCGACTGCCACTGGACATAGTTCGGTATGTGGACAACCGCTTGGTACTTACTCACCGACGGCTGCTTCGACAACCAGACCTCCAGCTGTTTTTGTCCGACAATTTTTATGAACACCCTGTAGACCTTGAGGCAGTAGACAACGGAGAATATCTGGGAGTAACTCTCCAACAGCCTCAGCTTCGTTTGGCGTTCCAGCAGCCTTTTGAAGATTGGAAATTTAAGCACGCGCACTCCGCCAACACATCAGCGCAGCGACTCGCTGCCTTTCGTTCCCGCCTGTGCATGGCAGTTAAGTACACTTTCCCCGTAGACCAAAAGATCCAAGATGTTCGAACTTTAGTCCAGCTCTATTTAAAACGCGGTTTCACTGCCAAGGAGCTCCGACCAATTGTTTACAAGACTCTCACACCAGTGCTAAGCAAAGAGATCTTTTATGCCTCGCAACCTTGCGAGGTTCGTCGCATTTTGAATTCCGTGATGGAAAGCGACGCTGAGCAAGGCTAGGTACAGCAGTTGCCAAAAAAAGAAAGAAGAAGAACACAACCCTGCGCGTGTCATCCTAGGTCCAAGACCAAACTTGACATGATGAGCGGCCCTGGTCCAAGACAGCGGTGCAAATAGTTAGGCATCCTCTCGCGCCCCGATGCCCCAGTACATTTTCCAGTTTTTCGCACAGCCACGGCCTCCTGGACATGCTTCGATAGTGGAAGGCTGCAACCCAGCCATGATCAGTGCAGGGGCTGCGTGCGTGGTGCATAAGGCTCCACCGCCTCGACCTCCTCCACCTCGACCCCTCTCGAACACGCCAAGAGATGCATATATGCCTGAGGTTGAAAACCAAAGGCGGCAGCATGCTAGGCATCCAAATCCGGATCGGTTTCAAAGAGACCAGTCGCCTCACCGTAGTCACCATAGGACTCGCCGACACCGTACGCGCTCTAGGTCACGTCGTCGCAGGGGCCATGGCCAAAGGCCGCGGTCAACTGAAAGGCGCCAAAGGCCGCCATCAACAGGGCCAGTGTACCCTCCCGGAGATTTCAGGAGCCGAAGACAGGCCCCGCCCGCTGCCCCCAATTTTGATGAAGTAGCTCAAGCTCAGAGGGGTGCCCATGTTGTAGCTGGGCCATTACCAAGCCAGTTCCATGTCCGCCCTGGAACAAACGCCACGATAGATGGGAGCCGCAGCCTAGGCGCTAACGCTCAGGTTCCAAGGTGGTATGCGTCTGGAACGGACCACTCCACACGCTGCGCGCATTTTTCAACCACCCCGGAACACTTGGCGTATGGACCGCCTCCGAATTACTTTTCTTCGGATGTCCCGAAGCCACACAGGCCTGCAACACGCCCCGCCAAGGCCTCTGCAGCAAGCCTAGAGGAGAACACGGTGGCTGAGCCAACCGGGTCACGTCCTGCCTGTGACACCATCACTGCTAGTCAGAGTCGAATTGATGGTGTGGTCAAGCAATGGTTTGAAACCATCATTGCCCGGCAGAAAGATTCCCCTTTGTTCCGATACTGGGCCTTCCCCCTGAGTATTCAAGAAACGGTGGATCAAGAGCTCAGGAAGGCGTGGGTGCTGCAGAATGTTGTGCCCACGGAACGCCTTCAGCCACACGACGTGGAACGCGTCATGAGGCACTTGCTCGCCCTGGCCCCCGAAGAAGCCCAGGACCCGCAGCTAGGCATTCCCTTGGATGAGTTGGGCACGCTCAGCAAAAGTATTCTGAGCGCTGCTCCCATATTGGGAAGTCTTTCAAAAGCCTGTTGAGCACTCCAGTGTGGTATCAGGGACGGCAACCTGGTGCTTTCCCCTTGTAGGCCTCCCGGCATGTGCTGCAGACAGTGGAGTAAACGAATACCCGATGCGGTTTGCCCACTTTTCCTCCCCGCTTGGCATGTCAGGCTCCGAACTGGAGTTATCATGCCGACATCGATCCAAACACTGGCTGAAGAGTCGGGGCATGAAGGGGGGCGGTTCTGCCCGTTAGGCTTCTTTGCCAGGGTATCTACAGAGGTATGGGGCACCGCATCAAAGCTCAAGTTCCTCATATCCTGTGCCGAACACCCCAAAAACACGCTCAATATAGGATTTACGGGGTTGGTCAAAGGCCAACGCATCAAGTTTAGCAGGTCCGACACGTTTAAAGAGCAGACGTTGCTCTACGGTCACAAAGCCGTTCGTTCCTCTTCAAAGGACCGGAGATGGGTCCTGCGAAGTGACTGCGCTGCCCTTGATGGGATTTTCTTGCTCCGGGATCACTCGGAAACGTGGGGAACCCGATGGGTCCCGCAAGATTCCCAGCATGTCAAGCGCATCGGAGCAGCATCTTGATTCGCAGCGAGCATTGTCCGGATTCAAGTACAGGGAGAGGTGGAAAAGACCAACCAGTCACTGAAGCGATAGGTTCTCCCAAGCCAACGGTCTCAGTTAGAGGCACAAAGCACGATAATTCAAATGATCACACCTTTTGGCCAATAAGTTTCTTTCACACGTTTCCCCTCAAAGGGGCGCCTATGTGTGGGTAAGCTCTGAGATCAAAGAGCCCACAGGTCATCTTCCGATCCCTTTCCACACGCTCGATCAGACACGTTTGGTTGTTTTCCTTTTTGAGATTTGAACAGTTCGACGACGTTGGTTGATTTAGGGGCCCCACTCAAAACAGAGACGCCAAGATCTGGCGCTCACGTTTCAGGAGCCAGCACCATTTGGGTGGCGAAGCCACGCGACTCTCTTTGAATTGCTTCTTCCGCTTTTTGGATTTGAACAATTTGACGACGTCAGTTGGCTTAGGGGGACCCCGCCGGAACACCGTCAAGCACTTTGTATAAGGTTTGACAATCACATTTAGCCTGAGTCATCAGCAGGGGGGCAGTGAGCACTCTACCATCCACTGCCCAACGAAGACGGTGGTAGATGTGCTGTGAAGCGGTCTGGGACGCCAGACCGTGTACCTGCATAGATAGTGATTGATCACCTCAGTTGCTCGTTTCTACTGACATGTCACGGCCCGTCAAAGAGAAACGCCATCC